CTCCAGCCAGTGAAGCGTACCTGGCTTACAAACACTCGGACTGACAGCCCGTTAGCGCTGTCTGATTCTTCGTCCATAAATAGTCGCCTTCCGGCCTTGGACCTTCTTCCTTCTTCCTTCTTTCTTCCAACATTCACTACAAATTTTTGGCACATCAATCTCTTCCATAAGGGGCTTCGACCCTGTGGATTCCTTGCAGTCGTATTCATCATTTTCCAATTCCGAACCAAAGAGTCCATCATCGACCATACGTAGTTCAGCTTCCATCACGCCTGGAAGCAAGGTAAGTCTTGTCTTTCTTTCCCTACTAACATCCATCTCAGCAGACCAACGGCTGGCACAAGGAAGAGCCGACAGGCTTGTTGAGCTCGTGTTGCGGTCTCTTGCACGGTACATGGCGGAGAGAGCATCCAGATGAGTGGCAAGGGATTCTCTCTTCTCCATGTGCCGTGCAAGGGACATCACCACGGGCTTGACTGGTCTGTCGACTCTTCCTTCTGCCCTTCGACCTATGTAGTTTAGCTTCCACTTGCAGCAAGGTAAGTCTCGTTGCTTTTGTCTACTAACATCGCTTCGATTTAGCAAAGTACCAAATCATCTGGCACAGCTTGGCCTGATGCCCCTGTCTTAAGCATGATCTTGGGTAAGTCACAAGGAATCTTCTTTTCTCCCTTCTCCATCACCGCAGCCCCCCTTTTTTTTATCGCCATCCCCTCCGTCGCACCAAAACCACGACTACGATATCTAACTCCTGTTGCTGGCGATCCCATTCGCTACCCCGACCATGTCCCTGAATCCCAGACAGGACAGACGCAAGGGCTACGTAAAAGTGATAGTGATAGTGATACTCGTAACGCTGCAAATGTACATTTTCCCAGAAGATCCTACGTTTCTACAGAGATACACAGGTTAGTATTCCGTCCACCGCAAGCAATTACACAACACCGCTTTGAAACTAGCAACCACATTCAGCAGAGTCACACCGGCGCCACAGCTCCGATGCGCCATGGCGTGCGCAATATCCATCCTCGTATCTTTCCAGAGGCCCACAGCATGTTGAACACAACCTCGTTATAATAATTCACGGCCGCATTCGGGGTTGGCGTAGTTGGACGGTGAGGGTGAACAAACGTAGAACCTGCAGAGTTCCAACGGTCCTTAAGAAGGCTGCTGACGGCGGCGTTGATTTGTAAGTGGAAACAGCGAGAAACGGCGGACAGCACTTCCGGCCTTCGATTGATTTCAAAGCAGCAGAATCTGACAGACGATCCGGAATTGCAGGACCGAAGGTATATGGTAGGTAAGCTGCTTCCAGTCGACACCGGTTCGCAACGCTGCGTCTTCAACAATCACCACCACCACCGCCATCGAGAACTACGACTACGATAAAGCTCCAGCACCGCTGGCTGGCTTGGAAAGGGCTCTCGCGCCATTGTAGTGCAGATAGCCGTGATATCTGCATTTTAATACGTACCGTCTTGGTGGCTTTGGTCGAGTAAGAGTATCTGCATCGAGAAGACGAGAATGGTAATCATATCGTCAAGATCAATGGAGGTTACGTTACTTAGCCGGAGCCACCCGGGCGGTTTGTCTCAATAGTGCGGATATCACGGCTATCTGTACTGCGGCACGGGGGCCTTTTTTTAGCTAGGATTGTATTGTCGAGATGAGTGGACTTGACTTCAAGGCACCCATCCCATTCCCATTCCCATTCCAGTGAAGAAGAAGGTCACAACCAACACCCGTAGAGCTGGAGGAAGATCCAGAAACCGGAATGGCCTGTCGTTGTTGTTTACAGTCGTCATTTCGAAGCTGTGGCTGGAGTCGCAGAGGTAATGATGCGTTGGTAAAATGTGTTGAACTCGTCTCTCTTTCATCTTACATCGCTTTTCTTCTTTAGTCTTATCCCATGCTGCAACTGGGTAATGTCTCTATCTACGTAGGTTATGGAATTCGGAAGGATCTGGCTGGGATCGTTCGTAGATATACCCGAGTTACGGTAGTTGATTTGTCAGTGGAAAGATGTAGAAGAGCCGTACGTCACTGATTTGTCAGAATCAGTAAAGTGTAGCTGCTCACCACAGAGAATGGTTCTGCAAGTGGAGGACGACCGTTCCAATCCTGGAACTCCAACTTCAACTTCAACATCTCCTTACCACCACGATCCAAGACGACAATCCACAAGGAATAACGAAGGAAAGCCTAGGATCACCCATACCTCTCGTTCCCCATAACTGCCACTACGACATCTCTTCACGCCACTGAAGCCTACAGACCACCATGAAAACCGCGAGGAATATGATGATGGTTGTTAGCGGCCACGGCATTTAGCTTCATGTACGTAAACCTTTGAGTTAGTAGAATGTACAGCTAATCTACGGTGATTGTTAGTAGTTAGTAAGTAAAAACAGAGACGCCATGACTCAATACCTCGAACGATGCGACGAACATACATGAAATTGATATCCCTGATCGCACTGATAGCGGCATGACAACGCCGACGGAAACCTTCATCTTCCAATTCGAGACTTCTACGGAGCTATTATGTGGTGATTGTTAGTAGTTAGTAAGTACAACAGAGACGCCATGTCTCAATACCTCGAACGATGCGACGAACATACATGAGGTTGATATCCTGATCACACTGACGAGACCAGAGGAAGAAAAGAACGAGCTACTTACCTACGCCTTTGACCCTGCAAATACTTACCGTTCAATCCCTCCCAGTGACTCTATATAGCCCCAGGATCAACACTACGATGACAGCTCATACGATGATCCGCAAATGCACGATTACAGCGAGGGCCAACATAACCATCAGCAGCGACCACAAACCAACAAACGTCAGACCTACGACAAGAGTAGCGTGTCTCAGTTGAAAGCGTAGAGCCGCCATAAGACGAAGATGGTGTTGTCGTTGTCGTTGTCGGCTGGGAGAAGATCACCGGGGCCTCCGCTGACCTGCCTACCTGTCACGCTTACGGTACTTGCTTTTGCACCGCAATTCCTATGTCCAGGAGTGCAAGGCCGGGAGCATCTTCTAGATTCATTACCAATCCAATGCCCGTCTTGATTTCAAATCCATTTTCTGGTCCTTTCCACTGACTCACCGTGACTCAATTACTAACCTGGCCTTCTTAAATTCCATCAACTTACCTTCTCAACCCATCATCCCACTCCGTAGTCGCCCTCTCCCTGACCGATCGCCAGCCAAGCGGGCGAGAAAAAGAGAAATGTGCCAGCAAACCAGGTAAGTGATTCCTACTCTACTGATACTAACCCCTTCAGCTCGACGTGGTAGCGGCGCCTGATAGGTGTCGTTGTTGCTGTCGTTGTTGCTGTTGTTGCTGCTGTTGTTGTCCCGCTTGCTGCTGATCATCGCGTTCTGCGTGTTGGCGATGTAGTTGAGAAAATCATCGCTTTGTGGGTTTTGATGATGTAGTTGGGAAACTCTGCTCGTGTGTTATTGTTTCAACAAGAACGTGATAATGAACTTCCATATGGTGTTGGGAAAGTTGGATGTAATGAGCGGGTGAGGAATGGTGTAGTGTTGTTGCTTGTTGAGATGTGGTGATGGTGATGGGGTGATCGTACGTGATGGTGGTGTTGTAGGATTCGGAAAAGGGCGATATGACTTGGGGGATCTGGACGGTTAGTGTATTAAGGAGGTGTTTTGGATAAAAAAGGAGAGGAGGGATCTGGTTTGGATATCTATACTAAGGATGTATGACAAATGGATGGAATCGAATCGACTCGAACACCAGCAACTGATTCATAAGCTTGATTTCCAAGCATCGCGGAGCTTGATTCCATCGTAGATTACAAAGGCTCTGCCCATGTCTGCAATTCAGCAACACGATCATTGTCGAGACGCAGATGGTGAAGTCATCAAAAAGGTAAGGATCTAGTAGTTGGTTCAGCCATAGTGATATGGCTGTCGTACCGGGGAGATCGTGCATTCGGTGGGTGAGATAGAGCAGTGCCGCAGAGGAACTACTAACATTACAGCTGAAGGAAAAGGGTGAGTAGCAATATCAACTAGATAATGTGCGGATCCGACGATGACCAGCTTCTCACAACCCACGATAGTCAGGCTAGATAGTCTAGAGTTAGTAAGGAATCCGACGATGACCAGCTTCTCATATCGGTGGTAACTGCTTGATCTTTCGGAGAGTCGTAGAGAGCTTGAGGTTCTAACTGGTAGGTAATAGGTAGATGGTTGACAGACAAGGAGACCGTAACGAGATGACAGGAAATCTCGAGATTCCGGAACTATTTATCAGCAAAGGAATTTTCTCGAATAGGCCGACCTACGTACAAAACTTCGCTGCCTCCGTCCACTGCATCACTCTCACCCATCCATTGGAAACTATTCATCTGCAGTCTCCGTAGACCAACCATTCATTGGAAACTATTCAACTAACTAACCATCATAGGAACTCGACACCGCAACTGAAGATCAACAACCAGAAACACTCCGCCGGGGTAACTGAACGAAACCCCTCTAGATAAATTCCATTCATATTGCTGATGTTTGCGCATCTTCGCTGTCGACCGGTGAAGCTGAGCGAGGAGCTCAGTCACTCGTACTGCACATTTGCTACGGTAATGGCGGATTTGACTAGGGTTAGTATTACTTACGAACTGCATTAGATTCCCAGATTCCCCGTGTCCCAAACGTCGTTCTACAGACGCTGTTTCGTCCCGCCGATGCATCAAAAGCGACGTGTGCCGTTGATTATGGGAGGAGTGATTGTCGGCTGCGTGCTGATATTACGGACGAGGATGGTGCCTCGGTCATAGTTAGCTGGGATTACAAAGCAGGACAGGAACAGAAACTTCCAGCTGTGCTTTGAAATCGATCGGAGGAATGAAGTGATATCATTGAGTAGCTGGGCTGGTTGGTGGGGATGACTTCCGATGTTTAGGCTCGGATGTGTTGCAGTAGACCCTAACATACTCTGGTATAGCAACGGTAGGAAATAATCGAAAAGACAACCCTAACAGACATCAAGACTTGCATCCCCCGAGATATCCCACGAGATATTCTCCCCACACGGCCTCTCCACCACATTCGCCCCATTCACCTCGAGACTGATGCTCACATCACGCGTATTCGCAAACTCATCCCTCGCGGAAATCCTCACATCGCCACCCCCATCCACACTGCCCCCCAAAATCTCCACCCCATAGCAATTCTCAATGAGAATCGCATTATTCCCCGTATCGCTAATGTCCACATTCCCAATCTGCACGCCTCCACTCTCCGAAACACAGAAGACGCCCCGGCCCCCGCCCCGCGCAACAACATTCTCCACGAAGACATTCGTCTCGTAGGATCCATCGCTCAACCGCCCATTCGCATTCGCCATCCGGAACGTCGCGTACCCCGTCCCAGTCGCGACGTTTGTCCCGTCGACCGTGCCGATCTGCGCGTTCGTCGTGGACTGCAGGAGGAGCCCGCACTCGCCGACGTCGCGCGCGACGACGCTGTTGATCGTCAGCCCGTCGATGTTCCACGTTTCGACGGCGTGGCTCCCAGCCCCACTGATGTTGATGCTATCCATCGACACTTCGGAGTTCGCCGCCTCGTCGCGCTCAAACCGGATCCCCAGCCCGCCGCTCAGAGCCATGTTGATCTCCCCCAGGGACAACCGGGACACGCCGTAGAAGTGCATTCCGAAATACGGGCTCCCCGTCAGTGTGAGGTAGGGGATTGAGACGTCTTGAGTGTTGAGCGAGCGGATGTTCCCGCGGCCATTGTTTGCTTGCACGTCGATCGTCCCGCATCCTTCGAAGGTTATCCCGCTCGGGATGGAGATTACGTTTGTGCCGAGGGAGCCGGAGGCCAGGATTGATAGGCGCTGGCCGGAGCTGATTCCGTCCAGCGCGGTCTGGATTGCGCTGTAGAGGTCTGAGCCGCTGTAGACTTGGCTTCCTGCCACGGAGGCCGTGAAGGAACCGGAGGAGCCGGAGACTGTGGCGTCGGGGGTGCCGGAGCCGCATTGGGCGGAGGAGAAGGTTGCGAGGCTGAGGGCGAGGAAGGCCGAGAGGAAGGTAGATCTAACCATTTTGGCTATGATGAAGATTTGCTGGTGGATGGTGTCTGCCCCAATTCTGACCTGACGTTGGGCGGGTTATATACCCATCTGTCCGCTGGTCATCAAATTGAAACCCTTGTCTGCCCACCCTGCCCTGGCCTTCCTCTCCAAAGCGCCAAGACGTACTGAAACCCTGCATGCCGATCCCCAGTCCTGCCAAAATAAAACCTCCAATGACAGCCCTGGACGCAGTTTAGCCGAGCCAAGTCAGACGCCAAGTCCGGCGGACCGGCGGGGTGCCCTGGCCCCTGTTTCGTCAGAGAGCAGGGATTCCCCATGTGCTTGGGCCCTTAATCTATATGCCGCGGTCCACTGTCTTCTCCGTCCATATATGATGAATGTCTTATCAAGGTGGGAATGGGATATCCGGTGTCAGCCGTCACCTTCACCTGTAGATCGACAGACGGAAGTCACGCCGTCGGGATATTGTGACTCTGGGAGCTGGTATGCAGCTTACGGCGGGGATATCCAAGCCCTGCAGCTCGCAACCTCCGGTCGCTCATCACCCGACGAAAAACCCCATCTATGAGGTTCACGTCGAGACCAGAGGACCGACGCGAGTAAGAAGGTAAGCAGAGCCGGAACATCCACATGAAGTCCCGACTGCCGAGCGCACCATCTCCATCTTCAGCAGAATTCAGCCGTTCCCTGACTCCCCTGGCTTTCCCGGCGGCGTTTCGCATGCACCCCGTGCAGCCACCTACGCATCTCCTACTCCAGCTCCTAAGCCAAGACGCTGGAATCAGTGACTCCCCTGCAGGGTGTTTACTCTTCACGGAGTCCCTACGGAGTCCCTATACGCTATGCTCCATCAGACCAGCTCGTGTAGGACTCAAGATCAGCCGTCCGGTTTCAAGGGCAATGGCAAGGGCAAGGCCCACCCCACCCCTGATCCAATCCATTTCCCCTGTTCTTGGCGGCCGTTATCCCGTGTCGGAAACGGATCATGCCAGCCCAGGTACATCAATTCCTCCCGCACAGCGCGGCACTCTGGGCGGGTTTCAGCGTGTTCCAGGTCCGGTTCACGTGCCCCTGTTTCTTAAAGTAGTCGGGAGATGCTTGGTAGGTACGTATAGACAGGTACGCAGGTACGATGAAGTTGTACTCCGTACACCCTCAGCCCGCGTGGAACCGATGTCAGCCGCACCGGACCTGTTCTGGTAGCCGCATGGGCAAGTTGCGCTACACAAAGATGCTACCTGGACAGGCGGACTTTCATCCCATGCCCAAGCTACTTTGGTCAAACTGAAGGGCTATTATATCCATCGATTTTACTTCTCGTCTTGGCTAAATAGGTAACAGCACCCTCCGTTCCAACAGAACACGTTCGATATTCAACTAGATGAATCTCTTTTCATTTCCATTTTTATAGTTGTGAGTAGCTGAAACGTACGCGACCAAGCTAATCTATCTGGAGCTACTCCGATATATCTCATGATTGTCTACCCATCCCCCTTTCTCAACTTACCTTACAAACAACGACAATGACTAGTCAATCTGACGAAAACTACATACCAACCGAAAACAACGCCGGATCAAGCACAAACGGATGCTGCTGATGCCACTCAAAGTCCCCCTCCGAGACCGTCCGATCAGGTCCCCAGTTCACCGCATCCCCAGCACCAGCCTGCAAACTCGACAACGGCGAGCTCCTCCTCTTCTCCGCCAGCTGGTGCTCAAAGTCCGACATGTGCGCGTAGGCGCGCAGCCCCTGCCCGCCCTGCACGTCGAAGTCGACTTCCAGATCGAGATGTTTGGCCTTCGCGATCCGGCGGAGGAATCCGCTGCTGATTTCGAAGGCGCGCCGGGAGCTGGGGTCTTGGCGGCCCATGGCTTGGAGCCAGCGGAGGGCTTTCTGTGAGGCGTTTTGGACGGCTTCCGGGGCGTGGTTTGGTGCTTTGCCTGTGCTTTTCTTGTCTGTTCCTTCCTTGTCTTGTTCGGAAGTCGCTTCGCTCTTTGCGCCCTCGTCGATGTCGGAGACTGGTCCGACCGAGAGCTGGATTAGCAGGACGGTGATTGCCTGCATGACGAAGTGCAGGATAGTCCACCACGGTGTCGTCTTCAGCATCCAGGTCATGTCCGGCTCGTCGGGAAGAATCGTTATAAGCGAGATGGCGGAATGGACGCAGGTCCGCGCCGTGTCGTTCCCGAATCGTGAGCGCGGGAAGCGGATGTTCGTTCCTTCCTTCATGCCCGGGCGAGTCAGACATGGCCGGCTGAGGATGATCTGTGAACTGTAGAAGGACAGCGCAAGCGTGACCTGGACGCGAGAGTCTCTGGAGATGTTTAGCTCGTTGTTCTCAGGGTCTGCGAATGCGAACGGCGGGCGTAGGTTCGAGAGCCACGACTGCAGCCGGGACTGGTAGAATGGGATCTCGCTCTGCCCGCGTCCGCCCTGGGCTTCTCTCGCAGTCTGCAGACTGTATATGGCCATCACGGCGGCATGGGTTGTGATGGACAAGTCGATGAGGTGGAAGAAGTAGAGCGACGGGCTCGGTTGGATGGTCTCCAGCCAGGCCGTTCGTGACGCGAGCTCCTCGTCGGTCGCATAGACTGTCCAGTACAGACGTTCCTCGCGTCGGTCGGCCATGCCGAGAAGGTCTTGTAGCTCGGGGTCGTCGAACGAGGACTCGTCGTAGGGGACAGGAGGGTAGAGGGACATGGCGCGGTGATCGAGACAGGGAGCGCGCCCGGTCATGCCGGACAGCAAGTGCTCGAGGGAGAAGATGGACCACCAGATGCGGGTCCGGGTTTCTTTCGAGACGGGGTCGATGTGCTCGCTCAGGGTGCGAAGATTCAGGCCTAGGCAGACGGCCGCCCGTGCAGCGTTACCGTTCATCCGCCACGATCTAGCAAGTTAGAAGGGTCGGACATTTCCAACGTTCCCAACCTACCGGTTGACCTGGCCTGAAGCCAGATAGTAGATGCCCAGGAGAAGGTCGATCTGGACTTGGTGCAGGTCTGCGTGTTCGTGCAGGAGTTGATTCGATGTACGGAGCGACAGCGCTCGCGATAGGAAGATTCGGTCGTCGACGTCCCTACCGGCGATGGGCTCCGCCAGCTGATAGTATTTCGCACTGATGGCAAAGACCAGATTCAGCACCGCCAGCCATTTCGGTGTCGGCTCGCACGAACCCGAGAAGGCCGTATTAAACTGCGACACGAACAGCGCCTTGTTAAGAAGCGGGAACGAGGGAGCGACCGAGTCAAAGAAGATGTTGACCAGGTGCGCCGCCCACGGCCGCGGAGGCAAGAGTCTCGCATCAACAGGACTAGTCTCGGTGATGGAGAGGTTGTCGACGTGGTAGCTCAAGGCGGCCACGGGCTCCTCGGTCGTTCCTTCCTGCCCGCCGTCTAACTTGTTCGCCTCAAAGTCCAGCTTCTGCATCCATGCAATCTCCGACTCCTTCCCAATGTATCCGGCCGCTCGACTTTCCAGCGTGCGATTCGGGTCTTCGGTCAGGGTGTCGACCTCGTCCAGCGATCCGACGGAGGAGGACGAGGATCGGGAGCTGGGCCTTCTGCAGCTGCTGGAAGCGTCTCGATTCGTCCTGGTGTCATCAGCTTCGACGCCATCACTGTCGGTCTGTCCGCTTCGCCGGTGGCCGTCATTTCCCGAGCGCTGTTCCTTCGCCCGTTCCAGGATCCGTCCCAGCTGCTCGAAGTTGCGGCCGTCGAATGACTCGATGATTTCGTCCACCAGCTTCTGGACGGTGTCTAGTTCCTGCTCTGCTCGTCGCTGGGCATACTTTCGTCGACGATCAAGGCCCGCAAAGACGCATTCGCTGCCGATTTCGATACACCTGTCGCAGGGATGATTCCCGACGCACTGCCCCGTTAGCGAACGCTTCCTCCCAGTCCCCTCAAAGGAACGGTCAACTTACCCTCGTCCGCCGTGCTTTACACGCCATACAAGCGGCCGAGCGCTTCGTCCGCTTCGGAAGCGGCGCACTGGTGGTCGAGGGCTCGCGAGGATGAATTGGGGCAACAAAACGCAGTGACATCATGTCCCTGGGGAGCAAAACGTGATAGTAAGACAGGAAAGCGCAAGGTGAGCATCTTATATCCTGGTGTTGTTACACAAAGTCTTTGTCGAGGCCTTGGGCGGGTGATGAGGTCAGTGGCAGGCGTCGACTCGGTCTGACCAACGAAAAGGCCTGCATTCTTGATGCGGTGGCCGACGAAGTTTTCCTCGACGAGCTCATTGGCCGTCACGAGCTTGGGTTTGGCACAATTAAGCTTCACCTCGACCGGATTCCTGTTCCCCCGGTGGTGTTCGATTGGAGTGGAAGTGTTTCTCGTCGATGACCGTGCAAGGTCCGAGAATTGAGTCGCGGTTGGAATTGAAAGGCGCAGGACTGGCGCTGACAGTCTGACAGGTCGCCGCTTTGAGATCTAAGACCATTCGGCGTTGTGCAATGAGGTTGATGGTGGAATGACAGCTTGCCACGCTCCACCACTCAACCCCCGGGACGCCGCCAAGCCCCCGTGGTCTTGGCATGGGGACCTTGCTGCCTCACAATATATATAATCATGATCTCCCAGCACAGTAATTTCAGAGTAGAAAAATGCATCTTCTTTGCCTGCTCTTGCTAGTCTGTCCCGTATTGTCGAAACTAGTCGACATCCCCAACTCCGACCCCTCCTGGCAAGACATCACCCAGGTCATTGTCTCAAACATCACCATCGTCGACTCTCACTCTCCATCTCTCGCTGTTCAAATAGGCACCCAAGAAGAATACTCCCGTCTCCAAGATCGCCTAAGTCGCACAGCCGGAACATGGAACACCTCCCACCCACGCTACCGCCTCCTCATGGCCCTCTACGGCTTCACCCGGTACAAAGAGCGCAATCTAGCCGAAGTAAAGCGCTGGCGAGATCTATACAAGCACGTCCCAAAGGAGCAGAAAAAGCTAATTGAAAAGACGGTTGCGTACACAAAGAAACTCAACACCGTCGAGCACCTATTCGAGCACAATGATATCCTTGCACAAGATATCGTCCGCGTTGGAATGGACTTCTACGGCATTGAGCAGAGCGAGCTCGATGCCTTCATTGCGGAGATGGAGAAGGAGAAGAAGAGTCCCGACCGCACGAGCGTCGTCCAGGCAATGAAGCACTTTGTCCGCGATTGGTCGGACGAAGGACTCTTTGAGCGGGAGGGCGCGTTTGCATGTCTCCTCGATAACCTCGCGAGTTTCGATCGTCAGAAGCCGCTGAAGGTCCTTGTCCCCGGCGCCGGGGCTGGACGGTTGGGATACGAGATTGACGCGCTGGGAGGTATGTAACCCCGTCTTTTCTCGAGCTCTGGCTGATGGGACGTTAGGCTTCGACGTGACGATTAACGAATGGTCCGCCTACATGAACCTGGTCCACCGCTACGCCATCCAAATCACGCAGCCGAACAGTCTCACTTATTACCCGTATATTGACTGGTGGTCGCACCACGCCAGCACAGCAGACATGCAGCGCGGGATCTCCTTCCCGGACATCGCGATTCCACACTCCCAGTCAACCAGGGACAGTGGGGTGGTGATGGTCGAAGGCGACTTTACAAGCGTGTTCCCGCCCTCAGAATCAGGAAGCTACGATATCCTCGTCACATTCTTCTTCATCGACACAGCGCGGAACCTCATGTCCTACCTGCAGACTATCCACGCCCTCCTGAAACCCGGCGGGACGTGGATTAACCTTGGCCCGTTGTTGTATGGGACGGGTCCGTGGCTGCAGCTCTCGCTTGATGAGATTGTTGCGCTGAGTGAGGCGTTGGGGTTTGAGTTTGAGGGATTGAGGCTGGGCCAGGATAAAGATGGGGATGTTTGTGGAAGAATAACGCAGGGAGAGGGGATAGATGGGAAGGTTAAGAGTTTGTATGTCCCCTATGGCCAGAATCGGAGGGGGCTTAGTCGGAATGCGTACGAGGCGCAGTTTTGGAGGGCGAGGAGGGTGTAGAGGATGTATGCTGCTGTCTGTATATAACTTGCTTGTTTGTTGTAGATAGATAGATGCATGAATAGATAGCCGTCAGACAAGCGACTCAGGCCAGTAGAACTGTTTCCACCGGAAATAAATATTCAGAGCACCGAATTCATTCAATAATGAACAGAGGTATGCCCGTAGCTGTTTGAGCTTGTTGTTACCCGCGCCGTCGTCAGAATTCAGATACCGTACAAGGACGATTTCCCGTAGCTCTATTCAGGTATCACGACGCATAGATTCATGACTCGACCCGAAGAGGTCAAGATACAAAGAGGTACTTGTACTTGTTTGGTAGAAGACTTGATCAATAATGCAGGTTCTGCTCTGGATCCAAGCGGGGTATGATCAACCCCACCATCCCATCCCATCCCCAGCCACCCAACATTGAACCGGAGAGTCGCTTTCACCCTCATCCATCAACCCATCTCGCAATCCAAAAAAAAGAGTCTCATAACCAAACAAAATGTCCACTCTCCAAAAATTCAAAATAATCTTCCACGCCCCCCCCTCCGCCCTCGAGACAACCAAGAAGGCCATCTTCGCCGCGGGGGCAGGCCGATATCCCGGTCCCGGCAACTACACTGAATGCTGCTGGGTCACATCAGGCACGGGGCAGTTCCGACCGGGCGATGCGGCGAACCCGGCGATTGGAGCTGTGGGCGAGTTGGAGAAGATCGAGGAGTTGAGGGTAGAGACGCTTTGTGTGGGTGTTGAGACTACGAAGAAGGCTGTGGAGGCGCTGAAGAAGTGAGTTGATATCCGTTTTGTTGAATGGGGTTGATAGGGTTGCTGATTGATGGGCAGGGCGCATCCGTATGAGGAGCCATCGTATGGGGTTATTCGGTTGGAGGATTTCTGATGAATGGTGGCCAGGCCTGATGGGAGGAGTCTGCTGCATGAGATGGATATAAGTTCAGCCATTCAGGCAGAATCTGCAGCGTTATTCCTTCGAGGCTCAGCATACTAGTGTACCCTATGCACATCCAGCCTCCAGCCAACCCCATCGATTCTATCTCTTCTCGATCAACGTGTTTTAGAGATTGAAGAAAGTGCTCTATAATGCTTCGTTCATCCAGACCTTCTACCCCATGTTCCTGGATCACAGAGCACACAGCCTCCGACACAGAAGAGACAACCTCATCGGCCTTAACCTGCATCCGGTTCATCAGTAGCGCGAGCCATAGGAGGCGCTTCTTATACCACGTTTGCGTTTCACCAAGGTTCACGGCATGTTCTACTTGAAAGTACCGATGCTCCAACCGCACGACATAGTCTGGCAATCGCTTTATCTCGTATCCGTTCCATTTCTGACATGAAATGGTATGGTTAGGGTTGGTGATATTGCCACGGCATCTATCCTCATCGTGATCGACCCATTATTACTGTAAATAGTCAGTCAAATCCTTTCAGGGGACAGGTTAGGTGTGAATGGAGTAAATGGACATACGTGCTCGGGATCTGGCTTTATGGATTTATGCTTGCAAAGTGCCGGCAATTCTCAGCGGGTTGTTTTATCTATTTTGACTTGAGCTCTTTGCACCGATAGGAATCCAACACGCGTAGTAAATCCTCAGTCCCCCGAGTACCCCTCTCCGTCGAAAGCAACCATCTCCTGCTGCGGCACCAGTCGTTCTTCGCCACCAGGAACTTTCAGGTCCAGGAATCAAGGTAGAATTGAAGAAGGAGAGGTAGGTAAAACTTCACCGTGCAGCTGGACTACCTTGCCTGTCGGCCTTCCTAGGTATTAGATTACGTCCATGATGTTTCGCAACTACTTCCATTGCCATGTTCAATCAGCTTAATCTGTCATTGCCATGATACCCACTGACTTGATTAGATGAGACCAGCCTCCTTCGCCAACGCCATAAGCCTTTCCGCAACGTCCACCGCGAAGCCCCCATCATTAACATCCCTCTGGTCCTCAACAACCTTGACCTTCCCCTGCAACCCAGTTCTAACAGACTCAGCAAGAGCCCCATCCGCATCAGCATCCTCAAAAGCACCCCCCGGCCTCGAAATCGCACTAACCCCGCCACGAGGAATCCAGACCTCAACGAGATCCGGCTTCTTCGCAAACTGATCCACCTTGCCCACAATGAACCGTCCGACAGCCTCGCACTCCTCCTTACTCGTCCTCATAAGCGTAACAGTAGGATTATGCACAAATAGCTTCCGCTCTCTATACTTCGCCGGCACACTCTCCTTCGGTCCAAAATTCACCATATCCGTCGCCCCAACCGATATAATCGTCGGAATGCCCTTCTTCAAACTCGTCTCCAGTCTCGCCTCATCACACGCCATCTCACCACCCGCAATAAAATCGCAGATCTCCGTCGTCGTGAGATCAAGAATCGCGTCGAGATGCCCCTCGTCCACCAGCCGCTCCATGGCTTTCCCGCCGTGTCCCGTGGCATGGAAGACGTAGACCTCGACGTCGTAGTTGTTTTCCAGATGGGACCTGATTGCGTCGACACAGGGCGTCGTCACGCCGAACATCGTTATCCCGACTCGGATCTTTTCCTCTTTACTTGGCGTCTCTCTGCTTTGGGCTTGGGATTCCAGACGGGCCTCATATGCGCTCGCCATGCCTGCCATGGCGCCCGCCGCATTGCCTAATACATTGCGGAGGAGCTGATTGCTCCCTGCTATATCGACGACGCTGTACATGAGCGTCATATCTGTTTCGCCGACAACGGGTCCTGTATTCCCTGAGGCGACGGTGGAAACGATCAATTTCGGTAAACCGATGGGTGCCGCAGTCCTCATGACGGCAGATATTATACTTGTTCCCCCGCTACCGCCTGTGCCGATTATGCCGTGGACCTGATTTGTCTTCAGAATATGCGAGACGCAGTTTGTGGCGCAGGCTGTGATGTACTTGATTGCTTCGCCGCGGGGGAGGGCGAAGAGGTCTTTTTTGGTATCTTCGGAATCGGGGGAGTATTTTGTTAGGAGATCTGTGTGGGATATGTTGATTTCGGGGTCTTCTGTGGCTCTGATGCCAACGTCGATGAGTGTAATCTCGAGGGGCGTGTTGAAGCGTTGAGCATTCTGGTGTAGTTGGGAGCGGAGGTACAGCACCTCGTCACGCTTTGTGTCGAGGGTGCCGAGGAGGATGATGTGCATTTTGATTGTTTACTTGTCAAGAAAATAAGCTTCATTAGATGGATAGTCTAATTGATGAAATGGATCAGGGCGTCTCTTAAGACTGGAGGGGTGCAGGTGGGTAAGCAGCTGGTCATGTGAAGCGGGGAAGCTCAAGCACGATGACTTCATTGCCCAACCTCAGATTTCTTCTCATGACAACAGTCTTTCTTCCTTCCTCCCACTGCATCCTGCATCAATTGAAAGCAAGCCAAGCAAAATGTCACCACCAACCTCCCGCCCCGAGATCCTCGCCCGCCTCCGCGCCCAGATCAAAGACGGCAAGCCGATCGTTGGCGCCGGGGCCGGTACCTACCCCGCACTCACCCCTACCCCCTACCAAGCACCAACTAACAAGCCCAGGCATCGGCCTCTCCGCCAAATCCGTCGAATCCGGCGGCGGCGACCTAATCATAATCTACAACAGCGGGCGCTTCCGCATGGCCGGGCACGGCAGCCTCGCAGGTCTAATGCCCTACAGCAACGCCAACGAGGTCGTCGTGGAAATGGCCTCTGAGGTCCTCCCCGTCGTAAACCACACGCCCGTGATCGCCGGAGTCTGCGGCACAGACCCATTCAAGGACATCCCGCGGTTTCTGAAACAGCTGCAGGACTTGGGATTCGCGGGCGTGCAGAATTTCCCGACGGTCGGGTTGATCGATGGGCAGTTCCGTGCGAATCTCGAGGAGACGGGGATGGGGTACGGCAAGGAAGTTGAGATGATTAATGCCGCGCATGAGCTTGATATGCTTACGACGCCGTATGTGTTTAACGTGCAGGAGGCGGAGGCCATGGCGAAAGCTGGCGCGGATGTGCTTGTTGCGCATATGGGCTTGACGACCTCTGGCACGATCGGGGCGAAGACGGGCAAGACGCTTGAGCAGTGTGTGGACGAGATTCAGAAGATTCGGGATGCGGCGGTCAAGATTAACCCTGAGGTTATCCTGCTGTGTCATGGAGGCCCGATTGCGGCGCCGGAAGATGCAAAGTTTGTGCTTGAGCGGGTTAGCGGGCTGCATGGGTTCTTTGGCGCGAGCTCGATGGAGAGGTTGCCGGTTGAAGTTGCGATTAAGGATACGACGAGCGAGTTTAAGAAGATTGCGTTGAAGAAGTAGGTGGAGCTGTGCTGTGTATGATGCTCAGTTTGGGCTGCGAACGGCAACGCCGCTGCTACGTTGATGGAGAATAACGGAACAAAATATACAGAGGAGGGTTTGATATGAATAGCTAGAATCAACCAGTGTAGACACCACTTCTCATAGCCATAGCCTCCCAGGTCGACATCCCCTCCTCGCCATTCATGTCCGACCAGAGATTCCACAGCATAAAGATAGAACATTTCATCCACCCCTTATCGTCTTCCTCCCACAACTCTGTTTCCGCCACCTTGACCCACCACTTCCTCCTATTCGCGTAATTGAAGAATGTCTTGTCGTCCCGACTCCCCTCCTGAAGCTGGGCAGGCGTAACCTGATCACAAAGTTCGGCCAAGGTCTGCACGACCTCCTCGTCAACAACAATAAAGAAGTTCTCGTTTGTCCAGGGGCGCCCGGTCGTTTCTCCAGCTGTTCCCTCAGGAAGTTCAATATAACTTTGCTGGTGTACACGGGCGTCTTCGAACGTCATCCCGTCAAAGGTAGATCGGTCGTTCATGACAATGGGTTGGTAGTTCTCCTTAAGGATGGTATATGCAGTGCCTTGTTCATCGTCATCGCTGTTCTTCCAAGTGCGTATATTCTCCTTTAACAGAGCGCCGATGAGCTCGACGATTCTGTCGAAGTGGAGATCAGAAAGCGGGGTATACGTCGTGCGGTAGATGGTAATGCCCCAGGGTGTTTTGGTCTCCTGGATGGCGGAAGCGAGCTCTGTGACGGGATACAGGAATGACATGATGATGCGTGGGTTCGTGGTTGAAAGAAAGAAAAGAAACTGAAGTCAAGTGAGGTAGCCGACGTCGGGAGGAAGGGAGGAGAGCCATTTTAAGTGGAAAGGGGCCCAAGCTGGAGCTTAGTAAGATAGGTACAGTAAGTACTACCTAGTCTGCCAAGGACTGCCCCTCTGTTGAAGCTGATCCTACCTAGCCAGCCGGAGGTAATACTCTGGTGAAGTCCAAGCCCCCTGACTTCCCACTCATCACCTACCTGACAAAACTCATAATCAATCTGCCGGCTTCTAGAGTATCTTTCCAGTTTGTCAACTGAGCTTTACGGATCCACCCTGCTAAACCAGGGGGACAGCTTATTCGGAATCCTTCGGTTGTGTATTATATGGATGTGATGTCGTGGAAAATGGGAAAGCTAGGCAGGTATGGTTGGATAGCATAGGGTTCCCTGGACCCGCAAAAGAGCTCCACTACCTAGTTAGTAGTTCAACCCGTTCATCCTAATCTTTGTCTCGGCCTTTTGAAGGGTCAGCGCGGCATCCAGAATCTGCTCCGCGTCGCTGCCTGTTCGTACTCCCCATCTCTTGATCAACTCATCAGTCCACCTCTCAACGAAAGAGGTTGCTTTTGCCGATCTTGTTTCAAGTAGATCCTTGTATACTAGCCGCCACCATCTCACCCCCAAGCCTTGCCCGTTACCATTTGCCTGCCACGCTGCATCCGACAGACCGAGCTCCTTCTCAACCTCGTGCGCTTGACTGACCATCACCGGCTGTACCTTGATGTGATTCATATAGCTGATCGCCCCAACTACAGCACGTATCTTTGATATTGCTTCATTGGCAACGTCAGGATCTGTGGATTCCACCTCATCCTCCAGATCTTCCGCCGCCCAAGGGTCCTTGCCCATCCAAAGCTGCGCATAGTTAGTAAGAATCGGCTGAATGACGATACGAAGGTACTTGGCAGGAGAGAAGGACTCATACCCGCGACTTCACGCCATTCACCTGCTTCAAGAGCAAGGTGAAGTCTCCATTATTTGTCCTACTTCCCAGAGCGTTCATGATCCGAACAAGAGGAATGTTGGACTTCTCCCCACCCTTCATAATTGGTGGATTGGCAAGAACCTTGCCAGTAAGGTGGTCTCGGACATACTTGACCGGTAGAACTGCAAGCCCTGTGGGCACTGGCTTCTTGGAAGGGAGATTCCCATTGGTTGCATGTTTCACGTATTGGCCAATGGTGTTCATTTCCAGCTGATGCTCGACTGTTGTGGTTGTGTGGCGATTAGGTCTCCAGGAACTTTGGTAAACCATCAAATAGGATGCTTCAGAACTTACCATCAAAATCTTCAACTTCCTTGTCTGCCTTGATAGGTACAACATCCATGCTCCCGCTATGGCAAATACTTTTGAGGGCGAAGTGAAACGCTTTACTGCGCAGCGGGTGCTTGCGGTTCTTCGTAACCTTATATCTCTCCTCATACTGTGACATGAATGCTAGTTAGCGCAGCGAGGGAACCGGATCATTCGGGAGATCTTACAGTTCTCCCGTAGAATGGAAACTTCTTCCCATCGGCCAGGGTCGGGTTGATGGGCCGTTTCTTTCCTCGTCCAACCAGATCCTCATCTTCAGAGTCGGGGACTCCCTCCTCCTCCTCCACGCACGGGTCGGTGCCCGTGAGACAGCAGCCTTCAGCTTCACATTCGCAGTCCAGCACAAAATCCTCATTCCCCAGCAGTGCGTTGTAGTAGTCCAGATTGCACACTATCATTGTCACAAAGGCATCGTACCCATCTCGCAGGGTATCTATCGTGCGGTATGCATAGTCGCGAATATTGGCAGCTGACAGATGCCGGTAGTCGGCTTGAACACGGAACTCCCACATGTGCATTCGTTGCGAATCAGTCAATCCTGGTGGGCTGGTAAGTATATAGAGAAGTAGATACTCAATCGCATGCTCCGCCACAGCGGTCGCGCGGCGAGCAAGTTGAGGCGACGATGACCTCCCATGTATATCTGCATTGTACGTGTCAGCACCCCGAGCGAGATAATCTCCGACTCCCCCAGCAAAGTGGATCACAGAGGTAAACTTACCTAGAGAAGCGTCATCCGGAATGTATACGTCGTCCGTCCAACTACGCTTTAGACGCAGGTGCTGCTCCAACCCGCAGGTGGGATCGTCCAGAAAGTCTTGCACCTGCCCGTCCAGGACTTTATTCTCGTCAGTATAGTCGTCGGCAGAGCGCTTCTTGATGGTAAGGTGCTTAGGCTTGCAGCATCGCACTCGGCCACCGTCTGCCGCTTCGCAACCATTTCTGGTCTCCATGGCCACCCGCACCGTATCGCTTGGACAATTACTCCAACAGTAGTTCTCCAGATCGGTGCCTTCAGCGATGCGAAGAAGGCCGTAGCTATCATACCACTCACAATCCTCCCACTTGCTGTTGTCCTCTTGGTCACAGCAATACTTTCTCTCCTGGTAGGTAGCATAGTTTCCTACTGCATCTTCCCAGTACTTCCGGTATGAGCAGTAGTCCCCACCAGTACCAGTGCTGGAGTTCGCGACGAGACTGTTGGAGCAAGTGCCCTTATCACAGTCGGGGGACTGACCCCACTTGCACTGCGAATAGAGCTTCATGCTTGGGGTGTCGTAGGTGCAGCAGGCGGCTTGGTAGTTGTTATTCTCGCAGTGCTCGGTATTGGAGCCAACTTCCAGCATGCCCGAGGGGCAGTTGTCCTTCCCGTTGCACTTTCCGTTGCGGTGCCCATACCAGCCGCACTTGGGGACCTCAGCATCGGGTGGACAGCAGAAGAAATGGTCGGTCCCCTTCTGGCATCCAGTGTGATCAACCATGCCTTGGTTGTCGCCAGCATCGTCATCTGTGCGCTGCACGAGCGTCCAGCCTGCGGGACAATTCTCCCAGCAATTCGTCCACTTGCACTGCGGGTAAACCGTGCGCGTTTCGGCGTCCCCGGACTGAGCGCCCAACGCTATCGCTTTGACCTTGCGATTCGCAGCCTCGCCCAGTGCGCGCGAGTAATTCCCGTACGGAAGATCGTGGGAAACCGCCCACACCATGACCCCGCCCAGGCACTGGCTGCTTGCAAACTCTGCCTTCAGCTTGAAGGTCTCCGCATCATCGTATGTGAGCCACTGGTTGCTGTCGAACTTTAGGATCTTCACCGCGGCTTCCTTGTCAAACGTCGGTTTTACCTGGAGTTCGTCCATGATCTCCACAATCTCGGAGTTGAGCAGGATGCCAACCTCGTTGCTGCAGCGTCCTGCATTTCCGCCGGACTCGAATTTGCAGCCTGGCTCCATGCAGCTGGCGCTCGAGGCGGAGAATACGCGGGCATAGAATGCAATACCCAAGACCACCTTCTCCGGGTCAATGTCATTGCGCCATAGCAGATCAAGGGCGTTAGTGATCTCCGTCAAATTCGTGTGAGAGTTCAACTCCGGCTCAAGCCATTTATTGTTGCGATCCCAGGCTCCGTGCAGGTCGTATGACATGATGTTAAAAAAGTCGACCCAGTATTGTAACTTGGCGATGTCAAAGTGTTGCAGGTACCAGTATGATGCTGGAAGCGTGATGCTAAGCCCATGACGCCCCCCCGAGCTCTTCAAGAATGTTTTCAAGTTGGCAATCAAGTCCACGAAGTTTTCATAGTCCTCAGGGCGCCCGCTTCGATCATCTGCCACTGGGTACTCCCAGTCAAGGTCAATACCATCGAAGCCGTATGTTGACATGAAACTTAGCAAGGACCTGAAGAATGCTTGTCGATTTCTAGGGGATCGTGCCATATCGGAGAAAACAGTGGCAGTAGGTCCGGGGTCATTAAATGTCCAGCCACCCACTGCAATAAAGACCTTAAGGTCGGGGTCCGATCTCTTGAGCGCAGTGAGCCGCCTCATCATATCGCTCTCATATGAGCTCGGAGCAAGAATTTCGAATGTTTCCGGGTCGATTGATGCGAACGCATAGTTCAAATGCGTGTACACCCCGACTGGAATCTGTTCCGGGTAGAAGTCGTTGCAGAAGCGCTGCATGCTCCATCCCTCATAGTAGCCGACCACGCGACTCAGCCCGTTTTTCTTGTTGCAAGAAGGACGGCGCACTTTCTTGGTCCCGCAAAAGTCCTTCGTAGTACCACAAAATCCAAACTTGGAGCAACAGACATTCAGCGGGCACTTGGCACTATCTGCAAACTCGCCATAGCCGCCGGGGTCGCACTCAGCACGCCTTTCACAGCCGGCCACGCAGACGTCCTCTGCGCAATCTACGCCAGAAAGTCAACGTTCAGCCTTTCTAGGTGGATATATGGGAATACCTACAGTTAGGCCCTAGGCCGCAGTATCCAAACTTGTTGCAGCATCCGGTGGCGCAAGGGTTTGAGGCGTCGCACTCTGGCCGATAGTCACAGCTGGCAACGCAGTCGGAACCACAGTAGTCATCCCCTACGCCGCAGTAGCCGAATTTGTTGCAACAGCCAGTTGCACACGGGCTAAGCGTGCTGCAATCCTGAGCACGAACTAAGAAGAGGATAGAAAGAACAACAAACGCGAAAAAGGAAATTGCTGAGGATCCCAGGGGATGCATGATTTCGAGTTGTCTCTGCCGCACGGTACCTCAACGTAGAAAGCGCTGCTTGCTTGCTGGTCTGCTTGGTAGATTATGCTCTACTTAAGTTCTTTCGGACATTCCCGACGCTTCTGGATAGCTGTATGGATCTGCCTTTGTCTCTCCACTGGGTGATCTAATTTTACGTTCCCAGCTGTGGCCGACACATTCTAATGCAACAGATAGGGGAGAGAAACCCGCCTACTGGTCAGGACGCCATCGTGCCCCTGAGAACCCAGGTCGAAGCATGTTAGTGTCACATTATCACACCGATAACAGCAGCTAGCGCAGGCATTAAATTGCAACTCCGCTCACGATCGTAGGGCCGAGCTGTGTATGGGTGGCGTCCGGCACTAGAGAGGACTCAACCTTGCAAATTGCCCCGAGACTACTAAAGATAGAAGGACGAAGCAAACATGCTGTTCACAGACATTGCAATCTAGTCTCGTATATAATTTCCCGGCTCACATATTCAGTGGAGTCTACATACCTATGTTGTAGGCAATCCAGTAAGGCACCGCCAGTTGTCCAGCGAACCATTGTTCTGGAATTAAGCGCCGGGTATATTGGCACGTCCCTGATGATCACAGACATTTGCCTCAATCTTTCAGTTCGTCCCGGGCCACAGGCGCACAGGGCCTGATCTTATTTCGCGTGCCTAGTCCAGCCAATTGTCGGTATCCTTGGCGTAGCCCTAACTTGGCCAAGAGCCCGGGGTGTTCCTGAATTGCGCCCGTGACCGCAAATCAAGCCAAACAGCGTTCTGGAATTGAACAGGAGATTAGCAGTTCATCGGAACCCCGCAGGACCGGCATGAGGCTAAAGCGGTCCGCTCCTTGGCTTTCCCGTCCCCTGAATCTCGCTGAGTCTAAAGCCATGGGTATCTCGGGATCACACCCATTGGGGGTAAGAACTGCGACTCTGTGGTGTGTAAATCACAATCATGTGAATCATGCACTGTTATCACATTACCCCTTTTTTAAATTGCAAAAATCAACAGCTCGCTGACTCGAGGTGCAGCACCCTGGTGTCTTGCGGCGATTACTGGCGCCACCAAACAGTAAGCGAATGTTGGGTTCAGGGCTAAGTTCACACGGCAGACCATGTCTCGCCTCCATACTTAAAAGATATCCGGACTTCGAAGGTCTCCTCCTTTAGTCCATTGAGGGATTGTCTAAGACACTTTCGACCTCTACGATGAGGTTGATTCAAGTTCACCTCTTGGGGCCCCGGACTCTCTCGATCTACCTCTTGTTTCTCCATTTTTTGTTGACATCCACCACACGGGCCGATCACAGCCACTTGCACCATCGCCATCATCATGTCCACCGCAGGAACCAAACCCAGCCATCTGGAAATGGCACGACGGGCTCTGATGACCCCGCAAGCATGGTCAATAACGCGCTGGCAGTCCTTGCGCAGGTCAACAAAGAGCGGGTGGAGAATCCCAACTTCAATAACTACATAGTCCAAGACCCTGAAGAGGCGAAGGTACAGATTTCACATTCCTTACGGTGCTCCCCGTTCCCTGTGGTATACGCCATGACTTTGGGGCTTTCACTGAACGCCTTGTTCTCCTAGGCCCAAGCATCATCTGCCGCCCCTCTAGATTATACTGCCCAAGCGGCGGACAACGCACGGCTACGGAGACGAGACGACACGCCAACTACAACCCGCGGAAACAAAGCCTACTCCATCCCGTCCGAGCTGGCCAAAGCAGCAAAGATTGTTGCCGAATCCACGGACAACACCCCGAGCGGGAACCACAGCGATGTAGCAGCCATAGCCCGACACAAATACGCAAAGGGAAACCAAACAACGAATACCCCAGCACAAGCTTTGGTTCATTCCAACGGACTTTACGATTTCCAGTCATATGCCGAAAGTGACAATGCGCCGGTTGTAATTCAGAACAATACAAAGCTGCAGAAGCGAGCGCCTTCGCAGTATTGGATGCCGCACATGGAAAAGAATGGAAACAGCCCGTTCGCCCCTGATGGCTACAAGGTATGCCCAGTCCCCGTCAACCCACTACGCCAGTGTCGAGCGTTAATGGGACTTTGAAGGTTTGGAGGAATGTGCGAGACTACGGAGCTAAAGGCGACGGGGTCACAGACGACACCGAGGCTATCAACCGAGCTATCTCCGACGGAGGACGATGCGGTGCCAACTGCGGTTCGAGCACAAGATATCCTGCCGTCGTCTGGTTTCCAGGGGGCACGTATCTTGTCAGCTCTTCCATTATCCAGTACTACAACACCCAGTTTATAGGAGATGTGAGTTTCCCGCGTATCTATCCGGCCCGTACCTAACGGGTGACAGCCGTTAAATGTCCCAACCATCCTCGCTGCGTCCAGTTTCGTTGGCCTGGGTGTCATTACCTCGGACCCATATGTCGGCGACAACGCGCAATGGTACCTGAATCAGAACAATTTCCTCCGCAGCATCAAGAACCTCAAGATCGATATCCGCCCTACAGATCCATTCGCCTACATCTGTGCGATTCACTGGCAGGTTGCGCAGGGAACCTCTCTGGAGAACATCGAATTCTATATGCTTTACAATTCGGATGTTCCGGGTAACACACAGCAGGGTATATATATGGAGAACGGATCTGGCGGCTTCCTGGCCGACCTCACCTTCGTGGGCGGGAATTTCGGGTGCGTCCGCCTTTGACACCCTTTTTAATCTTCCCTTCAAGATACTAACCGTCGTCTGCAGAGCGTACTTTGGAAACCAACAGTTTACCACCAGTCAGCTTGTATTTGTCAATTGCAACACCGCCGTGCAAGTTCACTGGGACTGGGCATGGACAATGCAAGACTATGTCATTGAATCATGCACAAACGGATTGACTATTATCGGCGGGGTATGTCTTTTCTATTTTATTCCCTAGACTTTGGATCAGGAGGCTGACAACACTAGGCCGGTGGGTCAATGAGTACTGGACAGGGTGTTGGTTCGCTCATCCTGGCAGATGCGATCATTGCTAATACTCCAAACGGGATCATCACTTCGTTGCATGCTGAGAACTCCACCTCGCTGCTACTCCACAATGTTGGTTTCTTCAATGTGGAAACAGCTGTGGTGGATAGTGTGAAAAACCAGGTCCTGCTTGCTGGAGGGAATGAAGTTCTCAAAGACTCCTGGGGTTTCGGCTCCGTCACTGACGCTAGTGGTGTGGGATCGTTTGTTTCAGGGGCAGATATCCCCGTCATGAATAGGACTGAGATGATGACTGGGACCCAGGCCTATGTGAAGCCAAACTGGTTTACTCGGCGGCGGCCCCAGTACGAGGACTTGTCCACCAATGACATTGTCAATGTGAAGTTGTTCGGTGTCAAGGGGGATGGGAGCTCAGACGACACAGTAATGCTTAACTGGGTCTTGTCATACGCGGCGAATCTGTCGTCCGTGGTGTACTTCCCCTACGGTGTCTACGTTATCAAAGATACCCTCAATGTTCCGGTGGGCTCACGTATCCTGGGCCAAGCGTGGCCTCAGATCATGGCCACCGGGTCGAAGTTCGAAGATATTGATAGTCCACATGTGGCAGTCAAAATAGGCGATCCAGGTGACATCGGCATTATTGAAATCCAGGATATGTTGTTTACCGTTTCCGGCCCAACCGCCGGCGCTGTCCTGGTTGAGTGGAACGTCGAGCAGTCCGTCAAAGGGTCCGCCGCCATGTGGGATTCTCATATTCGCGTTGGGGGTGCTGTCGGGTCGAACCTTCAGAAGCAGCAGTGTCCTAAAGAAACAGGCCGTGTGAATCCAAAATGTATCGCAGCTTCTCTTTTGCTGCACCTCACGCCGACTTCAACGCCTTATCTCGAGAACATCTGGGTCTGGGTCGCGGATCATGACTTGGATGTCGTCACCCAGGACCAAATTGATATCTACTCCGCTCGTGGCATTTTGATCGAGAGTAAGCAGGCATGGCTGTATGGGACGTCCTCAGAGCATAGCGTCCTCTACCAGTACCAACTTTCCCAGGCCGAGAATATCCTCATGGCCATGATCCAGACCGAATCCCCGTACTACCAGCCTGTGCCCCTCGCTCCAAACCCCTTTACACCGGGAGCATTCCCGAACGACCCCCTGTTCGACGACTGCAAATCCAATGGGCTCAAATGCGCTGTGTCGTGGGCAGTGCGCATCGTTGACTCGTCATCTGTTTGGATTCTGGGAAGCGGACTTTACAGCTTTTTCTCGGACTACTCACAAGCCTGCCTTGAGACTGAAGACTGCCAGCAGAGAGGATTAGAGATCGAGCAAAGCTTCAATGTCTGGATTCACAATCTGTGTACGAAGGCGATCGTCGAAATGGTATCACCCTTCCAAGGTGTCCCAACTTATGCCAAGGACAATGTCAATGGCTTCCTGTCGTCCATTCTAGCCTGGCTAGGAGGCGCCGAGAAGACAGTTGGGGAGCGCGAATTCGTTGGTTTCAGCATCTACAGTACCTCCAGTTTGGAGAATCTTGATCTCCCACCCGCTTGTAAGACATCTCTCACAGAACGATTCAAATGCGATCCATATGTCTCGTCCATGACCCGACTCGGCTACCATGGCTCCCTTGATAACGATACATTGGCCGATTCCGTGTGCGAAGCGAGCTGCGGGAAAAGTATCCAGCAGTGGTATAACTCCGTGGAGAGGAATTGTGCCGGCCACAATATGACCAATGGAGCGCCTCCTGTAATGTATGGTGCGCGGATGTGGGCTGGGTACAATGAAACGTGCCTCAAGGACGAGGAGACCAGAGAATACTGCAACGGTACATACTGTCAAATGTGCCCTCCTGCAAAACATAGATGCTAATGCCCGCAGCCATCATCGACAAGTTCACCATCGTCGATTCCGCCAGTCAAATGCCGGAAACCGAAATCTGCTCGTACTGCTATGTTGAGCGTTATCGAATGATGCAGCGCACCCCGTACTCAGCATATGATGATTACTATAAGGCAGTACTGGAGACGATCAACAAGAGGTGCGGACTGTCTGGGCCCACCGATATCAAAGAAATCCCTCTGGGCACGCCACAGACTGAAAATTTCGATTGTTTTTCTGGCAAAACTTACACAACTGTCAACGGGGACACATGCACATCTATCGCCAAGGCAAACAGTATTTCCTCCGCTGCTCTCTACATGGGGAATCAGGATGTCATTCACTGGTGTTCTTTCATTTCTGCAAGCTTGGAACTGTGTCTCCCACTAGGGTGCGAGAAGACATACGAGCTCCAACCCTCGGACACCTGCAGAAGCATTGAATTTGCCTTCGAGCTCGAAGCCGACGACGTGCGAAAGTTCAACCCCTGGGTCTCGCTGGACTGCGAGAACATCCAAATCGCAAGTAAGATCTATGGGACGAACATCTGCTTGTCGCCTCAAGGGGGCGAACACACGACGAACAAACCTGGCACCGGCACGACCCCAGTAACTTCCGACGGCCATGTATACGGTATCGTGGCGCCGCCGGAGAATGCAACTCTGGCAGAGGGGACTACGACCAATTGCGGACGGTGGCATGAGGCCGCTGACGCTGAGAGCTGTGTTACCATATGTCTCCAGAATATGATCACCCACGATCTGTTTGTTCAAGTCAATCCGTCTCTGAATAAAGATGATTGCACTGCAAGTTTGCAGGTCGGGAAGACTTATTGCACGGGTCCAACATATACATGGGATGAGCCCCTTGAGGAGAATTTCGAGGAGGGTGTTTTGAATGGATAGCTGGTGTTTGTTTGATTATGTTTCGCATGTATGCTTGTGATACTGCGCATTTGATGTCTAGAGCATCAGAAACAGAGCAATGGTTGACCAACGTAGAGGAGAAGGTATATCACCTGCATCTAGTAAACCGATATATCGTATTAGTGTCCATAATCAATTTTTTAGGCCCTCTGTAATCGCCCACCATCCCTAAATGGCGGCCTTACAGCGTACCTCCAAGTCCCATCCATGCATTTCGTCTTCTTCAACTCTACACATCCACGCTCCCCAATCCTCGTCAACAGTATCTCAGCATGCATATCGAGGCGTTTCTTTTTCAGCGCATTCTCCGGCTGCGCAACAAACATAGGTGGCTCCTGCCGACCGGTTTACATCACCCGCGTCTCCCTCCAAGTGTTCGGGCACTTTATGCTCCGGCTATCGAAGACCTACTGGCAGATATATCCTGCACCCGCAGGGCGTCTGTATGGGGATAGGCAATGGACTGACTTTCGCGTCTGCATGTAACGTCTTGTCCTCGTACTTCCTAAAGCATCGCCGGCTTGCGATGGGGATCGCTGCAGGTGCGGCTGGCGCAGCGACGGGCAGGATGATCTACCATACACTTGAGGCAGCTCCTGTACACTCGAGGCCTCGACTTCGGCTGCTATTCACCCAGATCCCGGGGTTACTGCTGCTTGAGGCCCGGATCCAGCCGCGACAATCCGGTACGTTCCTCGACAGCACCGAGTTCAAAGAGAGTCCTTCGTCTTCTTTACATTGACCTTGTTTATTCCCGGGGGATATACTTTGACTTCTTTCACATGGGGAGTCTCGCGCGCCCGGATTGACATGAGCAGTACGCAGTACTTCAAGGTACTCATCTTCAATGGTTTCGGGCGGGATTCTTCCACCGATCATTGCAGACCGGGTAACTGGAAAGCCGAACACCTTAATTCCGCTCAGCTTCACTGCCGCAATAGTCGTGTGTGCCTGGATATCCGTTGCCTGGGAGCTTGTGCGGCGGTTGTGGCGAGGGTTGGTAAGACGGGGTGGAAGTTGAGAGTTGTTGTGTAGATTTAGATAGCATTTGGTACTTGGAGGGATGGATAGATGCGTTATGGTGTTTTTACTGGGTACCATTTCTTGAAGCATACTTAGCTATTCAGTTTTTGAAAAGGAAATAGGGAAGGGTTTAATATAGACTGATATCGGATCTATGACCACACCTACCCCTCTGTCGCCATACTGGCGAGATGGAACGGTTAGTCTTCACTTCATCCTATGCTATCAAGAGCTCAGTCTCTCAGTTCAGCTTTGAAGTCTCGTCGATATGTATCGTACACAGAATGCAAGATGTAAATGAATCTATATCGAAAAAGAATTAAAGATACAAATCTTGCTAATAATAAAGTACCATCCACTACGCCTGCACCCCATAAACCCTCCCACACCTTCCATTGGACATCTGAATCGTCGCAGCGCCACTATGAATCGAAGCCTTCGCATAATTTGTCTCCGGCGCACAAGTAGTTGAATGTATAAGATAGCAGTACTTCACCGCATCCGTGACGTGATTATAGTATGACATCGCGCAGGAATCCGACTCCTGGCAGCTGACGCAGCAGTCATACGCCGACGCCGTGTTGCCAACCGTCAAACTCTCGCCGGGGATATGTGTAAATGATAAGAGGTACGTGTACTGGCCTTCGAACCTGCCGTATTCCGAGGAGAAGGGGAGAGGCGCGACGTTGTTGGTTGCGCAGGCGGCGTGCATTGTTGTGCTGGTGGAGACCTCGATTGTGTTTGTGGTGGTCGTCGTGCTTGTTTCGGCGGGGGCTGTGGCGGTTTCAATGAGGGTTGAGGTGGTGCTGTAGCTTAGGGTTGTGGAGATGGGGGTTGGGACGAGGATTGTGGTGGTTGTGATTGTGCTGGTTATGGTTGTAGTGGTGGTTGAGGTGGCGGCTGTGCTGGTGATGGGGGCGGCGGTTATGGTTTCGATGCTGGTTGTGCGGAGGATGAGCTTTTCGTGGCATTCGACTGCTTGCGGGTATTGGTAGTCGTCTAGCCAGGGGTCGCAATGTTCGTCTTCCTCGGTGCCGAGAAGGGATCGTTTGGCGGGGGCGCTGAGGACTAGGGTATCCGCCAGGGGGGTGAAGTCGGCTGGGGATGGGATGGTGGAGGTGGAGGTGCTTGTGGATGTGACGGTGGTGGCTATGGTTTCAATCACAGGAGGAAGAGTGAGTATGGTAGTTGATGTGGTGAACTCCGTCGAGGTGGTTGAGAAAATATCAGTCGAGGGATCAGCAGTACTCGTGGCAGTGCTGGTGATATAGCTGGTGATTGTGACTGTCACCAATGGCGGAGTTTCTGTGACAGTGCCCTGGGTGGTCGATGTGATGATGACTGGAGTAGGATCATGCCGAGTGTGGGTAATGGTCGAAGTAGGAAGAACCCCGGAGATAGAGCTTGTGCCCAGTTTTGTGTGGCAGTGTACGCTGGCCTGGGTTTGCGATAGTACTGGCTGGCTGCTGGCCACAGGAGAGCTCGAAGCCACTGGGACCTTGGCTGAGGCCTGCCCAAGCAGCAAGCCAGCAACGAGGGGAATGAACATGAGAGACATATTGGTGGTTGAAGAAAGGACTTGACTCTGGTGATGGTGGGCTGGGTGTTGCCATAAATACTCCTTAGGCCCCTTGTATCTTGATTCTCGCCGGCTATTTTTGCCCCGGCAGATGTTCGCTTGGACCAGTCCAACTTTTGATCAGAGCTAACCGTTGTTGGCTTCATTACTCGTGGCTAGACCCACTGTCAGTCCTGTATCGACGGGCATTCTTCGGCTTTCTCCGGTCGTCGGATTATTACACCCTGCCAGGTGGTGGCGTTCAATAGTGCAAAAGGTGCGATTCAGGTACCGAAGCTTGGTTAAAGCTGTTATGGGGTTAGCTTTCTCCTGCTTGACTCGTGATTGCTGAATCTAGGGCATTCTGGTGGGCGTCGGCTATTTTGACCCCCGGGATGGCCGACAGATGGTGGCGTCGATAGCGCAAAAAGCACGATTCAGGAACTCAAATCATGATTAGCTCTACCGTAGAGTGGGGTTGTATACTCAGTCTAGATTTGCCCTCGTGCTGTATATACCGGCTCGTCTGTCTTCTTTCTGATCTATCTCTATCTTGCGTCTTTCTCCCTTAGGGATGCCCTGATCTCTCTCCAACATCACCCTGTCATCCCATACATTCTTTAACTGCTTTGGCATATTCTTTCGTTAATAATTATCCAAGATGGCGCTTTTGCTGGCGCGAGTATTGATCCTCACCACACTCTTTCTCCAAGGCCTCGCCATATCTACTGAGCTCTCGAGACCTCAGGACACTACAGTCCTCGATTCTTCCACCACTTCCTTCCCTTCTATCACTACTTCACTCATTTCGACCCCTACTGCCGTCGCTTCTACTCCAATTGCAACAGCGACTCATCATCACTGGAGTTATATTCCAAGGCCATTGCCCAGTCGCAAGCCCTGCCGCCCGCGTTCTTCATCCGCGATTCCCTCTTCCCTGGCCACTCCCTCCCCGTCAAATGCCATTCCTTCGTCTTCTTCGGTGAGGACTCCTTCAGCAGTTCCTTCGTCCTCCCCAGTTCGGATATCGCCTGTGGCTGTTACTCCAATTCCTTCCTCAAGACCTATCCACACTCCCTCAACAAGCCCGCAGCCGCATTGGACGTACATCTCCAGGCCTCTGCCCCATCGCAGCTGTTCGTTGGGTGCTAGTTCAAGTGCTGCTATTCCCTCCTCACAGCCTGTTCGCACTACTCCAGTTGCTCCAACCCCTACTGCAACTGGAACTCCGAGCATAGGCTCAACGGGAGCTCCTCATCAGGGAACTACAACACCGTCTGCCTCCACGGGTCTGGCGCTTACCACATCCACTGTTCTTACCACTCGCACAGCGACAATCACGGCCTGCCCGACTACTATCCCTGACTGTCCCGCCAGTGCCCGGACAACTTCTGTGACTACGGAAACTGTCCTGGTATCAACGACCGTTTGTCCAGTGACTGAAGCGTCCAGTACCACCCAGCCTCTGCCTACTTCCGTAGCTTCATCTGATGGATCTGACAAAGACGTTGAGCTTTCCACCTCCACTGTCTTCACAACCCGGACCGCCACAATCACTGCATGCCCTTCCTCCGTGACTGATTGCCCGGCTCGGTCCAGGACCACGTCTCTCACCACCGAGACAATTCTGGCTTATACGACCGTTTGCCCAGTGGCCGAGGCAGAAGCAACTGGCGGCCATGGAGTCACAACTACCCAGCACAGTCCCGTCTCTACTGCTACAGGAGCCATTTCTAGCTCAGAGCTAACGACATCTACCATGCTGAGCACTCAAATTATTACCATAACCGCCTGTCCTGCATCCGTGACCGACTGCCCTGCTCGATCGAAGACTGCGCATCTGGCCACCGAGACCTTCGTCATCGGGACTACCGTCTACCCCATCACAGAACAGCCGCAGCCTACTGGTCCTTCTGATAACCTTCCTGCATTCACTACATCGACAGTCCTGAGCACCAGAGTTGCAACCGTCACTGCTTGCGCTGCGAAAGACTCGAACTGCAACGCAGACTCATCTCAAGGCACTTACATCATGACCGAGACCTTGGTCATCGCGACGTCCGTGCTTCCTGTTCCCTCTATTCAGACGCAAGGTCCAGCTACAGCCATCGATACAAAGACAATCACTGTCGATTCCTGCTCAAGCGACGGCACCTGCACCGGGTACGTCAGCATAATCACGATGAGCAAATCAGAATCTAGCCAGGCACCAGCCGCCACTGCTTCCGTTCACATGCCCAGTACCAACTCTGGATCTGCAGCTGGAAGTAGTTACGTCCCTCAAGCTGCCATCACCTCCGCGCCTGTGATTCCTCAGAGCAGTCGACCAAGCGGGCTAAGCACGTCTGCCATACCGTCTAACTCTGGATCTGGTTTTGGGAGCACTACTGGGGCGGCGCCAGGTGCTTTGTTTACCGGGGCTGCATCTGCGAGTATCGATGTTCATTTGACGATGTTGAAGATCGTGGGAGCTGTCGTCATGGTCCTTCTTACAGTGTTTCTTTGAACAAATACCTAAGGTTCCCGGAATAAATTAACGCTATTTAATGCTTGACTTTTTTATATTGAGCCACAGCCCTGCGCCAGGTAAGGTGCACCGTACGAGCATAGAAATGATTCAACGTAATACCGACAGCGGGAAACCAGTAGACCTGTATGTTAGATTTGTCATCAACAGCAGGGTCGTGATTGGTCATCACATCCGTCCGACCTCGGCTCGGCACTCCCCGCAAACTCTAAATCTGCCTTTCCTGAACCTTGACGGTGCCTCAACCAACCCCTTACTACTCACTCATCAACCTACAATCCTCCTTACAAAATGGCACCCACAATCCCACCCCCCGACATCGCACGCACCCTAGCAGAGCACATCTCAGTTCAACCCATAGCCCCCGACGCATTCCAAACGCGCTTCAACCCAGAGCGCCAAGGCAACACCGCATCCTACGCCTACGGCGGATGCTCCCTCGGCGCAGGCGTCCAAGCAGCATGCCAAACAGTACCGGAGGGGTATATCCTCTACACTGTAACGGGCTCTTTCCTCGCGCCTGTCTTGACGACCAGCAAACCAACGTGCTCTGTCCGCCGGCTCCGGGACACGCGGACGTTCGCAACGAGACAGGTTGAGATTTCGCAGGTCCAGAATGGTACGAGTAGACTCTGCGTGATCATGCTCGCGGACTTCCATAAGAAAGAGACCGGTTCGGTACTAGAGTACTCGGCGCCGCCGGATCACGTCTACGCGCCACCGGAGTCTGGAAAGTGTCTCACGCCACAGGAAATCGGGGCGAAGATGGTACAGGACGGGATTATCAGTAACATGGACCTTAAGCTATATAATACGCTTTTTGGCCTGATGGCCCGCTTCTTCGAAACACGGCAAGCACCCGAGGGGGTTTCGGCGCATAATTTGCACGGTATGGCGAAGGAGCAGTCTCAACCGCCTCACCAGTCAACCCTGCCATTGACGCAAAAGACGAGCGCGGACTGGTTCCGCTCTCGCACTCCCTTATCTACGCGATCAGACCACTACGCGGGTCTAGCGTGGATTCTCGACGCGTATCTGACATTTATGCCATTGACCCATAGCGGGATGTTCCTCGATGACGTTGCTGCATGCGCAACGCTGGATTTTGCGATTCGGATTTTTAGCGATGAGTTTGATCTCACGGAGTGGATGTTACGCGAGTTGAAGACTGTTGCTGGGGGTTGTGGAAGGACTTATACGGAGAGCCGGGTGTGGAATAGGGAGGGCAGGCTTGTGGCGAATATGTCGCAGCAGTCGATTTTGAGGCCTAAGACGAGAAAGACTGGGAAGGCGTCGCTTTGAACTTTATATATTGAAGACATACGGTGTAGAATTTGTCAATATACCGCTAGATCATCCAATGAAGTCGCTATTCCTTATTCTACAGCAGGGTAATATATTTGTAGTTATAACTAAACATATATCTTGGATATCTCGTGATACAGGTGCCGGAGGAGGGTCTTCAAGTAGGATAGTAGACGATTATTAGCAGAAGTACTCCCATTCTTTGTAAATCTAGCCTCCTTACAAGTACTTCAATACTGGATCCATAAAACCTTGGATACTTGAGTTGAATGATTCTGGTGTAGACACATACCTATAGACAGATTGGTACTTGAGTTGAATGATTCTGGTCGAGGCACATACCTATAGACAGATTGGATCTTGGCAGGGACACCTGGGCTAATAATGGTTCTTATATTCGCACGGTGTCCGGTGAAAACAAGCAAACACCCTTCATTATTCTATTCCTTCCATCACTTCGGACTCGCCACAGCAATCCAGCAGCTCCATACCTGGACCTAGTGGCTATGAAAAACAAAGGGTGATCGGCAAACAATGAAGGCCCTTTAGGAAGCGTACTGAGCCGTCCTGTTTCCGAGCTTATTGGTTGGGACCCACCATTTCATCACAACTTCAACCGGGAGCTTCTGGGAACCCGGAGATTCCCTCCTTCAAATCCTTACTATTTAGGGGACATTCGCCAGAGGTGGCGCGGGAAGGATAGGCAGACTCATATGTCTTAGCACTCTGCAAGTTAGGTACGGGCCTGGTATTTATGATTAGTGATCATGAAACCCCCTCTTCTGGGCATAATACGGCCAATTAGATGACATCCTCCAGTAAAAAGGTCACACAGATGACTTCAGAGCGAAATCTTAATTGGTAATCAATGCTTGACTGTGTCTAAGTTGGCTTGCGGGGTTGATTTATCATCTGCAGTACCGTACCACCTGATTGTAAATTGGTCATCAATGACGAGCTCGTGTCAATGATAAAACCCCGCAACGCCTCCGCTATCTAGAAACTCCTGTAAGACTTACTGATGCTTGAATAGGTTTACAGTAACTGCTCTGTCCTGTTTGACGTAAAGCAACAATCTCATCATGTCCACCCCCAGAACTGCAATTATCCTAATCGACCCCTACAACGACTTCCTCCACCCAAACGGAAAGCTCACCCCGCTTATCCAAGATCTCGACGAGCGGAACACAATTCAGCACCTAAAGGATGTCGTTGGTATAGCCCGAGCCAACCAACTGCCCATCTACTACGGCTTGCACCAGCAATGGGCGCCCGGCCGCTTCAAGGATTGGAGACACATGGCGCCCAACCATGTCAGGCAGGAAGAAACGCATTATTTCGAGGATGGCTCGTTTGGCGCTCAGATCTATAAGGGTCTTGAGCCGGATCCGAGCAATGGCGACGTTGTTGTTAGCAAGCATTGGAATAGCAAGTGAGTATCTGGCGCCCATGCATAGATCGTCGTGCACGGATATGGTTAGCATGGTAGTTGATGGCGCTGATACACAAACTCTGCAGCTCCTTCCAGAATACCGACCTGGAATACCAGCTACGCCAACGCAATATCGAAAAGCTGGTCTTTGCTGGGCTCACCGCTAATACTTGCCTTGAGTCGACCGCGAGACATGCGTTTGAGCTGTGAGTGTTCCAACGTTCACCTAATATACCGTATGCGGTTGGCTGACTATGCGCATAGTGGATATAAGGTTACCATTCTGTAAGTGTTTGGTCGAGTCCGCCGAGGTGGAATCTGCTAATAGATTTCTCACTTGCGCAGGAAGGATGCCACCGCTGGCTTTTCGAGGGAACTGACGAGCGCGGGAGAGCTGGTTTGGCCGCTATTTGCGAGTGTTTCTACCGTGGGAGAGTGGGAAGAGGGCTTGGAGGCCAAAAAGAACACTTGAACAGTTTACGTAGTATAGTTGCGAAAACGTAATTAATTGAGCTATTGTTTTTCTTTGCGTTGTTTGATCGTATGCACTACCTACCAAAGTATATTAATGATCATCTCTTTGATTGCTTTGCTGGACTGTATACGTCAAGAATTTTGTTCCAGTGTCCTATTTATATTTTGATAGCTCTTTATTATAGATTAAGCTTCCTAATCAAGATAAGGGCCTCGGCTTGATTTATGGTTTGTTATCTCTCAGCAAGGCAAGGACAACGGGCTGAGATTCATTGCCGCTGCAACGCTCGCATCCCAACCGGTCAGAATTTTTTATAATCCCAACGTCTGCTCATGAAAAATCACAGCACCCAGCTTTTTACGGAGTAGTGTGCATCTATACTATTTCCTCAGTGCAGGTGGTAAGGAGCATTGATACAGTCTCCTACCATTGATTTGTCATCGGAACGGAAGTAATCTGTCAACCACAGTCTTGGCAAAGCATGACTCAGCAGAAAATCTCCGTCACGCGCTTGCCAAATTGGCAAATTCTGTCGTCCAACCATCACCAACGCAGAGCACTTGGACAATGCCACCGCGAAAAGGCCAGGCCCGCAACTCGCAAAGTTCCACTGGGCGTATTCGGGGGCGTCGCAGTCTGCCGGCCGCGTCCCCAGCCGCACCTGCGAGACGTGAAACAGAATGGGACCGCACTGTTGCCAGGATAGCCGCCGAGCCAATGGAAGCTCAGGTCCGGAGATACAAAGAATGGAAACGTAAGTTGCAGCCGATTCCCGCAACAAAGTGCAATTCGTTGACGAAGTGATCGAACAGGAAATGGGTCGCGCCATGACACGACTTGTCGCGTTTGCCTGGACACTGGCAATAGCGCCACCAGTCCTTATCCGCTCATCGGCTGCCATGCTTGCGCGGTAGCCTTTCACTTCCCCTGCGTGCCAAAAGGTATCGACTGGGCTGCCGATGGCGATCTCTACTGTCCGATATGCATCGAGCGGAAATGGAATAAGTCTCCTCCTGAGCTCACGCCGCCTGCTTCTCCTGTCCTGGCGCCCGCTGAGCCGCCCAAGGATGCATCAGCATCTGAACCCGCCCTGGCCGCTTCAGCTACCACTTCAACTGCGATATCAGTGTCCAACCCGCCGAAGGACCCTGAACCAGAGCCGCTGTCTTCAATTCCCCAGGCCCCGCAAGAGGCTCGTACGAACCCGTTGCCGAGCCCGTCAGATCGAAAACTACACTCACCAGCCGTCCCTACACGCCCTGCAAGTCTCCAGCAAAATGTTCCGGATTCTGAAGGGCCACACCCCAAACGCCAACGCACCTCCCGATTCACCACCCTATCCAGCGAAGTCGACACCTCTCTCGCCGTGCTCTACCGGGAGCTGGAATCAGTCGCGACGCTCAAAATGCACATTGAAGAACTGCAGCAGCGAGACCGCCAGAATACGCAAATGATCAAGCTGCGCGACAACAGCATTGCGATCCTGCGGCGGGATCTGGAACGGCGCCAGGCGGAGAATCTGGAGCTCACTCGGAGGATCGAGAATATCGAGGAGTATGACGAGGTGAAGAAGCAGGTGGATGAATTAAAGAAGCGGAATGAGGCGCTTGAGGCGGAGCTGCGTAAGTCCAGGGAGGAAACGGCGACGGCGCAGGAGCTTGTGGAGAGTTGGAAGGGGAAGCTTGCGCAGTTGCTCAACACTTGATGGTGTATCTTTCTTCTTCCGGTCTTCTTGCCCAGTTCATTGATACCCGGCTTGTTGAGGTACGACCGCGTGATTTACGGCGCCGCGTGGCAGATCGCCTAAATTGTTTGATGAGTGTAAATATGCACTACCGAACAAAGCACCGAAAAGCGCAGGTAGTCGGGTTGCATCCTTGCCGTATATAGAATCAAGGTCCACCTGGCATCACGGTCATTTTATATGGCCATAATACCTACCTAGGAATCATAAAGAGCAAGTCGGAGTTCCCTATAATTACACTATGCAGGTTGAAGGATGTATATATTCGACCTTGAAATTTTCGATACTGGATTCTGCGCAAGTAAGATCAGTGTCATCAATATATTTTTCAACAGTCGATCCTTACCATCAGCAAAGAAGATATGGGAGCCAAGCAGGGTTTGTCACATATGGCGAGACAGGGAATCGGCAAGCCCGCCACCTGAGAGTACTGGCCTTCTTTTCTCACGGATATGTACTCCATTAGTCTAAGAACTCACATGCACCTGGGCCCCTGGATAGGACCTCACCTGCACCTGCACCTGTCTCGTATACGAGTCCTGTTTGGGAAGTATTGCAGTGCCGCTTTATCTCACATCACGTGGTCTCGATAGCGCGGATTCTTGCCCTTCGGAGGAAAGAGCGATTCATCGACTCCCCTAACTCCTCGAACTCAGACTCGCAACCTCGCAGCCCATTTTATCAACGCCATCTCCATTTTCTTCTCTATAAGATAACTGAGCACTTGGAATTATGTTCCATGTCTCCAACAAATGGCAACCGCGCCTCCAAATCCGGAGTCTTAGGTAATGCCTCGCCCCCGGACCGTTCTTTGGACCAAGCAAAAGCTTGGAAGCGGGGTAGCCACCACACTATTTAACGCACCTCGCCCTCGATGCGATCCCCCAGTCAATAATTAACTTAGCAAATTCAACCTAACGTCGCTTCGATGCCATGACGGATACCAGACGCAAGTCCGCCAACGGAGGGACCCCGCGTCCCCGCATTAGGCCATCTCGAGGTCGTGGCCTGAGAACATCGACTGGATGGTAAGTCATCTGACTCCGGAGTCGCTTCTGTCCCCGAAGCGATCAAAAGCCGGCAGCTCGCTTACAGGACGATAGCCTCACCTGCAGAGAGCGACGTGTCAAATGCGACGATGGGAAGCCGACCTGCATGCGGTGCACCAAGGCGGGCCGCGTCTGCCGATATCGTCAACCCCAGGGGTCCGAGCATCCCGGTGCCACGGGGACTGGGGAGAACAGGGCTGCACAGCCGAGCATCACTGTTGAAACAGCGCCGACTCCAGCTCCGGCGCCAGCTCCAACACCGTACTTTCCGGTCCAGCTTAACGGACAAGACGATCTTCCGGACCGAGGGAATATTAGTGACCATGGACTGTCAGTATCCAGCCTGGAGGCCCAGACTCTTCCATTTACGCTTGGCGAAATATCCACTCCATTCGAATGGTACGACCTGCTGGCCCGGGATGCCATCAGCAATATCCAACGGTCGGGGGAGCCCCGAAACTTTCCCGAGATCACTCTTTCGCGTAGACAGTCGCCCGCGCCTGAATGTATCGAGCCTCCGTTAGGAGTACTGGAGTATCAGTCCGAGCCCTGGAACTCAGATCATAGGATAGAGTTATCGGCATACGACCTCATCTTCTTCCGATACTACATTGAAGTTGTCGGACCGATCCTAGACTTGTTCGATCCCGCTCGGCATTTCACCAATGTCGTGCCGCATCTGGGCCTGCGAAATACCGGGCTGATGAAGTCGATACTCGCGGTTGGCGCTAAGCATATGTCGCTCGGCTATACAAATGCACCGGGTGAAGTCACATCACCGGGTGCGAATGCAAGTAGCCCGGCCTCGTTGGCGGGCGCGGCGAATGCTGCCCCGGGCCCGTCTCCGGCGCACATGGCGACACATTACTACTACGAAACGCTCCAATACCTCTCACAAACACTGCTCTACCCCTCATATGCGGACTCACGTGAACTCCTGGCGACATCCACCATGATTAGCACCTATGAGATGTTTGACGCCGACGCAGACAGGGATGACACCTCGAGTGGCGATTGGGAGCGGCATCTGCGCGGATCCTTCTGGATCCAACGGTCACAAGACAACGACGGTGAAGCTGCTGACGGGCTGAGACGAGCGGTCTGGTGGGCATGGCTCCGGCAAGACCTTTGGGCGGCCTTCCGGGCAGGTCGGCCAACGCTTACCATCTGGCGTGCTAGGAGACCGCTAGAGGAGCTCAACTCGGATGAATTGGCCACAAGGATCGTCTACATCTGCGCCAAGTGCGTAGAATACGCCGCCTCGGGAAAGATGCCAAACCAGGATCAGGATCCACGAGCCAGGATTGAGCAGGGCGACCAACTGCTCCGTGCACTCGACGATTGGTATCGAGCCCTTCCCCCTTCTTACCAACCGGTTGCTGCTGCTGCATTGGACCCTCAGATAGGCACAGTCCGACGAGCGTCCAGCATCATGCCATCAACAAGCCCCGCCGACTCAACAAGTTGGGCCGCGGATGGAACGGGGGCGCAGGAACCGAGCACCGTGTACATCCCCCCTGTATGGATCCACCCGGCCAACCACGCAGGGGCGATGCAAATGTACCATTTCGCCAAAGCTGTTGTGCTTCTAAACCAGCCCACGATGGGGGGATTGAATGCCTACGTTGCTCGGCAAAAGCAACTCGGCGAGAGTGTACAGATGGTCTGTGGCATTGCCAACGCTTGCCAGGAGCACGAATCGGCAATTGCTTTTGTGAACGTCCAGGCCTTGTTTGCCGGTAAGTGTCTCTCCTTTTATCCGGGTTCCTTGTCATGCTTTGCTGACCACCAAACCAGTCGGCCAGTTCGTTCAGTCGCCTGCGATGCGGGTCGAGCTGATCCGTACTCTGGAAAACATGTTGCGGATCAGCAAGATCCCGGCCAACGGGCTGGTTGCGGAACTCAAAAGGGTGTGGCAAGAGGCGTCCGGATAGCGATAAGTGGGATAATTTATTCATTTCATTAAATTCTATAACTACCAAGCTCCGACGATACCAGCGATCGGAATATCAATACCCGTTGTGTACGAAGCCCCGTCCGACAGCAGGTACACATAGGCTCCTCCCAGCTCCTTTGGGTCCGCTAATCGAGGCATACCGCCATAGTATTGCATCTTGAGGTTCCAGTCCGGCGATTGATCCACAAAATAGGTCATCGCAGTCTTGATGAATCCCGGGGAGATTGAGTTCACGCGGATACCATGATGCGCCCACTCCATGGCCAGCGTATGGGTCATGTTTCGCACAGCCCCCTTTGTAGCGCCATACGGCGCGCTTGGTGCCGCACGGTTTGGTCGGTAACTCGTCATGGAGGCAGTAAAGACAATGGAACCCTTGATGCCGAGTTCAATGAATTTGCGGGCAACGGTTGTCGCACAGAAGTACGCGCCAAAGACATTCAGGTTGAACAACTTGTCGATCTCGGCTCGGGTGAAATCCAGGGCAGGCTGGTGCTTGGTCATTCCAGCGTTGGCGACGAAGCCGTGGATGGCGCCGCGGGCGGATACGACGGCGTCGATGGCTGAGCTAATGCTCTCCTCGGATGTGACGTCGCAGTTGATGTATTGGAGGCGTTTGGCATCGCCCGCCTTCTGTTGTACGGCGGTGAAATCCTCGCCAGGCTCGAATAGGTCTAGACTGTACACGGCCGCGGCCTCGTTGGCCAGACAGACTTCGGCGATGGCCAGACCAATGCCCCTGTTTGCACCGGTGATGGCGATGACCTTGTCCTTGAGGGTGATTCGCCAATCATGATCCGGGCCGGGTTGGGTGTTGACGAAGTCAGGTGTGCCGTTGGTGGTTCCGTTCTGTTGAGACATGATGAAGATGTAACTGAGAAGTTGATCAACTGAAGCTTGATTTGTTCTGCCGATTGGGGTGGCTTGATGTGCCTTATATCCAGTTTCGTGCAAGCAGCCTTTTATGGCTCGGAGCACGCATCGAGGACTCGACGACCGCGGCTCGACTGCGGGATTCTGGCCACCGAGTGCAACCTTCGAAGCGAGCGCGGATCCACCCGATTCCATGGATAGTGGCTGAGCTCGCATCGAGGCCACGAAACCAGCGAATCCTGGCTCATCTCCCTCGCTTCGTGCCCTGATTGGCCCACATCGGACTCAACACCTGCGGGGAAACCCCATGGGGAACAACGGAAGGTTCAGTTATATGCCTCGTTGATGCCGTGCTGCAACAGAATCATCTCCTATCTCAGACAACTACGCAATCTATCGATCTCAACATGGACGCCAAGGAGCTTGAGAAATCTCGCGATGGCGAGTGCAATCACATCGAGGCCAGTCAGGAGATCTTCTGGACCGAAGAGGAGGAGAAGAAGCTTGTCCGCAAGATCGACTTCTTCCTGCTGCCCAACATCTGGATCATGTACTTGCTGTCGTACATGGACAGGACGAACATTGGAAATGCCAAAGTCGCAGGGATGTCCGATGACCTGGGCCTTACCTCGTCCCAGTACAGCGTCGTCCTCGTCGTGTTCTTCGGTAAGTCTACCGTGGCCTGATGGACGACTTCAGTTCTCAGTGACTGACAGAAAATAGTGGGTTATGTCGTCTTCGAGCCGCCGTCCAACATGATCCTCGTCCGATCCCGCCCGTCCATCTACCTCCCTGCGATCATGTGCCTCTGGGGTGTCTTGACGTGCATCATGTCGGTCGTCCAGCACTATCACCACCTCGTCGTGCTTCGAGTATTCATTGGTATCGTGGAAGCCGGTTTCGCCCCTGGTATCCTTCTTATCATTGCATCTTGGTACAAACGCAAGGAGCAGTCTAGGAGGTTTGCCGTCTTCATGTCCGCGGCTATTCTTTCTGGAGCATTTGGTGGCCTTATCGCTGGTGGAATCACTGATGGGCTTGAGGGTGCCCACGGTATCCGCGGATGGCGGTGGCTCTTTATCGTTGAGGGTGCTGCCACCGCTGGCTGGGCAATCATCTCGACATTTTTGCTTCTTGACTACCCGGGTACCTCGAAGAGGCTCTCTGAGCGGGAAAGGGCCATTGCTGTTGCTCGGTTAAGGGAAGGCGCCATCGCGATCAGTCCTGACGAGCGGGTCGGAAAGTTGCAGAGCTTCTGGATGGCTTGCAAAGACTGGCGGACTTGGGGATTTACCATTGGCTATATGGTATGACCCTTCAATCATTTGAATATGCAAGAAACTAATTGTGCTAGGTTATCGTTGGCTCATCTACCTTGACCTACTTCTATCCAACTCTCGTCGAGGGACTCGGATACGCCGGCAGGATGGCACAATACATGACCGTAAGACGATGCACCCTACAGACCTTTGACGAAGAACTAACCAACATTTCTCTATAGGTCCCCATCTACGCCGTTGCCTTCGTGTGCACAATGATCACCAGTGTCTTCAGCGACAAATTTCCCACGTACCGCGGCCTGATCATTGCCGGCTGGCTCACCATCTCCATGATAACCTCCATCATCGTCTGCGCCGTCTACGACTTCACAGCCCGATACGCCCTGCTCGTCATCATGGCCGCCGGACTCTGGGTGTCGAACGCTACATCCCTCAGTTTCGCCTCGTCCTCGTTCTTCTCCATGGACCCGGACGTGCGCGCCCAGGCGCTGGCGCTCATGAACGCGCTGGGTAACCTGGCGCAGATTTACGGCGCGTATCTCTTCCCCAGCGACGACGAGCCGAAATACCTCATGGGCTTTGGCGTAATTTCGGGGATGTTGGGTGTTGGTGTGATCACTTATATCCTTATGTTTGTGTTTGTGAGGCGGCTTGAGGCTAGGACGCAGACTTAGGTGGTTGAGGAGAGTTTGCTTGATGCATGGGGCTGGACCTATGAGGGAATGAGGTTTTGATGATGTCTGTATGAGTGTATTTATGATCGATCAGCTGTGCCTGGTTTGTATATTGCAGTGCTACATTGAGCGTTGAAACGAACTTCAATTCAAGAAATCTTGCATTATGAGTTCTCGGTATTTGCTGGGTAACTGTTCCTGTTCGGCAAGCCACCTGTGCCGTAGGTTGAGTGCGGCAGGCACCGACCAAGCCAAGCAGCCAAGCGTCGTGCCTGGCCGCAACCTGGGCGTTTCTTTGTTCTACGAACTATATCTTGCCCCTTTTCCCAGACTCAACTTCCTTCTCACCTATCCCTCGCAGTCAGAATCCACACACCCCAGCATTATGTCCTACTACGTACAGCCTCTAACAGGCCTCGCAAGCACAGTGAAGTGGACCAATATTCCCTGGGGATTGACAATCTACCGCACAACATACACCCCATTCTCCGAGGAGCACTTCCCACAAACCATCGAGCTCATCCATACCCTCCTCAAAGCGAACCTGGACGAATGGAAAGACTGCCACAACGACGGACCCGAACAGCGCGCCGCGAAGAAGACGCTCTTGGAAAACTACCAGCCCATCGTCATAAACGACAAGGGCCAATTCGACGGGATGGCGCTGCCGGATATCCGGGCGCATTATGCGACGTACCTTAACACACCCGAGGGCGAGCGGCCCTACACGAACGAGAGCATGTTCGTCGTGATTGACGACGAGGGCCTCGCGATTCTAGCGGGCACCGACGCAACGAAGCTGCTTGCGTCCGATGACTCTGTAAGAGATGCCCGCAGGTACTGGGTTCGGGCGGTGGACTCTAAGCTGGAATATGAAGGGGATGAGGAGGATGAAGACGAGGAAGAGGAGGACGACGACGATGATGATGACGAAGGCTGGATCAAGTGCTCGGTTTACCGGCTGTGGAGTTTGTGGGTTGATATGGATGGGTCGAGGCCGATTACAGCTTGGCGTGCTTGGGGTGCTATGGATCCCAATGGGCCTTATTGTGGGTGATGAAGTTGTATTGGAGTCTATATGTTATGGGTAATTACTGACGCCATTGTATCTATCTCTTTTTAAGGCTTGAGGGTTATTAGAAGTGAGAACATGATGAATGCTAATGCAGGAGTGACTGCCTAGGAGATTCACATCCACTCGAGTTTTAGCCGGCTTTATAAGACAGAGCTGAGCTCACTTTCTTGACTGCCCATGAAGAAAGCCCATGTAGGCCTATGGATCCCGCTGAAGGTTACATGGAGGATATGACAATGTGCGTGGGCAAAGCCCGGGAGACCTTTGACCGGAAGTAGTATCGTGGTAACATGTAGCTAAAGCTTTTGATCCTTTCTCCCGAAATAACCTTGAGAAAGGCGTCAATAAATTGGAATTAGATCGAGGGTCTACTCTGCCTTCGTCATAACCAAGGATAGGCTTTATTGAATGCAAAGGATATATTTCAAATGATTGATCTCGAATACAAATAGAACTGAACATATCTCATAACAACCTCATAACTCCATCCCAAAAACCAAATCTCATCTGTCTAAAAATCTAATGCACATTCGGGTGCTCAACACCCAAACTCGGCCCCCCATTCAACTCCCGAAAGTCACCCCGGAGACTCTCAATGCCCTCGCGCTTAACTTCCTCAACAAACCCCCTAACCTTCTCCGCGATACTCGGCCCCGAGAAACCAAAGTGCTCGTACACCTCCTTGCACGGCAGACTCTTCCCCCATTGGTTCTGGGAAATGGAGGCATCAGCGTACCGTTCCCAGCCGAGAGACGGGTACGCCTCGATGGCGACAGCGGGCTTGCCGGCGCGGGACTTGAGCACGGATTGCTTGTACTCGCGGGATTGCTGCTCGAAGAGGCGGGCGCAGGGGAAGGAGAGGACGCGCGCTTTGATGCCCTCGCTAGCGAGGAGTTCGCGGGCCGCCATGGTGTAGGCCATTTCGGAGCCGACGCTCATGAGGGTCACGTCGAAGTCCTCTTCCTCGACGAAGACGTAGGCGCCCTTTTTGACGCCTTCGCGGGAAGAGTGCTCAGGGAATTGGGTGAGGTTTTGGCGGGAGAGAGCGAGGACGGAGGGGGTGGTGTCGTGCTCTATGGCCGCGATGTATGCGCCAACAGTCTCCTCGGCGTCACAGGGGCGGAGGAAGAGCATGTTTGGCATGGCGCGGTAGAGGGCGGGGACGGCGATGGGCTGGTGGGTAGGTCCGTTCTCGCCGACACCGATGCTGTCGTGGGTGGCGATGTGGATCTGGTGCAGACCCTGGAGGGCGGCCATTCGGACTGCGGCGGCGGCGTAGAGGTGGAAGACGAGGTATGTACTTGTGATGGGGACGAAGGTGCCCTTGTTGAATGCGGCGAGACCGTTGGAGATCGAGCACATGGCGTGCTCGCGGATGCCGTAGTGGATGTAGCGACCGGCGTAGTTACCGGTTTGTCCGCAGACGGTCTTGAGGTCGGGGGACTGGAAGTCCACCTTGTTTTTGTAAGCGACGTTGACGGAGGGGGTGAGATCGGCCGTTCCGACGAGGAAGTTCTTGACGTTCTGGCCGAGCTTGTCGGTCACGACGAAGGCAGACTTGCGGGAGGCCGTGGGGTTGGTAGGAAGGTCCTCCTTGGCGGGAATGCACTTGGTCCAGTCGGCAGGCATCTTTCCGGCGACGCGGAGGTCAAATTCATCGGCGAGGACGGGCTCGGCTTCACGGTACTTGGCGACGGCCGCGTGCCATTCCGCCTCGTGGGTCTTTCCGCGCGAGGGCACATCGGCGAAAAAGTCGTAGACATCTTGAGGGATGTGGAAGTGTTCCTCGGGGTTCAGACCGAAGGCGCGCTTGATTTTAGCGACTTCGTCGACACCGAGGGCGGCGCCGTGAGCGTCGGCTGTGCCGGCTTGCTTGGAGCCGACACCGATGGTTGTGCGGATGTTGATGAAAGTGGGCTTGGTGGCGTGGCGGGCGGAGTTCAAGGCGTTGACAATGGCTGGGTATGTTAGCTGGGAAGATATTGCAAAGTGAATGGATGGCACATACCAACAACGTCCGAGTCTCCGTCGTAGACATCCACGACCTCAAAGCCGGTCGCGCGCATCTTGGTGTTAATGTCCTCGGTGTTGGCAACATCTGCGGTGCCGTCGCATGTAACGTTGTTGTTGTCGAAGATGACACAGAGGTTGTTGAGCCTCCAGTGTCCAGCCAGGGACAGAGCTTCAAGACCAACACCCTCCTGGAGACAAGCGTCACCGACCATACACCAGGTCATGTTATTTACAACCTCGTGCCCGGGCTTGTTGTATGTCGCGGCGAGGTTCTTCGTCGCCATGGCCAGGCCGACTGCGTTGGCGAGACCCTGACCCAGCGGGCCGGTTGTGACTTCAACACCTTCGTTCTCGATTTCGGGGTGGCCGGGGCAGAGCGAGCCGGGGTCTGTGGAGTGGTAGGACTTGAGCTGGTCGAGGGTCATGCTCTTGACCCCGACGAGGTGCATGAAGAGGTACTGCCATAAGCAGGCATGGCCTATCGCGAGAGTATTAGCTAGGGTCGCATGATTCGACAGTTTGTGTTTGCATACCGTTGGAAAGAACGAATCGGTCGCGGTTGAAGTAATTGCAATTCGTGGGCGAGTACTTCATGACGTACTTCCACAGCGCAATACCGATGGCAGCCATGCCCATGGGGGCTCTGTAGAGATTTCGTTAGCCATGATCGTCGACAATCTAGTGAAAGTGAAGGAGAGCGTACCCAGGGTGTCCATCACCGTACTGCTGAACGAGATCGGCAATGAAAGCTCTGAAGACATTCAGCACGCGCTGGTGCTTCTCGGCGCTCTCGAACTGGACAGCGCCATTGCCGTTGATGGCATTGCTGATGGCATTGACTGCCTTGGAAGGCAGGGCCTGGATGTCTTCGGCCTTGGGGAGGAGTTCTAATGCGGGAGCCATTGTGGATGTGTGAAGTTGAGTTGTTGATCCAGCGATCGAATTCGAGGCCGCTGCCCGCCCTTATAATACCCCAGACGTCCCATCGTCTCCATCGCGAGTCGGACAATGACCTCTGGATCATGGGAGTTTTGGGATCGAGACGAGTGAGGACAGTGGCAAGTTTGGAGGCATCTGGGCTGGTTTTGGGATGGGGCTCGCTTCGAGTCCAGCTGGCCTCGAAGCGAGCCCGTCTCCCCGCAAATTCGGCCATTGACCGAGACCACGAGACCCCAAGACCCGGAAAATCGGAGGTCGATCGAGCAGCCGAAACCTAGAGGCCGATTGGCACAGACCACGTTTCGCCACGAGCGAGCGTCTGATGGTGGAGAGGGTCGCTTCTCCAGGTTGTGACGACGCGAGGTGGAACACTGAGGATTCAAAGCTGAGATGGAGATGCAGTCGCGGCCCGTGACCTCGCTGGAGCCGATTCCGTATTTTGATTCCGTATTTTGATTGGCTGTCACTAATGCGCTTAGCTAAGGGTCCAAAGTCACGTGGAAGCTTTATGCCTTACTGCCTTACTGCCTTTCTTCCTCGTCAGTGGTCCGCAATGGAAAGCTAAGACCGAATTGCTGTTGAAAGTGAGACGGCAATCTGATTGCATTGTATGGTCCCTTGATCTTAATACTCAATCTCTCGTAGGCGGCCTGGAGGATGGCGTAGCGTGCTAGACTAACCCAAGTTACATCAGACATACAATATACAATAAAGGGAAACAACCGGACTCTGTTAAGTATTAGGCGTATCATAAAGCGTAAAGTCAAAGCCGAAACAGTAAACTAGAACAGGGTCGAAGTCGGGAATGATTATCAAGCAGCATCCTCGCTCACCAACTCCGCAACTTTCCAAGGCGCCTATACGGGCATCTCCGTCTGTGATGACCGTACTTTCGCCCGTAGAGCCTCATTTTCACCCCTCAGCCGATCCCTCTCTGCGTTGGACTCCCGGAGGTCCGCCCTCAGCCTTAGGTTCCCCTCCACCCTGCCAAGCAGGCGCTGAGCCTCTTCCAGCTCGCGCTCGCAGTCCGCTAAACCGTCATCAAGCTCAAGGTCCTTGATCGTCCCATCATGCTGACGTTTCTGGCGTTTTCGGGTACGGTTTCCTCCTTCTAACTGTTTCATAAACTTGATACATTCTTGCAGAGCCGACCGGATGGAGCCGAGATCGCGGGATAATGCGGTGTACGGTTCGACTGAACGCGCAGATTCCCCTTCTGGGGCAGTAGCCAACGAGCTCGCCGGTTCCTGATCACCATCCGCTGAACTGAGCACCGAGCTTGTATCTGAGCTGGATCCTGGAGACTCAGAGGCGGATTCACGCGTTGACATATCGTCGAACTCCTCCGCCTCCTTCTTGGTCATGAAAGTAAGGCGAGGAGGTGGCTTGAGGAACGGAGATAGATCCCATCGACGTTTGACGCATATCGTACAAACAAGCACCTTGTCGCCTTCAGGCCTTGCAAGAGCCCACTTACAGCCATCCGGTATGCATGCTTTGTGAAAGACTAAGTTGCAGGTGTGGCAGCGGTATTTATCAGAGGAAAACTGGCGACATATGGCACAGCGCTCCTCGCAGTAACCTGTTATGGTATAATGATGTTAAGAAGCGGTTGCAGATAGTTTTATTTGCAGTACTTTAGTACTGCAATTTAAAGGTCAGTTCCGGGACCGACTGGGTTGGCAAATTTTGACTAAGCAAATTCTGCTGCTTTGATTGGCCGCCCCTCTGACCAATCCCATGAATAGCCGCTTAAAGCCGAAGTAATGTCACGTGAACTTACACGTTTCCACTTTGGGATAGCTTGCCTTTTTACACGTGACCCTCTACTAGTCCGCTTTTGGACCATTTGAAGCTCACCACAACCCCGTACTGCAACCACTTAGCACGCGGGCTACCAGGGTATTTTACTTGAACAGGGCGATGGCAGGACTTACCGTCCCACTCCTTGTATCTTTTAGCTAGAGTTTCCTTCGACTCCGCGAGGATTCTGCGAACAACTCCTTCCCATGGTCCTTCTTCTATTCTCACAGGTCGCACCACGGTTCCAGAAAATCTCGATATCGATGGCTTGAAACGAGCCATTGTTGTTGTTATTGGAGGGGTTGAAATGTCAAGTTTTGTTTATGATGTGTTGATCAACTGAAGGAAAGAAAAGCGGAGAAGAGAAGATCCCGATCCAAGGTTTGTCATTCCACCTGCGGGACCCGCACATGGGATTACTAAGCATCCCCTGTCTACTGTCGCACCAAAGTGCGTGGACATACTAAAGTGCAGTTGCCATGGGTCGAAAGTGCAATGCAATCTGCCCAGTACACTTGGCGAGGTCCAGGAAAAACATACATTCGGGGTCCTGACCTCCGTCCATGGTGCGGCAGGTGTATGTCTTGTTTCTGACCCCGTTCCACTTTGAAGTGTGGTCTTGCCTTCCACCTTAAACCTCCCTAGGGTTAGGTAGTAGCACATCCACAAATTCCCGTCGACAGCCAACGTGGTCAAGACTTTAGCTAACCGAGAGACTGTTCTCATCAAGTACTTTAAGTATAGTGCATCTATACCATAGCCTAAGAGATCATAAAGAGACCGAAAGTGGAAAGATGCTTGGAGATGATCCAATCTGTCAAGTACCATCACCATCCACCTGCCCCAGCAACTGCGCAAGCTTCCGGCTCAGATCCCGCACTTCACCCGTCTGATCTCTCGACTTCTGCAATTGCTCCCGCAGTGCAGTGTTCTCTGTGCGCTCCCGAGCGAACTTGACTTGCAAGGCATTATTTGCGGCCCGCAGCTGACCATATTTTTCTTGCGTCGCCTCCCTGTAATGTTCTGACCACTCTAAGCTCTGCTGCAACGCACGGCTCGTAAGCCGCAGCCGCATGTTCTCTTTTTGCAAGACACGAGCATTCCTCCTTTGGTAACGACGCCTTCTTTTTTCCCTCCTCTCCTGCTTCGCAAAAACCCAAAGGCACTCGTCTAGAGCCTCGCCGCGCGTCACCCCCTTCTCCTCGGGAATCTTCAGCACCCTCCGCATGATATCTGCCTTTTGCCTCATCTCCTCTAGCTTTTTATTAGACCTTTGGAGATCTGATCTAAAGTTTTCCTCCAGCAGGCTTGGCAGACGGTGAGCGTCGTCTAGTTGGTGTTGGAGGTCCTCGTTTTCTTCTGTCAGCTCGTCGATGTGGCATTGAAGCTCGTTGACGGTTCGGTTATGGTCGTCTTCCCAGCGTTTTAAAGATGCGTTGCACTGCTGTGCAGCGTACAGATGGGCGGCGAACTCGCTGGATAGCGCATTGGAGTGGCCAAGATCACGGCTTGAACGCGGGGTTTTCTTTTCGGAATTGTCATCGCTGTTGCCAATATGTTCCGTGTTTGCGGTCGGCGGGTCTGTTTCGTGTAGAAGCTGCAGGGTGTCGGAGCGCGAGGACTCGTCTGCAAATGTGGCTTTGGCGTCGGCTCTAAGGGCCTCTTGTGGAGCCACCTGCATCGCGGTTAATTATCCGATCGAGTAAACTTGGATCGTAGATCTGGAGGTGATCGAAGATCCATGGATTCAGGGGATCGGTGAGACGAGAAGACGTTGCGGCCATGTGACTTTCCCTGGTTGGTTCTTTGTAAAGCGGGCTCTGTAGCGTCTTGGCGTTTATCTTCGTACTGAACGTGGTGGATGGGAATGAAGCTGATGCTCGAAAGGAGCATAGAAAGCGAGTATAGAGTAACTGAGGTGAAGACCATACAGTTGAGACTCATTGTGATATCAGAGCATGTAATGGTCTGCTTCTGCATATGTGTCATGGGGGAAAAATGAGTCTGAGGTCAAGGTCCAGCTGGAAATCTACAGGTAAAGCTCAGAACACGATTCTTGGGATAGAGATGGATTCGAGGTTCTTAGATCGCGGATCTACGACTGATCCACAACATCGGAAGTCCCCGCAGAGCCACAGTTGTGTCAGACCCGCACGTGGCAGGCCGAGAAATACCTAACAATTATGTAAAGGTGTAATGGCTCCAGCCACGGCTGACTAGCTGCTTTTGACAAGACGGCAGAATCAAGTAGTCTGAACCAATGAGCTATCCACCCTGAGTGAATAATCAAGGCCTCCAGTAGCACCACGCACTCCTTAACCACCCTGCGCTTCCAGATCCAGAGTCAAGCGGAGCGCCAGAAGCCGCGAAATACGGATAAAGTATATTTTAAGCGCCGAATCCTCTCGCTTTCCACAATCTACATTCCATCGGAGCTAGGTCTGACGGTTGTTTTCTTGCTTAACGGGGTGCAGACCTTGATTCTGAATTTCCCAGCGCCTGAGCACTGAGCAGGGGAAATATTCTTGGCGTGGCTACAGTAGCCAGGACTGTGGAGCATTATTGGCTTGAAGAACCATTTCCATTGGCCACTGCTCGCGCCAGGGCTTCAGCCGACCCCACTCAATCAGGCTTCGTTGCCGGATATGTAAAGAATATCATTGGCTTGTGAAAGTATCTTTTGTTGGTTATGCCACCAATCAAGAGTAACTTTAGGCACTTGCTTCTATTGTCACCAACATACAGATTCTGAAGGCAGGCTAGTTCATTCTTTATTAACTTATTTAGATACATATGTAGAGTAAGTGACTTATAAATTGAGCACATTTGTGGGTTTGGAAATATCTAACCCCATGGTGCTGGTTTGGTGGGGCACCTGAGTAGATTATACAGAAAATCTAAAGAGTTATATGTTAGTTCTGTTGTTGTTTTCGTACATTTGGCTAATGAATCAGCATATTGTGCCCTAACGCTTAAGCTACCGAGCATCGGAACCAAAAGCCCACTAGAACTTTTCTACTTCTCACTTTGTGATCACATCATCACACTCCACTGCGTGAATATATTTCCATCCATCCCTGAAACCATGGCGGGTCCATCCTTCAGCCCAGAAATATGGCGTCTAGTCTTCGAAAACCTCAACTCAACGCAAGACATCTACAACATCTGTCTTGTCTGCCGCTCCTTTAAAACAATCGCTACACCCCTCCTCTACCGCTCACTGACCGTGATTCCAAATCCCCGCTCGTCGCCCGATCAACAAGACGCCCGCGTGGATGAGCATATAATAGAGCGCCTCGAAAGCGACGAGCAAGACAAGACCTTCCGCCTCAGACACTGGGTGCAAGAAGTGACCTTCGCCCCTTCTCTGTTCTTCGCCCCTCACTACTCAGGCCGAGACCGGGGATTCGACCGCTCCCAATTTATCCAGCAGAGTGACCATCCGATCACGGTGCTGTCGCACCTGCCGAATCTCCGCAGAATCACCCTCACGATTCCGCAGCTGCAGTCGGCAGAGTTAATTGATCTTGTAACTGAGCACCCCAGAAAACCGGAGATCATTCTTTCCCTGCATTGCTTCTTTGAGTACGAGTTTGCAGAGCGGATAAAGAGGTGGGACGAGAACGACACCAAGGATGAGACACTACGACTCCTTTTATCTCGCGTCGTAGGTCTAGACATCTCAGTTGATCCCTTCTACGAGGAACGACCTTTCATGCTAGGCCACGGACCCAACGAGCGGATTCTCACCGTGCAGAAGCTCTCCTTCAGCTGTCCCAGTCTCCGCACCTTCACGCTCAGTCTCTTCGGGAATTACGGCGGCTGCGTTGAGATAGTCCCTTGGTTTCCGCTCATTGACTCGTTCCGCTTAACGGGAACGGAAGTCTTCCCACCCCTCGAAGAACTGGCGTTGAACGGGTACAACATGCGCAAGAATGAGTGGCCGTACTGGCGCGATGGTCTTGACTGGTCCCGCTTGAAAGCCTTGACCCTCGGGCCGCAGGACTCATTCGGTCTGCTTGGTCGACTTGCCGGGTATGCGACCTCTTTGAAGGTATTAAGGGTCTACTGCTACGAGGACGAAGCCGAATATAAAGACCGGAAAGGTCTTTCTAGGTTTCTGCGATCTTTTGGCACCCTAAGGACGTTGGAGTTGAGGGGGTACATTTGCGCTATTGGCGCGATTGCGCATCATAGGAACTTGTTGAGCCTCTGCTTGCATGAGGATGAGTCTTCTAGAGCAGGGTACCGTAACCGGAGGAGGGTTCTTACGGTCGAGGAGTTGGATCTGCTTGACAAGCAATGCCCGGACTTGCGGGTCCTGGAAGTTGGAATCAGGCGGAAAGATGAACTGGTAAGACTCTAACCTTGTCCACAATTGATTGGTTTAGATTAATAATAAAAACAGCCTCTTGGGATCCTGACCAAGCTAGCAACATCTTTCAAGAACCTGCATTGCCTCTCGCTGCACTTCGAGCTCGGCATATTGGACCGCGAGCCCATCATGCCAACCCTGTCTCTCGCAACAGCGCGGAGCATAGGGCAAATGATGTTCGACTTACGCAGGCAATGCGGTTTTATGAATACGACAAGTTCAAACCCATACCCTTTCAAATTAACCCTTTGGACGGGACGAGCCTACCGCCGCTACCCACAGATGCCTCCCCGATTTGACTCGTGGGAGTTGAAGTTTACGAATACTTATGAAGTTCAATTGCCGGTGAATAAGAAGGACGGCGACAACGAAGTGGAGGTTCGTCTGACGAAGGGGCAAGGGCTGGATCCTGATATTCGGCGAAGTGAGACTCCTGACTTATGAACTTGGAAGACGTTCAAACAGCCAATGTAGGCAACCAGGCGATACAATCAGAAGATGATCGTGATTCTATTTCGAGATATAACATTGACCTTCGCTGATTGAATTCGATGGTTTTGACAATCTCATGGTCGTTATGAGGTATCTCTATCTTAATAGGGGTGGAAAGGGTATAATGCAACTTAGGAGATGGTTGCCTTCTAAACCCTAACTCACATGATACAAATCATACCACTGGTCTCAAACACATATACCCAAGTTGTGATATGGCAGGGTATCATGATTCTCAAGACAAATGCAACTAGAGTCCCTTGAACCATGCAGGTGCCTGCTGCGCCACGTAATGAGGGGGTAGACCCTAGCTTAGTCCATGTTAGCGTCGACTAGGCAGCCCAATACCCCATTCCTATATTTCTCTGCCAGAACTCAGCCTCGAGTTTCCAACTTTATGTACTTTAGGGCTACCCCATCCCCATTCCACCAAGTACCTAAACCATGCCAGAACCAATCCAACCCTTCCCCCTCAACCCAGACATATGGCACCTAATCTTCAACACCACCACCCAAAACGACCTCCTCAACATAGCCCGAACATGCAGAACCTTCAACACCATCGCAACACCCCTCCTCTACCGCTCCATCACCCTCCTAACCCCCAAACCCACCACCCCAGACCAAAAAACAAAGCTTCTCTCAAAACGCACCGCCGAGCGCCAACGAGCCGGCGATCCGTCCAATCCAAACAGAACCCGCGAGTACGACCGCGCGCGCTGGACCCTGTTCGCCCGACTCGAGAGGGACGAGCATATCCGGAGTTATGTGCGCGAGGTCGTCTTCCCGTCCAGCTCGTCGTGGACTGGATACGTGGGGTATCTGCGGGAGGATAACTACGACCGGCTCTGTCGGTTACTTCTGCGCCTGCCGAATCTGCGGAGGGTGAAGCTGGGCTGTAAGAAGGTGCAGAAGGAGTGTGGTGCGCTGGTCCGTGCTATCGCTGCGCATCCGCGACAGCCCGAGCTGGAGGTGACGATATGCGAGACGGATAAGCGCGGGGAGTTTCCCTTTGCGCAGGCCGTTTCTGCCCCCACTGCTGGAGCTGAAGTTCAGGATTCCGGGCTCTCCTGCGTCTCGAGTCTCACCGTGACAGTTGAGCCCCACCGGTGGCCGAACGGAGGCGGCAGGCGCATGCGCGATATCCAGGATCTGTTCTTCCGGTGTCCGCGGCTTCGCTGCTTCGCGATGACAGTGCGCAACGCTGAAGGTGGCCATATATTCATCCAGGTTGGGATGGAGATGTACGGTGCCGTGAGCTCGTTCAAGTTCGGTGGATCCCATGGAGATGGAGATGGAGACGCAAGCCGGCGCTTGGTCTTCCCGCCCCTAGAAGAACTGTCGCTGGATGGGTACCAGATGGACGCTGTAGAGTGCGCATATTGGCGCGACGGCCTCGACTGGTCCCGGTTGAAGTCCCTCACTGTGGGACCAAATGAGACGTATGCGAGATACGAGCAGGATGAGGGTGGGTTACTCGGCAAGTTCGCGGGGTACGCGACGTCGCTGACAACGCTGAGGGTGCTCGATTACGCGGGCACGAATATCGGCTATGGGAAAGCATGGGTAATCGGTCCGACAGGCGAATGGCGTGACGGTCTTGCGAGACTTTTGGACTCTTTTGATTCGTTGGTCACGCTGGAGCTGAGGGGGTACTGGCCCAGTCGAGTTGAGACGATTTGGCGGCATAGAGGGCTGAGAGAGCTTACGCTGCATGTGGATGAAGTGGCTGATAGTGATGAACGTAGGGTTCTGAGTGTCGAGGAGCTGGAGTTTCTTGATGAGCGGTGTCCTGGGTTGAGAGTTTTGGAGATTGATATTGAGCGGGATGGGGAGTTGGTAAGATATCCATTCACTTCGTTCTGGTGCACCCTCATATCCTCAGTACCAGTGAGAAGGTCTAACAGAAGCTATGAAACCAGCCCATCACCATTCTAACAACCCTAGCAACGCGCTTCAAATCCCTCCACGTCCTATCCCTGCACTTTGAGCTCGGTCTCCGCAACATCAAGACACCGCTCAGACCAAGTCTGTCCACCATAAATGCGCACCGGCTTGGTAAACTGTTCTTTAATGCCCGGCATCATGCTGGGATTGCTACCAGCTGCTCATTTACAATAACCCTCTGGACGGGACGATCATATCCATGCGAAGGAGAGCCCGAGCGGGACCATACTCGGTTTGCGGATGAGTATACGGCCACGTACTCGGTCTCTTTGGCTGATGGCGGAGATGGGGATAGTGAAGCGTTGCTGGAGGTGAGGAGGGTAGAGGGGAAGAGCCTGGATATTCGGGAGATGGCGGTTAACCCCAGTGGGATTTTTAGGGGATGACTTATGCTTGACGATGGGGACGGAGGCGTCGTTCCACGTCAGGTTCTCTGAAATGGTACTGAGGTACTTTCTAGGGGTATGGCTTTGCACTCGGTTGGGGTACGTAAATGCAGGTTATGCTATTACCTAGGCAGGTATGGATGGAGAAAAAGGAACATGACGAGTTCTCAATGCATTCTACGAAGGGAACGACAGTCATGTATAGGGTAAGGAAAGACTGATCTATTTACAACCAGACATAAGCAGACCTTCCTCTTGGTATTGATATACTTTCCATACCCTGACTCGAGGAGGAGATCTATTTAATCTCATAAAACCCCCTCAAGCCATCGAACAAAGCCCCAAAAACACCCCCATGCCACCCCCGAACCTCCTCCCACTCCTCCCCAGGCAAACAAACACTAAACATCCGCAACCACCCACCCACAATGAAATCCGCATAGCAGGGCTCACTCCCCAGGATAAACGGCCCGCTCGTATCACGCCCAAACACCCTCGCCAGATCCCCCAGCGTCTCCTTGAACGATGCCATAATCCCCTTCCGCGCCTCACCAGTCACATCAAAAGCTTCAAACGACGGCATCCCCGCCCGCCGACAGAACTCCGCCTTCGACACCTCCTCAGTGTCCGGGTTAAACGGGATCCCCATGACATTGAGGATCGTGTGCGCGGTGAACGCGGCGTCAACGTGCGTGTTGAATTCAGCGTAGCGGACGTATTTCTCCTGGCGCGCGGTCTCGCTGAGGTCCGAGAGCGGGACGAGCATTGCGGTGTTGCTGGTCCGGAAATCCAGCTTTACGTCAGCTCCTTCGGGGAACAGGGTTCCGCCGGCGCTGGGATAGGTCTCGTGCATGTACACGGCGATGTCGAAGGAGTCGCCTATTTTGGAGCCCGTGGCGCTGTCGACGAGCACAGGGAGCGTGTAGAACTCGCTTCCGTCGGCGAACTTGCGGCCTGCGGGGATGTCGAGGGATTTTCGGGTTGAGGCGACGTCCGGCAGGTCGACCCAGGTTGTTTTGTAGGGGATGGACTTGAAGTTCAGTGTCAGGCGGGCCTTTGTTGGGTTCGGGGAGCAGGCGTTTTGTTGCACTGGCTGGCGCATGAGGATGTCGTAGACGGTCAGGGTGGGGGTGGAGTCGGTGGGAATTGAAGTGGACATTGTGGAATTGGATTGTGGATCAGGCGGCTGGGGATGGTTGGGAATGATGTGGGACTGGACAGGTAAGAGAGGGATGCTGGTTATTTCAATTTGCTGATGAAGTCTGCCTTATACAAGGTTGGATGTTGACAGAGGGGAAATGGAGGGGCAGCAGAGTCTGCAGAATACCGTTGCATCACGTGGAGCACGCAGTTTATGCATGGACTTGTGCTGCACTATTTCTGGGCATGCATGTGCTAGTAGTATTTCACGCCCATTGCTTTATCAAGCTCTGTTTATCTTCATCTGAAGGGGTGTATACAACCACCAAGCGATATTTCTACATCCCCAGCTAATCAGAAGGTTGCCCTGGGCTTGGTGTCGGGTAAGGATGGCGCAATGGTAAGCATGAATGTCGATAGACTAAATACGTACCTTGCTACCCACATAGAAAGGTTTTGCATGTTAATATTTTATTGTAAATCATCTACAGTTCCATGTCCAAATCGGAGTCTGGTGATTTGATCCGTGATCATGCAAGCCCCTCTTGTGTGCATGATATCCATGGGTGGCCAATAATAGGGCATCCGCAGAGTAGAATGACTTGACATGTCACACAGACAATGCAGACCGAGAGTATAATTGGTAAGCAACGTACCATAGTAAATTGTTCATCATTACGAGCTCATGAGTGCAACGATGGAATCCCGCAACGCTCCCGCTGTCTAGGACTAGGACCTCATACTGCTGGCTACCTACCTGGATCTGCAATAGCAATCAGGTATTTAAGGTATGAAACCAAACTTATAGTCCACTCGAAAGCAGTCCGTTTCCAGGCGAACAGATTTGCTTAATGAGTTAGTAGGTGGACGGTCAATGAGTTCCTGTCCTTATGCATGGTGGGTATCGGACACCATGCTTTTGTCTACATCAAGCACAATAACGCTCGGATAATGTATATTAAGAATTGACAGGGAGTTTGGCTCTTTCCAGGTACTTGACACATTTTCCATGTCACAACCAGCGCGAACAGTGCACATCTAGGCCTTCACTAGCTGCCGGGATGATGACCTTCCTACTATACTCAACTCGGTAAGACATAATCCTAGAAGTTTACACCTAAGAATCTTCTGCTTGTTTGCAGTTAATGATTGTAGCACTCTGGGCGCGTTGACTTGTTTGCTTGTGACATGATATCAAGTTTGTTTTCTTGTAGCATTCTTCACGAGCATAAATCTCGCATGTCCTACACAGCATGATCTTCGAGTGAATTGAATATATATAGTAGTTGGCGTTAGGAGGCAATGCCAGTGAGATGAAACCTGAGATTGAATGATTCAGCAACTGTTAAATTCTTCTAAAGAAATTTTGAGAGGTCTGGATTGAGGGCTCGGAACTGCGTTGAAAGGGCAGTAAATGCCATGTGCCGGTTGTACACAAAGTCTAGAAAAGGAGGTGGCAAAGAGCATCGTTTCGTTAATAGTTAATAAGAATTGCAATATAATCTATATTTTTGATTAGCCAAGTACATACGACCACAGGGTGTGGAGAACAGGGCTTCCCGTCCGCTCAGCCGTACTTAAACCACACGCCGGCTGGTTAGTAGTATGGTGGGTGACCACATGCGAATCCCAGCTGTTGTATGTTTTTGTTTTTGAAGTTGCAGGCGCATATGCGTCAATGAGCAGCATTCCCTTGTCTTTTGGTGTGCCTGCCGCGTCCCAACTCATAACCAGACCGAAAGGTTCTAAAAAGAGCCAGCTGCAATGTAGTTCCCATTGTCGAATTTGTGTGGTTGATGTACTGTGAAGATTTACCACTAGCACCAAGAAAAAAGAGCTTGGTCAAATAGCATCATACGGACCATGTTCTCAAGAGTTATATCACGTCTAGATGGATGATACTCGAAAGAGCATGAGCCGGGTATTATGGGGTATAATTAGATCTTTGTTATGTTACTCGACTCGTCATATCGACATTAACTACAGACGTATGAGAACCTGCAAAACCTGCCTGACACATTGGGAGTGTTACCACATCAAGGATACCCCAAGAAGGAGGTATAAGAGATGGGATAACGTGTCCCATTTGCCAAAAGGACCCTGGCACCGAAAAAAGAGAATGAACGAGAGCATATGCAAGGGCTCAACCAACGTATATCCCCCCCTCCGTCCCCACATCATAAATATCGGCCATAGTGGGCTCAGGGTCCGTTATATCCTTCCACAGCGGCCAAAGCGCTAGCACAGACGCCTTCATCATCGTCCCATCGTAATCACCGGGCCCGAAGTATGTATCCTCCAAGTCAGGCTCCGCTTCCACAACCTTCACCCACCACCGTAAACTATTTTGACGATACACCGCAGTGTCGTCCGTGACACCCTCTATCCAAGGCACCGCGTCAGCGAGCGCCTCGACCACCTCGTCATCAATCACCAAGCATGCGCGCGTCTGTGAACTCCAGACAAGATTGATGTCCTGCTGACTGCCCCATGTCTCAAAGTGCGAGCGGACAGATGAGAGAGGGATGTCATTAAATTCGTGCGGGTTTTCCATGACTGTTGGGCGATAGCGGGCGCAGAGGAGATTGTATGCGCTGCGGTGGGTAAGATTAAGATAGGGATTCACTAAGGAATAGTCTTTATCGGCACCGCGCTTGGTCCAGGAATTAATTGTCTCGATGATCCGCGGGAAGTGCCGATCGGATAGCGGGGTGTATGTGGTGCGGTAGATGGTGAAGCCCCATCTTGCTTGGGGGAAATGGCGCAGGGAACTGATGAGGCTGGAGGCCATGTCCGTTGGTGGAATTTCAGATGGCAAAACTTGCGGGCAGTGTAGATGGACAGTTCCAAGGTTGGGGAGAAAACTGTCACGGTAACCGGTACCCGACTTTTCTGATCTAGGGCTACCCAGGCTGTTGAAACAACTGTACGAAGCGGCCTGAAGATGCCCCCTTTCCCAAGATCAAATCTCGGCCTAGACTAGATGCTTTGGGTTAGCATGCCCAGGTGGCTAACTGATTTCCTAGCCAATCATATTGTTTTGCACATGGGCACCTAGATGGCCATACCCTATAAATGGTTCTTCAACCATAAAATCTTGATGCTCACTCTGCAATCCTTCCTCTGTTGGCCCCCATACAGCCTGAAAGCTGAATAGGCAAGATTCATTGTTCAGTGATTGCACTTGCAAGCCTTCGAGGTCTGGACAGGCAATAGATCCAACCCTCCCAGACCACTAAGCCGTCATAGCCCCGATTTTCACAGTTACTAAAAGCACATAAGATACTACTAGGTATATCGAACATTTTATTTTTTGTTGTCTATTACACCGCGCTCAAGAGGAAGCCATCGTCCGCGCCCGCAGACTCCCCAGCCCTCAAACCTTATGTCGTTGCGAATTGACTGTGATACGTGGTGACTGGCTACTTGGACTTGGACTTGATAGTCGGATAGTTCCGCTGGAATTTGTACGCGAATGATGGGCCTTGATGATACCTTTCGTTCGATGTGCAGAGGTCCCGAGGATCTTCTTCTGGTTACCGGGGTTGGGTTGGCGAAGCAAATTAACAAAGATGTATCCCTTACTCATTTGCCAAAATGGATGTAGAGTTGATATATTCGAAACAAAAAAGCTAATTCTCTAGATCTGGGAGACTCATCTCTTATCCCGCATTATGTATGCCCAGGTTTGACCTTAAGGATTTCCGAAATATTCCCTACGCCACTGCAGTTCCCTCCGCCTTGTTCTTCTTCATACTCTTCCACTCAACCCCAAGAGCCCCAAAGATACTCAAGCACCCCAGAATAAGCGCCAACTGGAAGACCTTAACCAGCGCCGCGTTATACGCCACCAGCACCTGCGGCAAGACCTCCGCATCAACAATCGACCTCACGCTCGTCGCCCCGCCATTGACCACATCAGCAGGCGAAAACCCCGGGATATCCAGAGCCTCCAGGTTACCAATCAGCTCCTTGGTGAAGATATTCTGCGCAACCGAGACGAAAAGCGACCCGCCCAGCATCTGAAGGAACATGACAATGGCCGTGCCAATGGAGACCTTGGATAAAGGGAGCACGGCCTGCGCGGCGACGCCGCCCTGCTGGAACCCGAAGCCCACGCCTAGCCCGTAGAGGAAGAGGAAGCCCACCCACTTCGCCTGCGAGATGTCCGTTGTGAATGTTGTGATTAGGCCTGCGCCGATTGACATCATGATGCTGCTGAGGATGAAGAAGGGCGCGTTGTAGCCGAATTTTGTTGTGAGGCCGCCGGATAGGATGATGCCCGCGACGTTCGAGAGGATCATGGGGAGGGAGTCGATGCCGGAGTGGACGGCTGTGACGCCGCGGATGGCTTGGAACTGTTGGGGAGGTTAGTGGACCTCGATGCATACCGTATGCGGCGAGATGGCTAGCGGAGACGGGGGAAAGAGTCACGTACCCAGATGGGGATGTAGTAGATCATGATGAAGAAGGATCCGCCAATGCAGAGGCCAAAGAACGAGGCGAAGGCAATCGTTCGCTGACGCGCAATCCCGCTGGGCACAGTCGCCCTGTCACCGAGTACGATTTGCAGCGCAACAAATGCAAGGATCGCTACGCCGAAGATCACGAACAGGGCGATGATGCGCCCGTTGGCCCATTCGTACGTCACCCCTCCCCACTGGAGCGCAAGCAGCAGGCAGACAATGGCAGGCACGAAGATGGCTGTGCCGATGGGGTCCAGGTCCAAGAAGATATCCACGAATGTCTTCTGGCTTCTTTGCTTGGGGGGTAGTCTCAGGAGGAAGAGGAGGCCGGCGGCTGTGATGCCGCCCAGAGGGAGGTTGATGTAGAAGCACCATCTCCACGTCGCGTGGTCGGTGAATGCTCCGCCTAGCTAGGATACTGTCAGAACCGCCGGGAGGTATCTCTTGACGACACACAGGGGGGAACTCACCAACGGCCCAGCCACCGACGCGACACCGTACATGCCCCCGAGCATACTGAAGAAGATCGGCCGTTTCTCTACCTCGACTGTATGTGCCAGGGTCACCAGCGCCCCTGTGAACATCCCAGCACTGCCTAGACCAGCGACAGCGCGTCCGACAATCAAGGTAGTCGAGTTCGGCGCAACACCGCAGATCAGGGAGCCCAGCTCGAAGAGAAACAAGGCGGATAGATAGACCCATTTAACCTGGAACAGCGTGTAGAGCTTGCCGTAGAGTAATTGGAAGGCTAGGCGGGACACGGTCAACGTGGTGCTCAAGCGAAGTTGGAGACGGAGGTAGGGTAGATGTATACTGACAGCAGGTCGTAAGGAGGTAAGACGAGGCGTACCAGCCAACGTCATTGAGGGCGTGGAATTCATCTGTAATGCGTGGGATGGCCACGGCCATGATCTTCGACGGCTGTGTCAGTACCTAAGTGTCACTGACAATGGTAGTACACGTACCGTATTGTCCAGAGCGACACAAAATACCGCCAGCATCAGACTGATTGTAATGAGAATGAGCTTGGGTCCGATTGGATAGAAGGTATGGGCTTCGTCATCATGATCCCGGACCTCCTCCACATGTTGTCGCTTTTCAGTGATCGCAGACATGCCGGGTGAATGAGTGTTTTTGCTGGGGGATGGTTAGGTTGGTTGCATAGAGAGTGACTTGGGTGGGAACAAGGGTTATATTTGCGAGAAGAGACAAAGGAACGAAACAAATGAAGGACAGCAACGCTTTTTCTCCAATCCTGCCACACCCCTCTTAAAGATTGTTCATGGCTGAGTGACAAAGCTGATTGCCATCGGGGTTGATTTCAAGCCCGACAAGTCACTGCTGAATAACCGCCCGAAGTGCGGAAATGCGACCACTCAGATGACAGGATTGTACTATAGTAGGTTAGATAGCACTATAGTAGGTTAGATAGTACTATAGTAGGTTAGATAGTACTATAGTAGGTTAGAATATCAAGTCCCCTACCACTAGGCTGTCCCCAGCGTACCTCGATGTTTTTTTTTTTAGCTTGGATAATATCTTTACTGTGCCCCATATTGTCTCTGACACTTTCAAGGCAACTGGTACGGATGGATAGCCATGCCCTTACTCACGCTATAGCTTCGCCATATATTAATGCTGGATTCTGAAACTGGCCCGGCAATTCTCCTTTAGGGAAGACTGCACCCAAATACCATAGTTAACTAATTCTAGACATCAACCCCTTCAAAAGCTAAGAGGCTATTCACTAAGAGACAAAGCAACAGTTCATCAGTTTACCCTTGGTTGGGGGGTGCAGGTAGAGGTTGATCCAAGGACCCACACCCAGGGGGCCCGTAGTTCCCATTCCTCAATGTCCAGGTGGGGGAGGGACCCTGCTTCCTAGGTTAGAACCCCCAGGCTGGATCGGACTCCGAGACGCAGACTGCGGGCGGACTGGAAGCCACCCCAAGGCCGGATGCAACTAACCCGACCGCAATGCATTCGTCACATATATTGGCTTAGGCATTCAGCTAGAGCCATGATTTCGAAATCATGAAGCTGTTCAAAGGTTGCCTATGGTATTGTAGATTCGCAAATGTGGGGTGAATCGGCATTGAGACAGAGCCCGATGGTATAGTGCTTAGAAACCCCGTAGACCCCGGGGCTTAGCCTTATTGATCATGGCGTCACTGACATCTATGAACTGCATCATGCAAATGCGGCTTCATCATCGTCAGTCTGCGTTTCATCTCTCTGGTCAGGAAGGGGTCTTTTTTTTTGCTATTTGGGTTATCTTAGTATAAAAGCAGACGATGGCCCGAGAATGAGGGACAAATGAAATCGGCGACATGGGATATCTAACAAGACAATGGCATGAAGTAACTAACTTGTGTTTCAAGAAGCATTGGCCCCGTGCGAGAAAGTGGGACATGTAGAAATCCATGACAAACCATCTCGAATATTCTTAGAATTGACTTCGGAGTAAGTTATGGTAAAGCTCGATGATTCAACGGTATTCAGCCCAGATACAAACCACCGCAATCCCAATGCCTCTCAAGATGGGCGATCGGAGGAACAGGATCATGAATAGCAGTCCACAACCGCCACAGCTCAAAGATCAACACCCTCATCGTCCCATCAAGTGTCTCTTCCAGGTCAGGCCACGCCTCCACAACCTTCACCCACCATCCAAGTCTATTAAACTTCCTGTCCACGGCATCATCAGCCACGCCTTCAACCCACGGCCTCGCGTCGGCCAGCGCGTTAACCATCTCGTCGTCAATTACTAGACAAGCATGCAATTGGGATGGGAGCGCAGGGTTGAAGACATGCTGCTGCTCGGACCATGCTTCGAAGTGCGAGCGCACACTTGGCAGCGAGATATTGTTGAACAGCTGCGTGTTATCCAGAATTGTCGGGCGATAGCAATCACATAGCATCTCGTATGTGGCGCGACGGGGCTCGGTTAATAGTGCTGGATTAAAGCCGTGCTCTTTGAGTATACTGCGCTTCATGTAGGAGTTAATAGTCTTAATGAGGTCTGGAAAGCGCTGCTGCGAGAGCGGAGTGTATGTTGTGCGGTATATGGAAAATCCCCAGTGTCTGGTTGGCAAGGACCCAAGATGTCTGATGAGGCGCCATGTACCGTCGGGTGCCATCTCTGTTCTTGAGGGTTTGAAATCCGCTGAATGGAAGTGTTTCCAGCCGGGCAGCAGCTGCTTCTAAGCCTTTTATGCCCTGGGAAACGAACTGCCCAGAATGACTAAAGCATTGGCCAATCACAACGGTTTGGTAAAATAATAGACACGATCTCAATCTTCTCCCATACCCAGCTTGACAATGATATAGAACGACGTCTATGCATGAAGTGCGCCTTGTCATATTACACTGTCTCCCTACCCACCCTGAGCAACATAAACATGTTCGCGCTAAGGCTCGTGTAAAACTCAACTTCCGGAAGCTAAGCTGAGCCGAGAAGATCTGGATACGGCGGCCTATCCCCATCCCAAAGCAATTGAGACTCTGAAATTCATCAACGATTCATGCCCGTAAGCCCCAAAGTGCAACGCTCCAATCGCTGCACTCTTCCTGAGGACAAGTGGACCGGGGCTGAGATCGGAGTTCGTCCGATGCCTCTGCTCCGTAGGCCCAGGGTCCAGAGCCAGCAAGGTTCGCAGCGGGCGGAATATTCCGAGCGGTACATTCAGACCGAGATAGCGCTTGTGTCTGTGCTTGCGTGGGGAGATGAGGCATTGTTATTGGGAGAGAAATGTGTGTGGGCGATTGCTAGTGAGGATGTCTGGGGTGTGGATGAAATATAGCTGGAGTATGGTAGGTGCCACCTTGTTAGGCCAATCAAGCAGCCCTGGTGTGGCTGGAGAGAGGAACTACCAAGGAAAGTCTGTCCAGCTTACCTCCAAGAGTCTGCAGGTGCTAGCATTTGAGTCAAGACAACAAGCATGGGGGTCCGGCATGTACCTAGCGGTTTACAAGGAGAAAACAAGGAGATAGATATGTGCAAAGGTGTGAATCATCATAGGCGGTGTATCTCTGTAGGTTCAAAGGTTCTCTTTTTTATCTCTCTTGCTGCGTAAATCTTAGATGTCCTCAAGTCTTAACCTTCAACTACTGAGTGTATCTCGTGATCCACCTGGTGTGTCGGTTTTGATCTCGCCGGTTATACCCAGATGCTGCGCTGATGAGAAACTATGGTAGAACCTCGCTTGGTATAAAGGTCTTGGAATGCGCGAGCAGCGAGTCATTTTCTATTTACATGTTCATACATCCGTACCTTCAACACATGGTAGCCGGCTTCGAGCAGAGAGAAGTCCAGCAAGATACCTACAAATCTTCCTTGCGAGCGTTAAGCACAATGTTAAACAGAATTAAGTACTATGCACCCTTCAAACGCGAAGGACATGAATGACACAGGGAGTTTCATGATTGTCCGATCCTGGCCTATCCGGGTTATCTCGAAAATCATCCAGAACTGGAAACACCAAGGCCCTCAGCTCGGGATCTAGTCAGAAATAGATTGGGACTAGCGCAGTCGATCGCCATAAACTAAAGACACTCTCCAGTAGGGGTGGTAGTCGACATATGTCTGACCGTCTGTGACCACTAAAATGACCACTGTGACGGTCACAGCAAAACAAGGTCGTTAGATCAGCGCTTAGCATACCAAAAGGGGTCTAGCTCCCGCGGCATATACTCGCACTAGCCCTAAAATAAAAGGCTAATGGCTTGGTTTAGCGCATTTTGATTGGTCAGCTTTAATCCACTTTTAGTCACGTGTATGTTGTCTCTGACCGTTATAAAAAACATTGACATTTCGCTGTGTCGGTCACAGTCTGTTTTGTGACGACATTTTACCATCCCTACTCTCCAGAATCAGCTGATGGAGTCTTGTTGTCTCAGTTTATTTTGTCCCTAAGTGAAAAGCTTTGGGGGCCGAACTGCTCCTTGTTATGCGGTCGCTTAGGGTTATTTGATATCCATTGCTCAAGTGGGCTAATGGTAGATGAGAGTGAAACACTGCCTGAGGATCTACAAGCCCCTGTATATCCTACGGTCAGTGATCTCATCAACTTACAGGACAATCTGTCTTACGCGAGTAGAGTTCAGCCACATGTACATGTGATTCTGAGATCCTATACGGAGTACGGGCAAGTATACGCGTATCAACTGTCAACAGTTCCAGACGGATCGATCCGCCCCGGTCGCGCAACCAGTTCAACAGAATGTAACTTTAGAACTTTAACAGCTGTCATCGATGCGATCGATCGCTTTCGACTGTAGTTGGCGAAACTGGACTATATACGGAACTGGTCATATGCAAGATCGATATGAGCCCCAAATTCCAGGCACAAGTGGCGATTGGCTTGAGACAATGAGACAAGCATCGTGCAGGATCGATTGGAGTATTGCAGACGCTCATCTCAGCTGATACGATAGGTCATGTTCCATGACTCGTTTCTTCTGAGTTCTGACATGCATGAAGCCATCGAGATTCCTGAGAGCCGGTGCATGCTAAGCCTGATGGCATTCCCAGCTGTGTGTTTTCGCCCCTTTTTAGGGCATCCCGTAAGGCTGGAGGTCGTCGTCAGCAACCCTACTCATCCTCCAGGATGCCGATCCTGATCCTGCATGCACGCTATTCCTGTCAACATGGGCTAGCGTAGCCCGAGGACGCGGCTACCCACAAGAACAGTGACAGCTTTGGCAGCTCAGCAGAATCAGGTTCCTAACGGCACCTGTTCAACGGCTATCTACGGGTTGGAAATCCAAGGCAGAGAAACGGCCGTCAGTCTGGCCTGTTCCGGCGGCGGCGACTCATGCCCGTTCCTGGCGCATGCCAGGCAGAGACTTCGAGTTCGCAGCCAGTTTCCTTGGTACGAGTCACGGCTCGCGAGTCAGCTCCATGTGGGTCGCGGACATGCGCTATCCGAACAGCTGAACCCTCAACCAACACCATACAGGCTACAGCCGATTACACCGTCCGTCGAACCCCCTGTCAGTGCTCTCAGGGGCGCCGTAGACGAGCTCCAGCTGTCAGTGGAAACGGCATCCCACGTCGCTCAGTAGTCAGTACGCGAAGTCCTCGATCAAGGCCTCGTGCGTTTACCGGTTCAGGACGCGATGCTCAGCGCCATGTGGAGACGCACCACGCTCGCCCCGACCAAGCGGCCACTCAGCGGCGTCCGCATCGCATAGCAAAACGCGAATTGCGGACTAACGCGCATTCCAGACACCCAGAGACTCAGCAGAGTCTGGGGCAGCTCGCTTCCCCGGCCAATGAGCGCAACGCCATGCTCTTCCGCGGCCACGGTAGCCCTCCCGTGCCTGGGCGTGTCCTGTCATGCACCAGCAGGGCAGGAGATCGGCGTGCCTGTCTAGTCTTTAACAGGCGAGCTTGCCCACGCCAAGTGGCGCTCTCCTGCGCTAGCTTGCCCTCTTCACCGTCCCCTCGGAGTCGACGCGGAGTCTGCAATCTCCCAGACTCCCACTTCCCAAGCTGCGCTCTGCGGACCTCCCGGGCCCAACGGAGCAGTATTTTTGACAACTCTGACAGCTTGCCGCGAGCAGTCTAGTTCTGCTCTTGGTGCAGTAGTCTAAAGTCTATCTGATCCGCCCAATCCCTTATAGCCACTGCCCTTTCCTCCCCGTCTCCTGCAGAATGTTATGAACCGCCTCCTGCTGTCGTCCCTGTCGCTGTCGCCGCCAGCATGTCTCTGGACTTCAGCCGCTTGGACCTCACGAACGGTGATGCGCCGGATGGTCATATTCGCAAGACGGCCGTCCAGACGGTGGCGGCTGTTTTCCTGCCTATTGCGTCGATTGCGGTGATTCTGCGCTGCTATGTGAGGGGGTGGCTGATCAAGGGGTTTGGGTGGGATGATTGGGCGATGGTGGTTGCGATGGTACGCTTACTGCGCTCGATTCGTTTTAGCTGGGGATTAACATGACGCCCAGTGTTTCTACGCGATGTTTTGCGCGTGCATGATAGGCGGCACGTTATACGGGACAGGGCATCGGTTTGCGGTGATAGAGCCGCAGGATCGAGTCACGGCCATGCGGGTATGCTTCTCATCCAAACACTCTCACTCCGATCAACCCTAAGCTAATAGAGGAATAGTTCTGGTGGCTGTGCGAAATCGCCTACTGCTTCTCGTCCGTCGGGTGCAAGATCTCCGTCTGCATTTTCCTGATGCGCATCACCATCAAGCGCATTCATATTTGGATCCTCTACTCCGTCATGGCCATGACCGTCATCACGGGCTTCGTCTTCATGCTCATCATGCTGCTGCAGTGCACGCCCGTCGAGTACTTTTGGACGCGGACCGCCCTGGACCCAACGACCAAGGGCCACTGCATCAACCACGATATTGTGATCGCCATGACATATGTGTACAGTGTGTTTGCCGGAACGTGCGACTTTACCGTCGGTATCCTGCCGATTTTCCTCGTCAGCAGCTTGCAGATGCGCCGCAAGACCAAGGTCGCTGTTGTGGGCATTCTCAGCATGGCTTGCATGTATGGAGTCTCCAGCATCACGATGTCGGTAGAGGAAAGCTAACCGTTGATATACAGCGCCTGCTCCGCCGTAATCGTCCGCATCCCCTTCGTGCAAACCTTCTCTAACCCCGACTTCCTCTGTACGTCTACAAACCCCTCGCCTCAACCTCTCCACTAACCACCCTCCCAGACGCAACCTTCGAAATCGCAATCTGGTCCAACGTCGAAGCCGGCCTCGGCATCACCGCCGGCTCCCTCGCAACCCTCCGCCCCCTCCTCCGCCACTGGATGGGCTCGTCAAACGACCCTTCCTATACGCGCGGCACCCCCTCCCCCTTCCCCGGACGCTCAGGATCCCGCCTCCCCGGCCTGAGCGGCGGCACAGGCCGCGACCGCGCCTTCCCCCTCGGCTCCCTAGACGACAGCAACCGGCTGCGTCCTGATAAACTCGCGCTAACCGTGACGACCGTGCAGACGCAGCACGACCCCGAGGACCGCTGGCCTGTCCTGAGTAGCGGGAATAGCAGCGAGGAGCGGCTGACGAGCGAGAATCAACGGAATGCGCAGGGGGGTGGTGGGGGTGGAAGGTCTGGATCTGGGACGCCGCCGCGGGCGAGCTCGGAGCGGAATGGCGGGCATGGGCATGGGCATGGGCTTGGAGGGATTCACCAGGTCATTGAGGTGACGCAGACGAGCACGGATTTGCGGAGCACGAGTGTCAAGGAGCATGTTTAGCTCGCCTCTGCTTCTGCTTCTGTTTCAACCGGGCTTTTTTTAACTTTACTTCTCTATGTGATACCATGATAGTTAATACCACTTTCTTATGTTTCAGCCGGTGATTCATGTAGATGCCAACGCTCAACTCCTAACACTCCGTCCAGCTCCTCAGTAGTAAGCATCCAGGGCCTCGACCCTCATGCTTACTTACTAGATTACCAACACCAACCAAAGCAGAAAAAGAAGGTTCAGAGCACTGACCAGCCCTAAGGTAACCCACAGCAGGAGATTAATATACCAAAATAGCACATCCAACCTGCCGGGAAAAGCCTCGCAAGCACATTCACAATCAGCCATCGGCGTCCGAAGATCTTCGCCACGTGTAGAAAAGCCGTTCCCCCCACAGACGGGAGTTGTGGGTATAGGGCCGCTGCCAACGCCTCCGTGTTAATTTCGCTGAAACCGGGCGCTCGGAGGTCCACCTTAAACGGCTACCGAGCCGGAGTTTGGATTGGAGGATGCGGGAAGTATTTTCCTAGGCTGTGAGGACTGAGGATTTGAGGTGGATAGTGTTCGAGCAGGTTTTTGGTATGGGGACGGCGGGTTGGAGTGGTTTTGATAGGAGAACGGGTCTATTTAGCATTGATTAGGATATAAAACATATTAAGGCAAAGCCATCCACCAATAGCGGCCGGGCTAGCTCAATCGGCAGAGCGTGAGACTCTTAATCTCAAGGTTGGGGGTTCGACCCCCCCGTTCGGCTTCTCTTTTTGCATTTTTTGCTTGCTCTACTGCTTCTAAATACTGTTAAACGGCTGGATAATCAATGAATCTCATGGTAGAGTCATGTGGCGGCCCTGTTGCTGCCAATCTAAGGTCCGACTTCGAGCAGACTTGACTCTAGCCTTGGAACCCTAAGACAACAATGGACTAGCAAGGTCGCATCAACACCTATTAAGGCATGAACATTTTGTTCGCAATGGAACCAAATACCTGTAACTTCCGCCCTATTACGAGCTTGTAGATTGTCCAAGAGCATTCACGCTAGTATAGGCAGACAGTGTTGAAGTCCTACTGCTCAGACCATGCTTCAAGGTGTGAGCTAACACTACGCCGTCCATGTTCAAGCCCTGGCTCCAACAAAACATGCGAGTCTACAACGCGGGTCAAAAGTCTGTGTACACTTCCTGTTTCCCCACCAAAAATGGCTAAAACTTAACATTTTTAAAATAGTATAACTAAATAAATTTATACTATAATATATACTTTAAATTAGGTATAATTAAAATAAAATAGCTTAATTTTAATATAGTATAAAAAATGTATTAATTATACTAAGTTTAAAAAAGTGGTTAAGGTTTAAAGTTAAAGGTAGGTTAAATTTTAAATATATATTATAAGTGCCTGTCCTAGCCCCATATAAAAAAGTGCTAAAAATTTTTTAAAAAAGCCTTAATATTTTTAAAAAGTTATAACTTCTTACCAGCTTTATTAAAACTATAATATATATTATTTTAATATTAATTAATAGCACTAGTTTTTAAATAAAATATAAAAAAAATATATTATAATATAAATTTATTTAAATATAATAAATTTTAAAAAAGTATACTTTTTTACTTTTTCCTTAATAACTTAGAATATATAAAATATTTTTAATTTATTTTTTTTAAATAATATAATCTATCTTCTATACTTTATATAACCTTTTGAAAAATTTTAATACCTTTTAAATTAGTGGAGTTATTAATATTTTAAATGTTAGTAAAAAAAAGTGTACACAGACTTTTGACCTATCAGTTTATTATAGAGGAATGACAGTGTTGTCATGCGTTGACCGCTACTTTATGCACGTGGGATTCGTGATTAAGGTCCTCTGAGCTTACTGTAGGTATATGTATCTTACTATTATCTCATCATGCATGCATTGATCTGGGTCATGTAAGACTCTTTCGTAATTCTTCTATAGAATAGCTCCATCTGCAAACTTTAGTGTACGAATCTCAAGACTCAGCGGAGGGTATACACAATCTTGTGGCCACTCTGCCCTACTTTCAGCACCAGCCTTACCGAGTACAGAGTACACTCAGCAGCCCTGTGAATGCAGGGGACCCCAGACTTATTTCATGCAGTGTAACCACCCTGCAGCTTGGCCATCTACGTGGCCCAATGCCAGCGTCTACTAAAAGACGGCGGCACTTACGCAAACCTTGATCATGAATTAATATTACCCCTCCATGTCGCCTGCGCAGCTTTCCTCTCTCCTTCGTTATTATCTCTGGTCTGTACGCGCGCAGCGCTATCCATCTATACAGAACAGCTCTTCTCAACCCTTCAATTACAAAACGAAGAAATAATGTCCCTCCTCAAATCCAAGTACACCATCACCGCCCCAGAAACCAACCTCCTCAGCTACCTCTTCGACTCGCCCTACAACGATGAAGGGGTCTGGCCCGCGTCAGAACCCATCTTCGTGCCCGCAAACGCGTCTTTACAACACCCCGGGTACGCCATCGAAGAGATAAAGTCCCTCGTCCGACGCCTGGGAAACGGCCTCCACGCCATCGGAGCCAGCGGCAAACGCGTGATGGTCTACGGCAAGCCGAACTACAATTTCTCCATCGCTGTGCTGGGCGCCATAGCGGCCGGTGCCGCGGTGAATATCCTGGCGCCTAGCCCGGTGACGTATCTTGTTTCGAGGCTGCGGCAGCTGGAGTGTGACATTGTGCTTTTTTCGCCTAAGCAAGTGGATATCGAGGTCGTTCGCGAGGCTGCGGCGGAGTGTGGGATCTCAAGGGAGAAGCTATTTGTTGTTGATGAGTTCCTGGGCCGCGAGACTGCGGGTGCGTCTGCGACCGGAACTCTGGATCGAAAGCCTAGGCATTGGGGATATCTCCTTGATATGCCCGGCGGCGATGCGTACGAGTGGCCTAGGCTTTCTCCTGAGCAGGCGAAGAGCACGACGGCCATGCTGATTTATACCTCTGGGTACCATAGTCACCAGATATCCCGCACCACTACACTTGACTCCTTCACGAACACACCAACCTAACTAATCTTATAGAACAACAGGAACCCCCAAACTCGCCCGCCGAACACACCACAGCCTAATCGGGAACATCGCGCAAGCCCTGCACCACGAGACCCTCGTCCCCCGAAACAACGAGATAACCGCGTGCGTCTTCCGGTTCGCGGGGCTGGGGTTCCTGCTCTTCGGGATCCTGATCCCGCTCAAGGCCCGATACAAGCATATCTTCCTCCCGGGCGCGGACCTGTCGTCGTTCACCGAGATGGTGGCGCGCTTCAGGCCGACGACGGCTATAGTCCCGTCGCATTTGATGCGGGAGGCGCTGGCGTTGGCGGCGTCTGCGCCGGAGAGACCGGAGCTAGACCTGCGTAGTCTGCGCTATGTTGTCACCGGCGGTGCGATTATCTCGTGGGACCTTATTGAGAAGTGGGCGGGGGCTTTTGGGGGGAGGGTGTTGAATGTTTATGGGATGACTGAGTGGGTGTACCTGCAGTGCATGGATCCGTCTTTATCCTTACCCTATGGTACTTATCCAGCAGGATATACTAAATTTATTTTTTTTTCCTTATTGACAGAGGCGGCCTCTTCACACTCCCACACCCAGGGGATCCAGTTATCGACGCCACAACGGGAATCCTGCTACCCAACGTCGAAGCAAAGATCATCGATGACAACGGCGCCATCGTACCACGCAATCAAAAAGGGACTGTCTGTATCCGGACACCTTTCGTCATGAAGGGGTATCTTAATGAGCCGGCGCATACGGCTCAGACTATCGCGGACGACGGCTGGATCATCACCGGCGATATTGGGTGGGTTGATGAGCGGGATATGCTCTTTGTTGTGGGCCGGTGGAAGGTATGCACCTGCCCATCTTTTTTCTTTCGACCTTGGGAGTGTTGGCAGTGCTGACAAGCGTATAGGATATGTTCAAGATCAGGAACCACCAGCCCACAGTGGCCGAGATCGAGACGGCTGTTTCTCGGCATCCCGGTGTGCGGGATGTGGCTGTTATTCCTGTTCTTTTGTGAGTATCTTGGTCATTCTACTTCAAGATTGCTGGAAACCTGATACGTTCATGTTCTTGCTAGACAAGAAGGCGAGGAGCCCGTTCCGCGCGGCTACATTGTAAAGAAAGACGGGTCAAACTTGTCGGCAGACGAGTTGATAGCTTGGATGCGGCAGGAATTCCCACCGTGGATTCAGCTGCTCGGTGGCGCTGCCTTTCTTGATGCTATACCAATTGCGAGTGTAGGTGGACATCACCTTGCCTATATTAGAATTCATGAGTCTACTAACTGGGTACGTTATTTAGACGGGGAATAGCAAGGTTGATCGGAAGAAGTTGGCTGAAATGGCTGAGGGGGGGCTTCGATCTGTGCATCCGGAAGATGTTTGATTATATTCGTCAGGACTAACAGAATCAAAGTATCAAAGTACCATGCGGGAAGAGAAAGAATGACATATATGTTCCCGGAGGGGGCCATCATGCAAGTCTTAATTAAGAACCATATGAAGATGAAGATAACAAGAACACCGAATCACAGTTCAAATGACAACAACAACAGAAGTCCACTTTTACACAATTATGCCATGTGAGAGAGATCTGGCACTCCGCGGATAGCCGTCGTAGGCTCGTAGCCCTAGCCACCCGTATCCCCACCACGGTCCAACACAGCCACAAACCCAGCAAAAACAAAAAGGAATCTTGTTCCGATGCGGGGAATCGAACCCCGAGCTGCTGTGCACTAGCTCTGAGAGACAGCGATGTTAACCATTACACCACATCGGATGGTTGTTGATGATACTGGAGAAGAACTATTATCATTGCTTTTTGCGCAGTATGAATGCGACTATGTAGGCCAGATATCAAGTACTAGCTCTACCGCAACCATCGACCTTTTCTTCCCTGTACTAAGTGAGGTGAAAGAGGGGCTTATATGATTGTTATAGAGGTATAATCAGAACGGAGTTACGGGGGCATGGAAAGGCAGGCACATGAGTCCATTACGGATGGCCGGTCGCGATCGGAGTCGGAGCCCAGCAGAGACTGCCCAGACGCTTCAGTTGCTTGTTTTCTACCAAGATCTTCCAGTTCGATGAGATTGAGTACTTGCTTAGGTACTTATAATACACCATCAACGGGCAAAGTTCTCAAAATACAACAACAAATGAAATCTGCAAGCGAACGTGCATCAGTGACGACAATATATATAAGGAATGAATAAGTATAGATACAAAAATAAAATATCAACGAAAGTCACGAATCGAATATCTCAACCCCAGCAGTCAATCCCCACAAGCATCCATCCCCAAGCGTCCCTAAAGAAGGTACCCCAGCACAGCAACAACAAACCCACCAGCCCCAGCACCCACCCCGACATTCAGCACATCCGCCCCAGAGGTCTCCGTCCCCGTAGTCTCAGCGCTACTCCCGGTGCTCGTCGCCGTAACAGTCCCCGTCCCATCAGTCCCCGCCTGGCTCATCATACTCGAGCAACTCCCCGTCGCCGCCGTAGTCGCCGTCGTAGTGGCGGAGCCATCAAAGCTACAAGCGGACGCCGCACTCCCCTGCTCGGAATAATACTTGTTAAGCGCCCAGTTAAGCTGCTGCTTCGGCTGGCACATCCCGTACGCGCCGTAGGAGCCGGTCGTGCCGTTCGCGCTGACGCCCGTGCACTCGGTCATGCCGCACACGACGCCGAAGAGCGTGCCGATGTCGTCGCTGCTCAGCGAGCTGTCGGCGACGCAGGCGTTTGTGGCGTCCATGCACGAGCACAGATCGCTGTTGGGGGTTGGGGGCAGGGGTGTGGCTTTTGCGAGCCACGAGCCGCTTGTTACGGTGGGGCAGGATTGGAGCGCGGTGTTGGTGGGCGTGTAGCTGGCTTTGTTTGTGCCAGAGGGGGAGACGGAGTTGATTTGCGATGAGTAGTACTTGTAGTCGGCCATTGTGGAGACGGAGGTGCTGTCGACGACGGAGACGAGGCCTGCGGTGTTGTTAGTATACGGGTTTCGATAAGGGATGTAGCGACGTACCGTAGTCGTTGTCCTCCTGGAAATACATGTACACGATACCGCCGGACCAGACGTCATTCATCTTGTCGCCGAAGAGCGCCGCGATCTCCGTGAACGTGCGCGGCGTGACCTCGTTGCAGCCGTACTCGGCGAAGAAGACGGGGACAGAGTAGTTGGCGAACTCCTCCGTGCGGTCCTTGTACCCGGAAGCCGAGTACGAGCTGTCGCCGCACCAGGAGTAGATGTTGTAGCCCCAGAAGTCGACGCTCTCGTCTTCCTCGTGGCAGTTGAAGTAATCGGCCAGCTGCTCGCGGATGCTCTTGTCGTCGTTGGTGGCGTAGCCAACGCCGAGGCCGGATCTGTAGTTCTGGGCCTTGATGTACGACTTCATGTCGCGGACGGCGGCCTTCACGAAGGCGCTGGCGTCGGTGGTGGCGACGGTGTTGGAGACCTCGTTACCCGCGAAGAAGCCGAGGGTGTTGCTGAAGCCGGCCATGGCGTCGATGACGCTCGTGTACCGGTTGTACAAGGAGAGTTCCCAGCGGGGATCGGAGCGGTCAATTGAGTCAGACGGGTCGGAGAGGTCGGCGATGACGTAGATGCCTGCGTCGGCGAGCAGGTTCATGCATGTTGTGTGGTTCTTGGTTGGGTCGAGGGCGTAGACGCGGATGGTGTTGGTGTTGAGGTCTTGCAGGACGGGGATGTCGCGCTTGCAGGTGGTTTCGTCGGCCAGCGGGTCGGTGTAGCTGCTGTCCGAGGAGTCGGTGCTGTTGGCAGTGTAGTCCTCTTCTGCTGTTAGTGGTGCTTGAGTAACTGGAGGATGAGCATACGTTGGTAGGCGACACCGCGGATGTAGCTGTGCTTGTTAGCGACGTCCTAGCATGTTGGGGAGGGACATACAATTGGGTGTTGTTGCTGGAGTAGAAGAATTTCGAGCCCTAACTTGTCAGCTCCGCCATAGTATATCAACAGCGGTAATACCTTGATAACGATCGGATCAACATCCGCGATGACCTGGCCCAAGAGGGCCGAGGCCGCGGCGGCAGCTAAAGCAAACTTCATAGTAACGAGTGACAACGGCCTGAGATGGTTGACCTAGAAGCAGACGTGAGCGAATGGATATATAAAACTGTGGCTGACGCGTCCCGGCGCAAGCGCAATTTTGGCCGAGTGGATCTGTTTATTTCCGAGCTCTATTTCGAGACCTCAAGCAGGCAGCATCGTATCATTGTAAACAAGTTTATTGGACTAAGGCCACAGGGGATAATAGTCTACCGGCCCGGCCAAAAATAACAGCGCAGAATCAAAGTTTAAACATCTCCACACCGACTCTCATTAGGTGGTGGGTTGTGGGTGTCCCCGCCGTGCTTTTCTGATGGCGTCCTCGAAGCCGCGAAGTGTGTCGAGGGGCCGCTCCAATCGAGGGCGAGTTGGGTTCGACCGGTCTGGATCGGCTGCAGTCTGATGTCAGTATAGCAGTGAAGGCATGCTGTCTTGGAAACGTACTGATCACCTTGCCATGTCGATCAAGATGTTGTATGCCACCGAGCGAGACGGGCGCATCTCCGGTAACTAGGCAGGTTAGGACAGTTCCTTGATTCAGGGGTGCCACGTACCTAGCTCATCCGACTTGGCCGAGGACGAGGCCTGCGAGGTCTTGGACTTGTCGCTCTTGTCTGAGCTCGAGGATGCCAGAGAGCGCGGCATTGTCAAGGGTCTGGCTTTGCTGGTAGAGACATTGCGGTGCCTGAGACCACCCATATAAGTCCCTTGAGCGCACCTTCTGCTCGCGACATGGCAACTGTCTGCATTGAGCGAGGGAGCCTTCAGTGACGCGGCCGGAATAGGATCGAACAGCGCCTCAGCGTTCCGTTGGCTGGAATCTGCCAAGCTTCGACTAATGCAGCGAGGCGAGGCTTAGCCGCGGATCGGCAGCCAATCATCGATGATCGACTGGACCGCAGCCACGCAAGCAGTGACCAAGCCAGGAAAAATGCAACGCATCAGGCATCCATGTTTACCATAGTGTTCTCGTGGCATTCTTGCGGTCGGCTGATCGATGAACGCGGCCTGGAATGCGGCGAAGCTTGCCACAATCGAATGCAGTGAGTTTGAATCATGAAATCGCGGAGACTCAGATGCCCCTGACTGAATGGATTCTATTATTCTTCAAGGACCCACGGGAGTTCGTTGGCAACCGGGACTCAACTCAATGTCGGAGTAAGTGCCGGTAGCGTTCTTTTCGGGAAGTAATCGCCGAGGCGCTGTCAATCACCAACCCGTACATTCAATCTTTGCAATTCGGAAACTAGGTGTGAACTTTCGCTGATCCAGTGCAGAGGGCCATCACGAATCATGAACGTTGCATTGACCGAGGTTCGAGGTGGCTTGAAGCGAACTGCGCCCCTGTGGGATACAACTCCTCCGTGCATCCGAGACATTCTAGTGGAAGCTCCCCACGATCGTGGGGATGGGAGGGGACGTTCAGTCCACTGCATACTGTTCCTCGACTCCTGATCCTTCACAAGTGAGACCTCTCCGGCGCGCTGCTCATATCATAACCCCTTGTTAACGTCATCGCCTAATCAAGGAGTGCGACAGCGGTAATCAACCATCCGAAGACCTCATCTAAGCATGGCATGATGGCACAAGCATAGTCACCTCGAATCGCCCCTATTCATCTTTCTTGTCCCTATCGTGCGAAGCTATGCAGATTGTCGTTGCGACGTTCGAACGGGCTGTCGTGGAGTCGTCGACTCTCATATGAGCGGTTCGCCGATCGGCCGAGGATCTGAGCGGCGATTTGCAGGATCCCGACCGGTGCTCACTCCGGCTTGAGATCCGACCTATTCGCTCCTGTCCACCGAGCTTTCATCGGCATCCCGACTTTATCGCCCTAAAGTCGTGTTGGCGAACATGAAAGTCCGTTCAGTCATTGGAGTTGCCCTCGCCAACCCAGTCTAACCGCCTCCATATCAAAAACATCCCAACTTCCGCACGTGGACACGCTATCGATGCGGAGCGCTTGACTCCAGCATTAGGTTCCTCACAAACATCACCGCTTGTATATTCCGACCCAGATTCCCGTACGCGGAGTCCTATCTGGCGTCTTCGCCGATATCGATGCATCGCGATCGAAAAGCGGAAGTCCGTGTTCTCTTCTAGATTCAAAGGCGTTGTGTCGAAGACTTGCGGATACCTAGGGTAGACTCCGAAGTTCGATCGAAGGTGGGTGCGAGGAGCAGGGAAGACGGTTTATTTCCGACGTCGGGTGCTCGACGTCTCTTCCCTTCAATGCCATTCCCAATTGCAAAGCTTATTGAGCCCGAGCGCCCTTCAATCCGAAATGGTCGTCCTCGAGCGATCGGAGGCGATGCTTGTTCACGGGCTCTGCATGAGGCCGGTAGACGGTGCGAACGGTATTGTCTGACTTCGATGGCCATTCGCTCGGGACCGGGAAATTATTTATGAGTCTCGGTCGGGCGCGATGACGCGAACGAGGTAAGGGACGAGGACAAAAGAATATCGGAGGAGATGGGTCGTCTAACTCGCGGCTAGTCGAGTCTGGCGCGTGTGTAGTCACCGTTTCCAATCGATTGGTAGCTGAACTTTAGCGCTGCAAATGGTCGTCGGACTTTTCGCGGATAATAACAGAGACATGTTGGACGGTTAGGCCCCATTGTATCTTTGTTGGCCACTCAAATAGCGGTCGATGATTCCGGCGTGGATCGAGGAGGTCGAAAATGAGGAAGTCGAGGCTCGATTGGAACGTTGGAATGGTTCACTTTAGCGCAATGCTGAAGACCGCAATGGCAGGCGGGGTATCCCCAGGGAGTCCAGGCATTGAGCTGCGGGGTCAGAGTAGCATGAGTCGAACAGAAAAGGTGCTAAGGAGCGTTATGATGCGGGATAACTTGACGAGGGGAGCGGGTGGGAGAGTCTCGCCCATCGGAATACGAGGTCACGTGCATCCCGTGTGCCAAGACCAGCATCGTCATCGATCCGGGACCAGCCGAGGTTCCTATCCTCCGTACTCCCGTAGGCATGCTCATGAGTGGTGCTGTAGCAACTGATATGGTAATCAAGTGTGGATTGTTATACCTGATCAAGTCCAAGCATGATGCTCATGTGCGGCCGGGACTACGGTATAGAGCTCCTGCCTGATCGAGCAAGACCAAGACTAGCACCCAGCCTAGCCGAACCCCGCTGCCACATGGGAAGCCAGCATTAGCGATCTAGTGAGACAACGAGCCTCTGTCACTGGCCAGCGGCTTCTGCAGGAAAATCACTCCAGATTGCCCTTGGCGGGGAACTGTGCTCCCAATGGTCCTCCCCGAAGTGTCGCCTGCATGCTGCATTGCCGACCAGACCTGCGAGGCGAGGGAAATCAGCAAACACGAGGGGGCGAAGATTTCTGCAACACAGTGCGATTGGCACTCTATCGCCGGCAAGTGTACTCCGTAGGGATGGCCCTCGATCAAATCCAACGTGAGTGGTCTCGCTTGGATGCGGAGGGAAAGCGATGCGGGGCATTCAGCGTGGCAACTGTCAGTGACACAAATGTGATCTGTCAAACACGAGGCTGTCTCTGTTCCACAGTCATTGCCGAGTCTCACATGGGGCAACGGAGGAGTCGCGATGACTTCAAGAAGAGCAGCAGACAAAGACAAAGGCATTAGTCATGCACAAGTACCACGGTCGAGGATCTCCAGGTCTGGCGGGCCGAACGGCGCCTGAGATCCGCTCTCACCTTGACAGGTGGGTTCGTGATGATCGATTGATTCTCTCAGGAGTCAAGGATCAGCCTACAGAATCGTCCCGTCCGCCTCCGTACTCCCGTCGGAGCATATTCATACTCGAGGCCAGTCTGAGACAAAAGTGCCGAATCTGCAACGCAGTGCAGCAGCAGACGCAGGATCCCGTCAGTCGAATCCTTCAGCGCACGATCGACGATTCGTGGACACTGGACGGCAGAGCCTGCAGTCAGGCCGTCTTGGACACACACTAGAGACTGGAAAGCCAGCACAATAGCCCTGGTGCTAGTGCGTAACTCCCTTCCTTAACGGCTGTGTCGCATGGGGGGCTGACTGTCCTGCCTTTAAGACCAAACCTCGGCCGCTTTTCTCTTCTGTTATTCTCTCCAGCCCGCGACCATCTTATCGCCTTTTATCGCCACTTTTAATATTCTAATTAATTCTATCGGCATTGACTGCCTTTGCTTCTTTTTTACGGTCATTATTCCCCGGTCGCATCCATGGCAGACTCGGAACACGTCGAGCCCGACTCTCAAGAGTTAATCGAGCCCGATGTTGGTCCTCTTTTAACCTCCATCTATGGCTTTGCCGAGCCTAACACTCACTCGCAGACCTTTGATGACAATGACTCTTCATATCAGAGCTCGTGGGTTGCTGGTTTCCAGGACTAGCATTGTCGCTAACTCTCTCAGGCTGGGCGACGCCAGCTATACGACGAGCATCACTTCCAGCGCCATGAACTACACGTACATCGCTCCCCCTCTCAATCTAACATCACTAACTGTCCCAGATACGAGGTACATCCTTCAGCTGTTGCGTCGAACGCAGTTAACGCCTCCAGAACGGTCGCCGATATCACTCATATCATGAAGGGGAATACGTCTTGGTACGCCGATGTCGCATTGCGTCATGCTAGGGTTGAACATCTCTAATGACTACTCGGACAGCCGAATGACGAACAAGAACAAGATCGACTCGACCTGGTTAGTGCGACAGCGACTAGGACTAGACAGCAATTGACACCAACAGACCCACCACATCTACCGCATGCTCCTCCAAGGCGAACTCCAACGAGCACCGATAAAGAACCCAGCGCGGGTATTAGATATCGGGACGGGGACGGGGATATGGGCGATAGATTTCGCAGACGAACACCCGGAGACCGAAGTCATCGGTAGGCCACCATCTCCCACTACGCCGCCGCATCTAACAACCCCAGGAAACGACCTCAGCCCCATCCAACCATCCTGGTACAAGCCCTCACCCCTCTCACCTTTACCATACTAACAGCCCAGGATCCCACCAAACTGCCGCTTCGAAGTCGACGACTTCGAACTCACCTGGTCCTACAGCCAACCCTTCGACTTCATCCACGGCCGCGAACTCGAAGGCTCCATCCGCGACCACAACCACGTCTTCAGCGAAGCCTTCAAGTCGCTAAAGCCGGGCGGGTGGTTCGAGATCTCCTCGTTCGACGTAAACTCCTACAGCGACGACGAAACACACCTGCGCGCAAAGTGCATGCGCTCCGTCGTGGAAAACCTACACGCCGCGTCCAAGAAGTTCGGAAAGGACATGAACACAACGCATACGTGGCGCGAGCGGCTCGAAAAAGCGGGCTTCGTCAACGTCACCGAGGAAACGTATAAATTGCCGCAGAGCCCGTGGGCGAAGGACCCCAAGATGAAGGAGCTCGGGCGCTACCACCAGCTTAATATGTTTGAGGCGATGCCGACGTACTGCTATGCGCTTTTTACGAGGGTGCTCGGGTGGCAGAGGCCGGAGATTGAGGTGCTGGTTGCGGGGATTCGGGCGGAGCTGAAGGATATGAGTATGCATCTCTATACGAAGGTGCATGTGATTTATGGGCAGAAGCCGGAGTAACCGACCTTACTTACGTATGGCTCCCGACGGTTGTTGGATTGTGAGGTTGAGTTGGTGTTGTCGTCCGAGCGAAATGCATGTTTAATTAGCCTGTCGACCATGGAGAGGGATAGTACAAAATTGGATGTACTTTATTAATATTTTCATATCAGATTGGCCGGATGTCGTGGGTCTATCTGTCCAGTATGAACAAACAAAATGCAGGCAGGCAGAGAAAGTCGTTCTGGGGTAGGTGGGTGGGTGGTCAAGCCGAAAAGAGTTGAGAAAAAAAAATATGACAAGGGTGGGATTCGAACCCACGCCAAATTAATGACGCGGAAACTTGATGAGATCAAGAAGAGGTTCTGACTAGATACCTTAACCGCGCGCCTTAGACCGCTCGGCCACCTTGCCTGTTGATGAAAATGTGCGCTAAACTAACATAAAAGAGAAAATATCGCAAGCTCAAATCAACATCCACATCAAGATAAACGCGTGCTCATCTATAAATCTACGGTTTTTGAGGATAGATAGCTAACTGACTCAGAGACCATAGTCGCGTACTGCCATTATCTTGCTAGTATAGGTTTTTTAGGTGGGTCGGCGCATCGAAGTTGGTTATTACCGCCCACAAAATATCACCTCCGCTTGTTGGAGTGCGGATATATATTTCTCACCAGCACTTCCTCTTTGGTTGTTTCGCAGAGCATCAATCACGGTCGGGCAATGTCACCAAACATATCCAACGCAGGGATAACTGATGGAATCGAGACCCTAGCTCCATGGCTACCAAGAAACACACAATGACAGGGTAACGGCCCAAGTTGTTCTTGTTGTCCTCCCATCTGCGACTATGTCACCGGGTTCGCGGCAGCATAATCTAGCCCTACAAGAGCAGGTCAGTCAAAGCACATACACACTCTAGAAACAGAACACCCACATTCCTCTACTCTCTGGCGTATAAGAGCCCGTGCGGGCTTCCAGAAGACCTTGAGGTTCTCGCCTGGTTGCGGCTTGGGGATGTCAACCTCAACCACCACAAGGTGTCTCTTCCCACCCGCACCAGCATTTAAGAGTGGAAATGCCTCTGCGCTTCGCTCTCCTGAGCCTGTACTGGCACCATGTGCTGTCCGAACAGGAATGTCCTAGTAGGCCACATTGGAAAAGGCTATAAATTCACGAGTATGGACGCGGACCGAGTTCAACCATTCAAGGCTTTTGCTGCTGCTATAGAAAGCCTGGGAGAGAATCTTGCCAAGAAAGAACCAATATGGCCAGGGTTTATTGAAGTCGTAAGAAACGCCTGCTGCCTTTCGCATTACGGCGTCGAAGCGCTTGTCGGCCAATCTGGCGCACATAATCAGTTCCCACCCCACCGAGAAAAAAAGAGTACACAACGTACTGAACAACAAAGTGGGTGATGTCTTCTGCTTGCGTACGTCTAGTTCGGTCCTCGGCAGTCAAGTCCACTGTGGGGATTGGGGCCGTGATGGCTTCGTCGTCTGGTAGAGTTGGGTCCGTCGCCATATATGGACCGGAGTAAAGCTTTACTGCAACAGAAAGAGCAATTCGAAGCCTTATTAACGGAATCAAGGGGGATTTGAAAGGGGTAGGTGTGTGTATTGGCGCATGTTGCTGAGGCTACCCCGCACTTCATGGCGGAGTTGTCCCTAAGAAATGGTATAGTATATGCAGGGGGCCATGGTGGATCAGGTGCTCTTGGGTGTGTATCTTGCCTCTACATTGTGTAAACTTGTTGTTGTGCATCTATCTTGGTTATTTGGACACTCTAGGTGCCGCTTGAACATTTTTCGCGTTTGATATAGTTAAATTGCCATTGTATACTGTGTTCTAGGAGGTCGAAAGCTCCTGTTTAACCATTTCGCACCTAGGCTTACAATTCAGCCAAACCCTCCAGCTCTGTAATATGTAAACAGATCCCTGAATCCCTGGTCTCATATATCATGAACTGAGTACGTAAATAACATCAAGAGGCTCGCCTCGGAGCGAAATGTAAAACAAGTACTGGTTCACTTTATTCAACCTAACACAACTCAGCTCTTGACATGCAGTATTCCCAGTCTTTGAGCTTATTCGAGGCTGGGCACACAGTGTGCGGTCCTTAGATGGGCTTCAGTTCAAACAGTTGGTGTTACGGGGGCTAGAAACCTTAGGTAGTGACTAGCACATTCTTTCACTTCGGGCATTCTTATTCATGAAAGGCAACTGCAAGGACGAAAGGCAATGTCATTTAGACAGGATAAAGAACTTGAAAGCAGACTCCTTATTGAAGGGCATTATCACCATGAAAGAGCTTAGAGATCATCGCCCATTCGATGTCTTTATCCCCTGATGGATATATCAATGTCAAGAATCCCGTCCTTTCTCCCAGAAACCCAGCTAAGCGATTTCCATCTGACCTAAGTCCACCGACCTCAGTCCACCGACCTCAAGTCAGAAAACAACACTCAGCACCAATCCCTCGTCCCAACCACAAAACCGCCAAAATGGCACCTACAAAGCTAAGCAACCACCCCATGCAAATCCTCACAGCCTCAATCGACCTCGAAAACCGAAAGAGCGACTGCGTCAAATCAGCCGAGCGCGACTACTACATAGACGCCCTCGAGGAAGACGAGGACGCCGACTTCGAAACCATCCAGCAACGCGGGTGCCGCCAGAAATCCGTCCAACTGATCGAAGAGGTCGCGCGGCACTTCGCAGACCAAAACATCCGGCACTATTGGATCTTCTGCGGGTACCGGGTCCCCGAGAAGAAATGGCAGGTGTACATTGGCTTCTTCATGCCGAAGATGGCAAATGCGCAACGCATAAGTATCAAGCTTGAAGTTATCTCGAAGTTCCTGGATGGCCGGCCTGATAGGGATCTCACTGTTGACCGCTTCGGCAAGCTCCCGTTCCGTCTTATTCTGCATTGGATGAGGCCGAAGGGGTGGGCTTATATGTCGCGGCTGGAGATGATTAGTGGCATACCGCACACCGTTAAGGAAGGGAAAGATGGGCACATGCAGTGGTTGCGGCCTAGGGTGCGCCCGCGTGGCCCGGATTATGTGCCTAGCTGGTTTGAGGGTGGTCCTGGCTTCTTTTCCAAGGTGCTTTCGAAGATCGCGCCGAGTGCTGAGGCGCAGACTGATGAGAATTTGCAGCTTATGACGCTGGATCAGGTGCTCGAGAAGATGAAGGGGCCGAGTGCGGACGAGTTGCTGGATTCTGAATGTGGGGATGGGCTCCAGCTACCTGAGTATGACGATCTTGACCACTGAATCAATGGCTGATCTGGCTGAGGGTGGTCTGTAGTGACGTTAAGAGTTCTAGGCTCGGGTTTGCCTGGGGCCTGCTTTATTAGAGTCATTCGTTTATTTTAATCTTATTTGTGAAGTCGACGCGGCAAGTCGTGATGACTGCATATTGTTATTTGTCTGCTCTAATACAAATTCTTTTATGACTTTCATTTTATTTCTAGTAAGACATCTACTGTCCTGTAAATTAATCTAGTAGCCTTGAGCCACTCCAACTGTGGAACCTGCACTTGAATCTCTCAGTGAAGCCTGAGAAGAAGTGGCGGCGCTGTTGTCTCCAGTGTATGCCAGACGCGATAGTACCCAAGTAGCTATTAACGTCGACGAACGAGCCTAGTGCTGTTTCTACAAGTGTCCTTGGACGAATGGATATTATAGACTGGAATCTCGACCACCAAGCACACTAGGTTACGTTCATTGAGAAACTTGAATTTGGCCATGGTCTGATTGATAGGCATAAAGGGGGGATTGCTGACTGGCACATTACAGACAAGGGAAAAACGACTGAATGAATTAATGGCAAGAGCCTTTGATGTTGTGTGATAAAGCTGTGATAGAAACGGGCCTTGTAGTCGCAAAGGGAAAGAGCTTGAAAGAAGACAATTTACCATGAAAAAGCGCAAGAATTGCCACCATCTACACTCTCTATGCGGCCTTTAACCTTGGACAAACGCGAGGCAAAGCCCATGACACCCCGAAAGAGAATAATTGCCGTCCAACAAAGAAAGGGCTTTACCAACACAAAGCGCCTTTATGTTGCCTTCATAGTGTCAACGCCATGATGACTATTTAAGAGACCAGAAGCTTTGCTCTATCTGATCATCAACCACTCAACCTCACAGAGATCCATCGACTCAGCAATCTCTAATACCATTCCCACCAATTCCAACCCCCACCACCAACAAAATGTCCAAGAACGGATATAAATCCTACATCCTATCGGCAACCGTCGACCTCGAAACCAGCGGGACCCAAACCGGCAACGCCACCAAAGAGCGCACCTGCCAGCGCAAATCCATCGAGCTAATGGGAGAAATCGCCCGCTACCTCGAGCTCCCAGAGCACGGAATCGGCGCATACTGCATCTACAGCGGCCTCCGAACCAAGGAGCAGAAGTGGCAGGTTCTCATTTTGCTGGAGAAGCCGGACAAGATCGCCATGACAGACGAAGAGATCCGCAAATTCCGCAAAGAAATCGCGGATACGTTCCTGCACGGCAATGCGCCGGACGCGGCGCACGCGGTCACCGGGCTTCGGGACTTCCCCTGGCGCCTGACGGCGTCTTGGGAAACCAAGGGCTGGGCGCATGTGTCGAAGCTGGCGATGTACAATGGCCAGCACTTTGTTTTGGGGCGGGATGGAGAACGTTGGGATCTCGTTGAGGGGCGGGCGCTTCGTAAGGCGATGAATCAGGGCGAGTCCGCCTCTCCGGGTTGGCTTAGTCGGGTTTCGAACATGCTTTATGCTATTATTCCCACTGGGAAGGGGCAGCAGCGAGCTGATCTGACGCTGGAGGAGGCGTTGGAGAAGATGAAGCAGACGACGTCGGAGGAGTGAGTGGATGGTGATGGTCAGCGTGAGTGAGAGGTTGAGGCACACCGTTTGTTGCTTTCTATGTTGAGCTCTCTGTTTTAAGGCCGGCGTCATGTAAGACCTGCCTAGTTATCTCTTTATCAGCAATATAATCTGTTTTATGTGCTATATAAATAACACTTGAACAATATCGCCTTGTAAACTAAGTAGGGTAGTAAGACTTCAAAGTGTCGAGAGTTTTAATCTGTATAAACTTCTAGTACCTTATATAGCCCATACTGCTCTAGAAATGCACTTGTATGTTTAAAACCACAACCTGAAGCATTCCCCAACTGCACCTATATTTGGGTCCGAGCATGCGACCACTCCCTGGTTATTGTAGAGGCAGGTCTGGATCATACGTCCCCTCAGCACAGATCAAACATGTACTGAGACAACCCGAGACCGAAACTAGGCAATTCGCACAACGATCAGTTCACCAGACGAGAGGCATGCCTGCCCCTCCTTTTCACATAGGGAGAAAGAAAGATCGCAAACAAGAAGGCCTTGTAATCGAGACAATGCATACCAGGCTATTGTCTTGTGCAGACAAGGAATGGGAAGGGCATATCGCGGATATCAACGGCAATTCAAGGGGCATTAAGGGACATAAAACAAAGGGCTATTTACTGACCCTTGGGATGAAGGACAATTGATCAGGGCACACAAGGCACTAGAGCAAAGGGATTCTTTATTCCTTGTTCCTTTACTGTCTTTGTCTGCTATTGTTAGTAGAAATCTATTGTCTATATAAACGCCAGGAGTCTTCCTGTGTTACACAAGATGGATCATCATTGTACACGACAGGTATCGATATCGAATTCCAGATTGATTGTTTGTTTACTCCGGGCTGGACCCGACTGTGGTCTGCGCGTACCAATCGCACCACACCTCCGCCAATATGAGTAAGTTCACCGTCCTCGCCGGTCTAATCGACCTGGAAAGCCGGAAAACCGGCGAGGAAAAGCGCGCCGAAGACGCGAAGATCGTCAGCAGACCCAGCGAGGTCAGCTGGATCAAGCGCTTCGGGTGCCAGAAGAAGTCGCTGCAACTGATTGCGGACATCGCCCGCTATCTCACCGGGAAGGGCTTCACGTCCTTCCAGGTGTGCTGCGGCTTCTACCTGGAGCGGGGCCAATGGGAGCTGTACGTCGCGTTTGGCAAGGAGGACATGGCCGATGACGATGAGCTGCGTCGAAAGACTCGCCGCACGCTGATCAACCGGTTCTTCCGCATCAGGCCGGAATACGACCTGCTTGTCAAGCGCCTCCGCGCTGGCCCGGCGAAGTACTACTGGCGCTGGGAGTACCCGACCCACTGGTACCACAAGACAAGGTTGGCGATGGTTCATGGACGCTGGTTCGTTCTCATGTCTGATAACGTGCAGAGGAAGGCTGAGCAGTGCGCGTATGATCTTGCTGGTTCGAGGAGTCGCAGCCGGCAAATCTTTAGAAGGGTTAGCTGTGGCTTTAATCACACGCATAAGAAGCGGGCTGAACTGACGTTTGCTGATACGCTGAGGAAAATGCAGGAATTCGGCTTCGATGGGATGCTGGAGTGTTCACGCGAGAGGGCTGGGACCTGACCCCGGGCTTGATGCCTTGTGAAGGTTTAAGGAGCGGCAGGAAGAGGGAAGAGATAGGAGTATGTTGATTGTGGTTCATGGATCTTCAGGTGAGTCACTCGTTCGGATATTTCCTTATGTGTTCCTCTGTTATAGAGCCCTGGAGGCCAGTTACATTCGTTTGCTGCAATATAATTTGTTACCACCTACCTATTGTTTCATAAATAGGCCTATCTAGTAGATATGCACTCCTTCTTAAATCGAGCAATGTAGATAATGCATACCATACTAAGTTTGAGTACCCATGGTAAGAAGAAAGATTGCATCAGACTTCAAGATCGACGAGATGGGCAGTCAAGAGAATCGGGACCAAGTGATAAGGCACCTATGCGACTCCGTCAATTTCTTGTCATACATAATGCTCTTGTATCAAGCTCGCTGAGTAAAAAAGCTGGCAGTTAACAGTCTACAGGTGTCAACAAGAATAGATATTATAAAATTGTCTGGTGGTTTCCGGAACGCTATCCTGGCTAGCTACGTAGCGTGCTAAGGTGGATCTATAAGCTAAAGGGATTAGAGGCAGTGCTGATCAGAGATCGTTGGCATATCTATGGCGGCCTAGAGCCAGAAATGCCATGGAATTTGCAAAATTAACAGTTTTCAAAGGCTTTGACTGGCCTTCTTTGTCACATACTTTGTATATCGCGTGTAAAAAGTGAAGACAACCCACAGACAATGATTGATTGCCTGATCATGAAAGCACACAGTACAAAGAGTTCAAAGAACCGCTATTCCCTTCATGTTTATAGGCCTACCTATATAAAGCCAACAGAAGTCCCCTCTGCCTGCAATCCATCAACCCACGCCCCGTCCTCACCCAGTTCAAATCTGCGAAATAGAGACTATCAACCATGGAGACACCAGCTCACATCCTCACAGCCACCATTGACCTCGAGAGCCGCAAGACCCGCGAGGAAAAACGCGCCGAGCTCGCACAGGCCCAAGCAAGTCCCAACCTCCGGCGTATAGAAGCCACCAAGAAGCGCGGATGTCAGAAAAAGTCCATCCAGCTCATCGAACAGATAGCCCGCTACCTTCAAGCAAAGGAGATCCCCAACCAAGAGATCTTCTGCGGCTGCCGGGTTACCGACGGTATACCCATGTGGCAGGTCTACGTCATGTACGGCCAGCCAGACATGACCGAGGCCACGCGCGCTGAGATTCGGGAAGCACTGATCGCTCTCTTCTTTGCTAAACCGGATAGAGACGAGTTTGTCTACAAGTCGCCTGCAGATGTCCCGTTTACGCTGATCATGGACTGGAAATACTCTACCGATTGGGAACACATGACCAGGCTTGAGATCTTTGACGGGGCGATCTTTGTCACGCAGGTTGATGGGAAGGCGGATATGAGGGAGATGTTTGCGTATGCAAGTGCCGCGCATAAGCACTCGGCTCTTATGTCGTCTGTCATGAGATTTGCTGACGCTTTTCCGGTCGGGGAGCAGGAGCGTAAAGGGTTGAGTTTGGATGAGGCGCTGGAGAGGATCAAGGCCCCGAGTGCGGAAAATGCCACTGGTTGAGGACTCCATATGGAACACTCGTATAGTCATCTGTGTGAGGCTGGGCAATGCGCTGTGGTTCTCTTTCAGTGATTGTTGGTTGACAAATTTCAACTTATCCTATTATGTCGCTATAACGGCTACATACACTCATTTGTTAGAAATATACACTCTTATCATTCATGATGCCTTGTCTTTAATCTAACTGTAACATACATTTCGGCCCTAGTGTAGAATTGACATGATTTTTTCTGATAATATCCTTTAGATAGTTCAAGTATCCCAAACTTTCTCACTTGACCCTCGCCACAATATGGCCTTCGCAAACTCTGATTGAACCACAGGGTAGAAGAAAGTATTGGCTTGAACATGAACCAGACCACGCCTAATCAGACGGAATAGAGCAATGTGCCCGCCTCACGTGGTTCTGTCACTGAATCATAACTGCAACCAAAGGGTTTTGGAATGAGGTTAAAGCGTCTTTGTCTTGCACTAATAAAGGGGATAAAAGACAGGGGATAAGAGGTAGCTGTTAGATGAAACGCAATAAGTGTCCATGAAAGGGCCTAGCTTAAAGAAGGCTTAGGCTTTAAGTATTTCTAACCTTTATGGCCAAAACCATGAAAGGGTCAACTGGTACCTAGCATAAAAGATTTCCTGAATGCGCGCCGGTCTTTATATCCTGATAGCTATGAGAGGCCTTAGCATAAAGGAAACCACCGACCTAAGCTTTATGCCCTACTAGCCAGAAAAGAGCTTCGTACAAAGAAAACTCCCTTTATTTTCTACCATGCCTTTATGCCCTCGAAAACATGAAGGGACTTATTACATAGAGACTCGTAATCCTTTCTAGCCCTTATAACCCAGTAAGCATATAAGGCCCTCGAAATCCCGCCGTATCCCTCACAACCATTCTTCTCACACTCATCATCTTCCCAACAATCCAACCGTGGACAACTCACATCTACCAACAATCAACAACTCACATCTACAACCCACCAATCAACCCAAGCAGTATTCCATGTCCACCAAATCAACCACCATGGCTAACAAGATGTCCCAGGTCGAGCCCGTGCACATCCTAACAGCCTCCATCAGACTAGAGGACCACAAAACCCCCGCCGAAAAAGGGGCCGAGGAGGCCTCAGCCCAAGGCAAAGCAGGCCGCCTGCGCGAAATCCAAGCCCAAGGCCGCCAGAGCGAATCCATCAACCTGATCAGCGACATAGCCCGCTATCTCGGATTCATGAACGTGCCCTTCCAGCACATTCTCTGCGGCTACAGCCCGGACGCCGCAAGCTGGCAGGCGTACGTGCTCTTCGGCGGCGAAAACATGACGGACGCCACCCGCCACGAGATCCGGCGCGCCCTCGTCCGCGATATCATTCGCGTCCAGCCCGATCAGGACCTTCATGTCCGGACGGTTGCAGACGCGGAGCTTGGGCTTGGTATTGCGCGCCGCTTCGAGGCGTATGCGGGCTGGACGCATATGACCAAGTTTCGCGTGTTTGAGGGGCGCGTCTTCGTCCAGCAGGTTGATGGGAGGCCCCTTCCTGCTGAGATGTTTGCGTATTATGATGCCGTTCATGGGCGGCCCTCGCCCAAGGAGAGGAAGGAGTTGAGTCTTGAGGAGGCTATTGAGACCATGAAGAGCCCCGGTGGGGAATATTGGTCGGACTCGACGTTGTTCAGGGACTTCCAGGCTGACCCCCGGCCTGACTTGGAGTGGTAATTGTGAGGTGGAGTGTTGGGTTTCGGCTGGTTCTGTTTGCTTGTTTATTGTTTCGTGTTATTTTCTCTCGTTGATTTGCCTTTAGGCTGAAAAGCCCTTGGTAACTACACTCTTTTTTTGAAATGCAATGCTTTTCTATACTCTTTACCTTCAAGTAGACTTAGTACTAATCACCCTGACAGCGATGTAGAGTCCGCAACAATTTTCTTTTGATAACTCAACCATTTCCCCGGAGACCCTGATCTTGATTTCTGATCACTAAGCCCTAACCGCCGTGTCCTTCAAGAGCCCAGCGGCCCAGCCACTGTCTGATCTCCAAGGCTCCCCAAGACGTCAAGCGTCGCGCAGTAACGCTTGTCCAAATGACACCAGACCTTAATATAAAGTACAACCGCAACAGAATCAACACCTTGGTGGCTCTGGGAGTTTGCCAATGTGCTATGATCTATGAGCGGACGATAAAGGCGCCATAAAATATACCATATCATTTCATGTATAAGCATCTAGGTGCAGACTCTACTCAGTAAAGAACCTTCAATTCCGTGTACAAAGGCGCATAGTAAAGCTTTTCTCAGCCCCATGTCCCTGCCTCCAGCTGCCTCCAGCCAAGAACCACATTCACACTACCTACCTCCCATAGTAGGTATGGTAGGTACTGGGTTCTCCGCGACCAACTAGTTTGGCGGTGACTCATCCAGCCTCACCCTCAAACCCAGTCATAGCTGAGCACCGGAATCTCAAACGGCTCCGCAGTACAAGTCGCATTAAAGAACGCATCATGCACACAGTTAATCTGGAACTCCGTGGAGCCGGAGTACGTGATGCGGCTCCCATTGGCACAGGTCAGCGCATGGCCCGAGCCCAGAACATAGTCCATGCGGCCGGTGGACACATCCTCATTCGAGGTGCCGTAGAAGCTAACAATGCGCCCCTGGCCGCGGTCCGCATACCCGCAGTTACTCTCGCCATTGCCGATATCGTGCACCCGGTACCCGATATACTGGTCGCCGCAGGACAGGCCGTCCGCGAACTCGAACGACAGATGCTGCGCCGGCCCGTACCCCCACGGCTCGTAGTTCGGCATGCCCGTGTAGCACACGTTCACCCAGCTCCCGCCTTGCGCTTTGCACCCGGCTTCGCCGCCGTCCGGGGAGCACCAGCCGCCTGTGCCGGCGCACAGACAGCCCTTCGTGGCGATGTCGGCTGCGTTGTGGATGCAGTCGAGGGATTTGGAGCCGTTGTACCAGTTGAAGGTGGTGACTTCCCAGGTTGGGAGGGGGCAGCCGGAGGGTGGGGTTATGGATTGGGAGGTTGCGGCGGTGGTGAGGGAGAGTAGGGCGGTTGCGAGGGTGAGGAGGCTCATTTTGCGGAGTGGTGGTGAAGGATAGATGGGATCTGGATTGGTGGTGTTTTGTTGTCCTGCAGGAGAAGAGCAGGAAGATGTCTGCAGAAGTGCGCTCTTTATAGCTTGGTTCCTGCCCAGCCCCAGCGTCCGGAGCCTCTCCGATGAAATAGGCTGATCCATGACAACCATGCAGGTAAGCCTTTAGTCAGGCTGAGGATGAGACAGGGCTAGCCTGATCGCAGGCATCGCCCATCTTGGCGCTCGATCTGTCTGGGCGCTTCCATCGGACTGCCGCCGAGGTCTCACTGTGCGGCTGAAACCTGGATCTCGATGGCCTGAGAATCAATGGACACGGAGGGGCGAGAACAGGGGTTCAGGGGCGGAGACACACGCGGGAAGTCCTACTGGGCCAGCGCACGAGACAAGTTGCTTCTCCATGCTTATCGTGCAGTAGCCCAAGCCTCTAGCGCCCAGGGGCCCTGATCCCACCCAGTAAGATACAGTGGTTTATATCCACTTTTCTTCTCGGGCAAGGCCTTGCAGCCGTCACACCACGGGCTGAAACAATTGGTGGCGAACTGGTCAATCGTAGATTGGGGTCAGCCGCATCCTGCACTCATTGCGCTGTGTCCGGGGACACCCCGGTTTCATTGACCGGCCAGTGACCTCAGCATGGGCTCATATTGTCTCGCATAATGATAGAGCATCATGCCACTTGAAGGAGCCCATATTCTGCGAATTGATACGCACTTTGCATAAAGTAACATATGGTAGTAAGCAATCAATCTCGGCCCCGAACCCAGGCAGAAGGAACATACGCTTCACCCAGTAAGCTGAAGCCCAAGGCAAACTCACCAAAAATTAAGCACAAACCCTGTACTAAGTCAGCACGTAAACACTCGACTCCAATTATGAAACCGGGCATGAGTCCGAGCTCCGGTGTACCACCCGACCTCGTGTATTCTTTGATACCTAAGCTTGACGATGTACAAACAATGCTCACAGCCAGTCAGCCTCTGAGGTTCAAGTGCGTCCGGGTCCTCTCAGAATATATTCTTCATAATTGAATTCGTCGGTGAATAGACTTGCAGAGCAAGCCTAGGTGGCTACCTAGATCAGATAACATTTAACACAAATTGCCGTTGCAAGGACTGCCGTCACTGGGCCTAGCCGAGACTTGAAAATAATGAGTTTTGAATCCTTCAATTGACCTTGAGCTCATCGCAGGATCAAAGACAGTCAAAGTTTCTGAGATATCGAGATATTGACCCTCGCACCCCACAGCTCAGATGGCCACTCGGATCCCCCAATCCAGTGGCTTTTGTCACCTAGAATTAGGCACTGGCCAGAACGAGTACCTATTTTTATTCTTCTATTGAGTATTATCCACGGACATTGACACCGGCAGCCCTCAGCTGGAGACTTAGGGCTAACCAAGGTAGCCGGCTTTCGTACCTATGAAGATCAATTAACGCCGGTGGATGGCTAAGACAGACTAGACCATTGAGAACCAAGATATAGATCCGCAGCTTCCAAGGTCCTAAGATTACTATTACTGTAGAAATTTTCTAATACATAACAGCAGCAACAGATTGGGACGAGCTGAGGCCATCACCACCTCCCGGCATCCGCCAAAATAACATCCGCCGCCTTCTCAGAGACCATATAAACCGGCAACACAATATAAAACCCAGGGATCGTCGGAAACACACTCGCATCCACAACCCTCAACCCATCCACCCCACGGACCCGAAAGTCCGCATCCAACACCGCCATCTCATCCCCATCCTCCCCAATCGCCGCCGTACAGCAAGCATGATGCCCCCAAGCCTCCTGCTTCACGAAATCCTTCATCTGCGCCTCACCGCTCACATTCTCGCGGCCTGGCCATGTCTTGCTGAAGTCCCTATCAAGCGGAATTAGGTTGTCGAAGATGTCGCGCGAGAACTCCATGCCCTCGTACACAGCCTGCAGATCCAGTTCGTCCGCGTCACCGGAGACAGTCTCCTTGTCGAACAAGTGGGAGTTTATAAGCGGCATATCGCGCGGGTCCGTGGAGCGCAGCTCAACTGTTCCTGCGCGGTTGCGGGCCCGCGTCTTCAGCACGATCCACGCCCAGTGCTGGGCGTCGCCGAGAGCGACGCCGGAAAATCAGGGTAGTAGCCGGGGAAATTCCCCGGCGCACCGGTGATAAGGAGGTCTGGCTCGTCGTGTTCGGCGACGGCGGATTTCTTGAGGATTGCGATGGCGATGCCGTTTGTGCTGTATGTGCCCTTGTACGCGAGACTGCCGCCGAGGCCGTTCGCCCAGTTGGTGTAGCAGGGGTCGTTGTCGGGGGTTGGGGAGAGGAAGGTGCATTTTGAGGTCAGGGCGAAGTCGGTGGGGGATTTGCCGATTATGGACGTTTTGTAGCGGTCTTGCATGTTCTTGCCTACGCCTGGGAGGTGCACGAGGGGTTTGATGTTATGTTTTGTTAGTTCCGCTCTGTCGCCGATGCCGCTGAGTTTGAGCAGGTGGGGGGTGTTGAATGTTCCTGCGGACAGGATGACTTCTTTCTTTGCGTACGCGCTGCCGGGGGTTCCGTTTGAGGAGGAGGAGGCGCGGGGGTCGGCGCGGTAGAGGCTCTGACCTTGGAGGTAGTAGACGCCGATGGCGCGGGGGATTGAACCGGACGTGTCGAAGAGGACCTTGGTTACGAGCGTCGTGAGCTGGATATCGAGCTTATATCCCTCGTCCACGGTATCGAGCAGGAAGTCCCGTGGCCCGGTACGCTTGTAGTCAGGCACCTTGACAGCAAGCGGGACCTGGAAGAGGCCCTCTTGCCTATCACGGCCAGCAATGTCAGTGTTCAAATCACGGAGGAGAATGCCCGCCAGTCCGGTGACGGTGTTGAGAACCTTACCGACGAGGTTCTGCCCCATTGCAGTGCCTGCAGCGATGACCAGCGACAGCAGCTTCATGTCCTCGACGACGAGGGTTAGCTGAGTCAGACTGGTCTGCAGCCACCCGCCAAATCCATGCGAGACAATATCACTCGGTGCGTAGCGGTTATCCTCGAGACGCTGGAAGTACCCGCGCATATTGTCGGCCGACCACGTCTCGTTGCCAGTCAGGGCCGCCAGGTCATCCCAGTCTCGCTCGTAGGGGTAGATCGTTCTACCGCCATTAGCTATCTCATCCCATCCAAATCAACAAGCGTCACTACTCACATCATGGCATTATGCGCCGTACACCCGCCCAGCGTGCCAGAACGGGGATACAGAATCCCCAACGGCTCCGAGCCCTCCGGTGGATTGGCGCCCGTGTGTAGCTCGCCGTCAGGCCGGCGGTACACCATCTTACTGTCCTGCTCCTGGCGCGTCAGGTTGTCGTAGTGGTTGACGAAGTAGTCCCACTGCATGGGCTCGTACTGCGTCGCGTGTAGCTGCAGCGCGGGGATCTGCTGGTGCAGGGCCTCGCCTTGGTCGTCGCCTGCGTCGAGGAGGAGGACGCTGTACCCGCCTGGGGCGGGGCGCGCGGCGAGGAGGCCGCCGCCTGCGCCGGAGCCGACGATTATGTAGTCGTATTCGGTGGCGTTGTTGTTGTTGTTGTTGGAGGTGCCGCGCTGGGTGTGCTGGTGCTGGTGGGCATGGTGGTTGCTGGCTATGGTGATGGCAGGGTAGAAGAGGAGGGTGGACAGGAGCAGACGGCTCAGGGCCTTTACCAGCATTGTTGCGGGTGGAAAAAGGAACTATAGACTATATGCAGTATAAATGAGTGACTGGAAACACACCCTGCAATAAGGAGTGGCAAGGAAAACAAAGGAACGGACTGCTGCTGTTCACCGTCGGAGCATTCCTGGCAGCCCTAGATATATCCCGGTCCGTATGTACCAGGGCATGAGTAGTGCACGTATACGGAGTACGGAGCACCCCTGGACTTCGAGTCAGATCTACAGAGTCAAGCATCAGAACTAGACAGGGATGCCGGCACTTGAGCCCTGGTCAGGCACATAATATACTTTAGGACTTTAATATGATCAGACGATCACCTGCCCCATGCAGCATAACTCTCGCGGCACAACGGTCGACGGTCCGAGACGCTCAGACGGCGTCCCTGCCAGCCCCAGTCTGCCCTAGTCTGCTCCACCGTGGGTTGCACACTGACCCAGCCAGTGCAGGAACAATGTAAGCTTCCTCCGTCCCATACGCCCGGGCGCCAGCTTGGGCTCCGCATATCCCTGTCAGCCCAAGCATCCCGGGCAATTCCTGCAATGCCTGAATGGGGTCTAGGTATCTCGTTCATCGATCATGAGCCCCAGTAAAGCGACGACGTATTATATCCATGATTACCTTATTGCTCCTGGCTAAAGCAAGGTTATCTCCCAGAACTCCAATCCCTTACCGTCCCTACATGCCCCTTCTCCCTAAGTCCAAGCTTCTCAATCGGGGCCCGCGACAGCGGCGTCAACAACCTCCTCGGCGATGGACTCGGCCTGCTCGGTGAACCACAGGGCCTCAACGGTTCGCACAACCTGATAGAATCAGACTCGTCGAATACGCGGGATGGCCTGTATGTCACTGGTGATGCGTCGACTATGAACGAGACGCTGTTCATGGAGTGGTATGATTCCTTTGATGAGGACGGAACGTTCAGCATGGATGTGATGGCTGCGCGGGCGGCGAGGCGGTTCGAGGAGAGTAAGGCTTCCAACCCGGACTTCTTTTATGGGCCTGTGACGGGCCTGTTTGCGAGGAATGCTGGGTATGCGTTCAACGTGAGGTTGCTGGGGAATTATTCTGGGGTTGAAGGGGGGCAGGTTTTGAGTGAGTGGCATCCGGGTCTCTCGCTGCCCAGGATCTACCATAAACTGACGAGCTCTCTAGCCAAGAATATTGCCCGCAGCTTCTACGGCATGTCAGGCACCAATAAAGCGGGCCTGTCTTATGAAAAGGGCCACGAACGCATTCCCGAAAACTGGCACCGCAGACCCGTCGACTACGGCCTCCTCGATCTAAACGTCGACCTTCTCGGCTGGGCTATGAAGTATCCGGAACTGGCAAGGTATGCTCTCCCGAGCTAGCAAAATCTGAGGGGCCATGGCTAACAAGTACTAGCATCGGCGGCAACACCGGCACCATCAACAGCTTCACGGGCGTTGACCTCTCCAACCTTACCTTTATAACTCTTAGTAATCTAGGGGTACCTTTAAATAAGGGCTCTAGATGCTTTAAAACTATTATAAATATATATTTTTACTATTTTAATTTTATTTTTAACTTTTTTTTATTTTATTACTCCCCGTGGTATAATAATTAAAATTAAGGTATATATTTTTAATTAATTTATAAGTTTTAATTTAGCTAACTTTACCTAGTTATAAAATTCCCTATTCCCCTTTAATCTTTATATTATAAAAAAATAAAAAAAAGGGCCCTAGCAAGCCTATTTTTTTTTTTTATTATTAAAAATAATAATATACTAATTTTTTAACCTAGCTTAATTATAAAGGCCCTTTATAATTAACTTAATAAATAAAAATATTAAGTATATATTAAGCGCGAAGTTTTTATAAGTTTTATAATTATTATTAATAGCTTTATAATTAGGTAAAAAACTTAAAATTAAAAAATTTTTATTTATAATATTTATAATAAATTTATATACTTTATTTTTTTAAAGGGCTATATTAATATTAATAATATTAATAATATTTTTTTATATATATATAATTAGCTTATTATTATAATAACCTTTAATAAAATTATTACTTAAAAAAATAAGTTTAACTTTTAAAAACTTAAGGGCTTAATTTACCCCTTTTAAAATAAGTTTTTTTATCTTAATTAATACTACCTTAGGTAAGGTACCCTTATTAAACACCTTAATAGCTTAATTAGCGTGTAATAACTTTATTATAATTTTAATTATATAAAATAATTATAAGATATTAATTACCTTTTTTAATAATAAGTTAATAGCATGCCTTAAGGTATATGTTATTTAACAAGCCCTTATTAAATATATATTAAAATTAACTATAATAATAGCTATTTTTAAAATTAATATTACTTATATAAGCTAGGTTATTATTTTTAATAATTTTTTTTATTAAAAACCTTTTAACAATTAATAAAATAATTAATGTAATTTACTATACCCTAGGTATTATTAATATATATATTTTTTAAAAATAATATAACTACGCGGTGCAAGAAGTACCTAGTATTATTTTAATATATAATAATAATAAAATAAATATTACTAAGCTAATTTAAAATAAAGTTATAGCCTAAATTAAACTAAAGCTAATTAAGCTTGCTTTTTTAAAATATAGGCTTAACCTAAATACTAGGTATATTACTTAAATAGTATTTTTTTTAAAATAGCCTAAGGCTTTTACTTTATTTAACTAAAATAAGTATTATTAACTTATTAAAAAATACTAGCTAGTTTCCTAGTATAACCCTAGTTATTAAAAATATTATTACCTAGCGTAATATAATTATATAATATATTATATATAATATAATATAATAGCTATAAATTATTTAGGTTTTATTAATTTAAATTATAAAAATTTTATATATTATATAAACTACCTAGGCCCTTAGCTAATAAAATATAATAATTACCTAGTAACCCCTAGGCGTAAAAATAAGAAACTAGTTTATTTATTTAAAAAAAACTTAATAACATGTATTATTATAATACTTATTAATATTAAAACATGCATGCCTAGGTTAATACTAGTACCTAGCTTTAAGTTAAAATTAAGTAATTTTTATTTTAAAAAAACTTTTAAAAGCATGTTATAAAAAAGCTAAAAATAAATAAGCAAGGCTTTATAATAATTACTAATTATTATACCCTGTGGTTTAATACCTTTACTAGTAATTAAAATTTTAGGTAATTTTTTATTAAATTAATTTTACTTACCCTAGCTAGCATAAACACGCCTTTTTTACCCTAGGTAATAAAAATTAATAATAAATTTTTTTTAAGCTTTAATAATAAAATACTAAAAAAAAATAATAATAATTATTACTAAAATAATACCTAATAATAGCGGGATTTTACTATTTATTAGGTTAATATAAATAAGTTTATATTTAATTATATTATAATTTTATAACTAGCCTATAAGCAAGGCTATAATATTACTTATATTTAAAAGCCCTAAATTACTATAGGTATAAAAACTTAAAATTACTTAATATATAAGTACTACACGCTAGTAAATACCTAAAATAATTATAAAAACTAGTTAAAAAAGCGCCCTAAAGTACTTACTTATATTTATAAAAAAGAAGTATTACGTGTTAAATAATACTACCTAGTATAAAGCTAAAACATGCTATAGCTTATAATAAATAATATTAAGGTTTTAAATATATATTAAAAACTAATTATTTATAAAATAATTAATTACCTAATTATATTAACCCCTATTTTAAATTATATAATTAATAAGGACCTTAATACTACCTATAATATTTTTAAGCCTAAAGTAAATAACTTACACTATAGTAATAAGATTATTAAATAAGCTAATAATAATAATATTAATTATATTAATAAGCTAGGCGTGGCTATATATAAAGCTAGTTATATTTTTAACCTAATTTTTTTTAAATATTTTTTTTATTTATATGCTAGTAATACCTAAGTTATATAATAACTTTAATTATTAAACTTTAATTATTATAATGCTAGGGCGCGGGAAGAAAATATTAAAATAATATTATTATAATATATTAAATTATAAGCTTAAGTGCTTAGCTAGGCTTATAAAAAATAAAATAATATTTTTTTTAACCTAAAAAACTTAAAAATATAAAAGCATTAAATTAATATATTAAATTTTTTAGTAATATTATTACAAAAGTTATATAAGTAATTAATAAATACCCTAACCTAGGGAGCTATAACGCCCCCTAGTAATTAATTAAATATATAAAAAATTATTAAGCCTAGGTAATAAACCCTACCTTAAAATAAAAAAAGTAGTTTTTAGCTATAGTTTATAAAACCAAGCACGTGTATTAAACTAAAATAATTAATAATATTAAAAATAACTAAAAATTATATTAAATAATAATATAATATAAGCTAGAGCCTAGGCTTAAAACTCCCTTATTATTAATAAATAATAAAGTAATTAAAAACACGCGGGAAAAGGCTAATATTTTATAAAAAATAATATTAAAATATTTTAATATAAATAATAATTTAAATTTTAATTTTTTAGTGCTAAAGTACTAGCAAGGTAATAAGTACCTTTATTAATTAAAAAGAATTTTATTAAAAAAGGTTAAAAAAATATTATAAATATAAGCAGCACCTTTCCCAGGGTAAATTAAGTAATAATTTATATTTTAAAGGCCTATTAAAAGCATGTTAGGCAGGCTATATATAAGTTATATAATTAATACTTATAATTAAAATACTTTCCCTTATTATAAAAGCTTATAAAAATAGTAATACCTTTAAAAAATAATAAAAAAAATAAGTTTTTATTTTAATTTTAGCGCCCTATAGCACTACTTTTAGTATTAAAAAAAAAACTTAAATAAATTATAATATATTATGTTACTTTTATTATGCTAGTATTAAAAATATTAAGCTTATAATAATATAATGCTTTACCTAAGCACTTAATTATAAATTTAATAGCCTTTTTTATTTATAATATAAAAATAGTACTTTTATAAAACTAGAAAGTTATTATAATTATTATAAATATTTTAAGTACTTTTAATATTATTTTATTATAATACCTGCTTTAATAAATAATAAAGCAAGGCTGGCTTTATATACTTTTAACTTTAATTATAAGTTTTTTTAATAAATAAAATATAAAAATGCGCCTAAAATTTATTATAATAATAATATATTTAGTATATTATAATATATTATAAGGCTTGCCCCTTTTTTTAATATTATTTTTATTATATATTACTAAGCTATTACTAGTAAACTTAATTTTATATTTTAATTATATAAATAACTTTTACTTTAACCACGCGAGTAACTTTTTTTATATAAATTATAAGCTTTTAATAAAAAATATTTATAGCATGCTAGCCTAAAAAAAATAAAATAAAATAACCTTTATACTTAAAAAGCTAAAAATACTATATATTACCTAAAAATAATATGGTAAAATACCCTTACTAATAATTAATAATTAATTAATAATTACTTTTATTACCATGGTACTAGGCTAAAAATAGCTTATATTATATTAGTTAAGTATTTTTTTTAATAAATAGCTTTTTTAGCGCTAGTATATTATTAAGTAAGTAATTAAAGCCCATGTAATAACTTAATATATTTATAATTTAATATATATAATATATAGCCTACCTATAAATTTACTTTATAAAGTAATTATTACTTATATTATTTTTAGCCTTTTATATAGCATAAAGGCATGGTATAGTAATAAAACTAAGTTTAAAAGGTATATATAAAATTTAAAAGTTAGTACCTAACTAGGCTAATATATTAAAATAATTAAAAAAACCCTAGCACTAGCTGCTTGCAATATATTTTTAGTTTTTTAAATAATATTTATAATATTTTTTTTTTTAAAAATACTAGGCTTTTTTTTATAATAATAATATTAAAAAAAATATAATTATATTTTACCTTAAGGCTAAGGCTAGTTAATAATTAAAATTTACTAATAATATAAATAATATTACTAGAAATCTTACATGGTTAAGGCGCTAGTATATACTAAAAACCTAAAATAAAGGTATAAATAATAAAAGTACTTTTTTTAAAAACTTTTAGGCTAGTTTTAGCATATTTTTATTATTTTTAAAAATATTTAAAAAATCCTACTAGTGGCAAGGCTAAAAAGCTAGCTATAAAAAAGTTTAAATAATAATAATAAGTATTATTAATAATAAAAATAATAATTTTTAATAATAACTTAAAATAAATATATCAAGGGGTTTATTATATAGGCTATAGCTTTATAATATATTATAAATAATACTTATAAATATAAAAATTATTAATAATTAATACCTAATTTTATATATATAATACTAAGGGTATTAATATACTTTAAAAACTAAAAATAATAATTAAAAAGCTTTTTAAAGTGCCTTATTACTAGTTTTATATTAATAATACCTTAGTAATTTAGTACACGCGCGGGCAGCCCTTATTATTTTTAAATTAAGCCTTTTATATATTATACTAGCTTATAAATTAATATATAATTTACTTATAATAATCCCCTAGCTATATAAATATTAAAGGTAATAAGTTAGTTAATAAGCTAGCTAATAAAATAGCCTTTATAAAAATATAGCCTTTAAATATTAAATTTTTTAAAGTATAGCCTATTATAAGCAGGATACATAGCCTATATAAATAAATATATTAAATTATTTAAGCTAAGTAATAAAAAGGTATTTTTATAAAATTATTAACTTAATATAAATAATAGCTTATAAAACTAAAGCCTTACTAGGTTAAATTATAAATAAAGCTTATATTAAAATACTTAATTTTATACTACTAGCTAGTACTTAGGTTTTTATATAAAAATTTTAAGTAATATTATAAATACTTTTAATATAAAAATATTAAGCTTATTTATTTTTATAAAAAAAATAAAAGCCTTAAATACTTAGTTTTTTATTATTATTTTAAGTAATAATTTTAATAATAGCCCTAGCGCCCTATAGTATTATTAATAATTAAGGTTAAAGCTTTAAAATATTTTTATAAACTAAAGCTTAAGAGCTTTATATTTTTACTTAAAATTATAAACTTTTATAAATTTATTTACCTATACTAGGGTTCCCCGCGCCCTAATAATTTTTATACTAAAATTATTTAATTTAATATTAAATAACCTTATTTTTTTTATATTATATATATATTTTTTTAAATACTTTTTTTTAATATAACTAATTTATTTAGTATACTTTTTTTATATAAAAGCTAGATTTTATAAACTACTATAATTAAATTTTTAAATATATAATAAATAATACCTGTTAATAGCTATATATTAAAATAATAAGTAAAAAATAAGCGCCTAGCTTATAAGCTTTAGTAAAAATTACCTTTTAAAATAAAAAGCCTTTTTATATATATATATATATAAACTTATTTAAATAAGCTACTTACCTAGCGGTGGCACGCCCTTATACCCTAAAAAAGGTCTAGAACATTAGGCGTACGCCTAGCAATCCCCGGGGCGTTAAATATCACTACTACTACTACCTCTCCGACCTCACCGGCGGCGTCCTGAACGCGACCACTCTGCTAGAGGACAACAACCTCCTGTGCTTTGTGTTCCAGGCGCTGAAACTGCTGAGTCCGAATCCGCTTTCCGGTATCTACAAGACTCTAGCAGCTCCCTTGGGCCTTATTACCAAGGCTCTGGCGGCGCCGCTTGTCGACCTGGCGTGTCCGGCGTTTGAGGATATGCAGGTGGGCGGCAAGCCAGCGTGGGAGGCGCTGGAGGAGTTGTTCCCGGGGGCGTTGTTGAGTGGGGGTGTGTTGTAGATGTTTGTCAGGCATTTAGGGACCTACCTAGATAGGTACCCAGAAGATGGTCAGTATTGACAGTGGACCCGGACCTGCGGACATTGGGTTCGTCGCTGTCCTGCGTTTGGAAGATTGGGATTAGAACTGTGGCGATATAAGGGCTTCAGACTTAATATAAGTACCTAGTATAAATTGACATCATCTAATCCATCCAATTCTCGCCGTCGCTGTTGCTTTTAGTTCACCCAGCAGAATAAATATTTAGGTATATGGCATTGGCTCTCGGTGCGCTGAACTGGCGGACAACCCTTTCATTCCACGCTACTATCGTTATTTCTATACCTTGGGACCATAGAACCTGGTGCTCATTGCGCTTTAGGGTATTCTACTCTATTGCGAGCAGCAGCATGGAGTATGGAGTAAACCAGCCGGAGAGGGTGGAAGCTTTTGAAGGGTATGCGTCATCAATAAAAGGGTCTCCACGGAGTACTTCTGCTTCGCGTCAAAGCGGTCGAGACCAGGAATGGGTTCTTACTGAGGGCTCTTGGTGCAGAGGACTATGGATGGATGAAGAGCACATGCACGACTGGACGGAATAGGACAGGGATGCCTAACCGTTGTTGAGGAGTACATGTACATTTGAGCCCATGCTATAGCTATAGGTATATACACTTATACCTAGGTAGACTCGAGCAGCTGAAAGCACTTGGTTGAGCTCTGTTCTATCGCCGATACAACTAGGCCAAAGAAAACTCATTCTCATCATATTACACCGATGTATAGCCGCAACCCTGGCTAACAGGGCCCTGAGTGGCTATGATACCATCTGCTAAGTATGGTAGCATGTCGCTGGTAAGCCCACGGCAAGCTTCAAGCGTATACCTGATATAAGTAAGATCTAGCAGTACGTCGCATTAGCAACAGGCATCCTAACAACGCCGGCATCCAGCAAATTCTCAAAAGACCAGTAATCCCTCTGCGTGCCCTGCCCATCCACAACCGCGCTAGAATTATGCTTGATATTCCAGAACGCCCCGCCGGCAACATACTTCGTCCAAGCATAGCGCTGCGTCTCAAAGAGCTCCTGGCGGCGGTCGTAGGCATTGGAGTACAGCGTCTGCAGGGCCCACTCGCCCACGAAAACGGGGAACTTCCCATCGCCAGGCAGAACGGACGCTTGGCCGCAGATCGCCCCGTTCGCCCACTGGCTGTACACGCCGGATGCGGCGAAGTAGTACACGTGCTGGTCGATGACGATGTTCGTGCCAGAGGGGAAATAGGGGGACCAGTGTTCTTCGGAGAGGAAGCAATCCTGCAGCATCAGGGGGATGCGGGAGTCGACCTTTGCAATGCGTGCAAGCACGCCCTGGGTGTACCGCACGATCCAGGCGGTGCCGTTGGCTGTGAGGGTGTTGGGGCTTGCGAAGGCGGAGGGGTTATCGGAGGCTTCGTTGAGGTGGGAGATTGTGAAGGCCCAGGGGTATCCGGAGTCCACGAAGAAAGAGAGGATCTCGTCGACGGCGGCGTACGAGTATGCCAGGTTCGTGCTGTTGAAGAACCACCCGTCGTTGCCGACCTTCTCGCCGATGTCGAGGTTATTCACGCCGCCCGGGAGAGAGTGCAGGCCGACGATGATGCGCATGTTGTAGGTCTCGATTGCGTAGAGGGCGATTCTGCGGAGGTGCGCCTTTTGGTTTCCGCTGTAGAGCTGTGAGCCGGGCACCTTGATCCAGGCGGCGTAGGTGGTTGGGATGCGGAGGGTGTTGATGCCCACCGCGGCGAGGCGGTCGATGTCGGCGGTTGTTACGAAGGAGGCGTAGCGCTCTTCCAGGACGGGGCCGCAGTTGGAGCCGAGTGTCTCGCAGAAGGTCCATTCGTCTTCGGCGTCCGGGGCATACTGGTCCCACCAGTACTGGTTGAAGACCTTTTCCTGCTCGAGCCAGCCGCCTAGGTTCACGCCGTTGGCCTTGAACTTGGTCCAGTCGGTGAATTCGCCGGTGATGGGGGCGGAGGAGGGGGTGGAGNGGGGTGCCGGAGGCGTAGAGGGTGGATGTTACGGGGCGGCCGGAGGTGTAGGTGGGCTTGATGGTGTAGAGGTCGGTGTTGACGCCTGTGCCGACGGCGGAGCCACCGGCGACGAGGCCGGTTTCAGTGCTGGGGATGGAGGCGGAGCCGGATGCACCGGATGCGCCGGAGGCAGTGATAGTGGTGGTGGCAGGGCGGGTCGATGTCACAGACTGGCCGTCAATCTCAGTCTGGACGCCCTTGTTGATGGTATCGGGGGCAGTTATGGACTGAGTGGAAGTCTGGGTAGGAAGGCCAGTGGCAGTGGAGATAGTCGCAGTAGAAATGGTCTTGGTGACGGTGGCCGTGCTGGTGGCAGTGACCGTGGTGTACAAACGAGTGGGAGCATCGGTGCATTCAATAAGGATAGTCTTGTCGACGGTCACGACAGCGTTGTGGTGCAGCTCGACGTCGACGATGATGGGGTGCTCGATGATATTGAGCGAGAGGTGCAGGACCTCGCCTGTCCAGAGCTCATTCGCACAAGTCTTGGACTCGGCATGATGCGGGATGGCGCCAGCGGCGGCGAGGCCGGCCGAGGCGGCTACTGCCAGGGTGAGACGCATGGCGAGCGATCAAACGAACGACTGGGGTAGGGAAGATGGACAGGGGTCGACAGGGATTGTCAGATCTAGGGGCATCGGGCTGACTTTATAGGGGCGTCAAAGGCTCGGACATCACCGCAAGAAAACCCTGCCTGGGCACAACAGCCCTAGCTAGGCTGAAGGGCTAGAGGGTCCTCATTGCGAGAAATGGAGACAAACCGAGATGAATCGGACGAGACTCCGCTGGGGGCCAAACATTGCAGGTTTTACTCGGCACACAGGGCCTTGTTTGAGCAGTGCGAGTCTGGAAGAGATCTATCGAAGCCGATGGATCGATCAAATGACGTATGAGTCAGGTACGGTCTGATAAACAGGGATCGATTGCCATAAGACTGGTTGGAGAACTAACTAGCCCTATCGAGACCATTGCCCGGCTCCCACGTGGTGCAGGGCCGGTCCCTGAACCTTGGGCTCGTTAAGCTCCCAGTGGCGTTCTCTGCTTTGTTTACATGTTACTGCCAGTGCAAGTGTTCGTTCTCAATGTTCATGTGTTCTGGAGGAAGGGTACGCACTCTACCCCAGACAAGCATGAGACCTGCCAAGCTGTAGGGGAGATTTGTGTGTGAAATGTCAGGAAAAGTCTTGTTCTGCAACCAAGAATCCGGGCCGACCAAGTGGGCCTCCATCTTAGCGGGCCAATAGTCCAATAGTCCCTGGCTCGGCTTTTCCGAGTGTCTGAAGCCCTGATCTTGCTGCGATGCCGAGGACCCGGCTGACAATTCCTGACAGTAGGGATGGTAAAATGTCGTCACAAAACAGACTGTGACCAACACAGCGAAATGTTAATGTTTTTTATAACGGTTAGAGACGACACACACGTGACTAAAAGTGGATTAAAGCTAACTAATTAAAATGCGCTAAACCAAGCTATTAGCCTTTTATTTTAGGGCTAGTGCGAGTATATGCCGCGGAAGCTAGACCCCTTTTAGTATACCAAGCGCCAATTTAACAACCTTGTTTTGCTGTGACCGTCACACTGGTCATTTTGGTGGTCACAGACGGTCAGACATATGTCAACTACCACCCCTACCTGACAGGCTGACAGGTCACAGGTGGATGCACGGGAGAAGAATAGTGCCCGAGATGATATTCTGAAGTTGAATGATCAATGATATGAAAGAAGTTGTAGATGACAGTGTGAAGCGAAGATCAGACTAGGCAAAGCTTTTACGACCGTGGTTCGTCGGGGTCTCGATCGTCGAAGACTGCTACATGGCTCATCACATCTCGATCCCAACAGAGGTCTGCATCATCTAGATCCAAGTATCAATCGGCATCTCCACTCTCAACCACCGGCACTCGGGAGCCAGCCATCCGGGCCCCGGCTCTACTTCGGCTAGGGGTGGGATCTGACATATATCTGACTATTTGTGACCACCTAAATAATAAGTATAATAGTTATAGTAAAGCAAGGCTATTAAATTAGCACTTGGTATATTATAAAAGGCTTAATAGCTATAGGGCATGTAAAAACTAGTCCTATTTTAAAAGGCGCACTATAAATTTATAAAAAAAATAAATTTTTTTTAATTTATATATAAAAATTAATACTTTTTAAAAAGTTTTAAAATATATTTTGCAGCGCTTTTTACAGTACTTTTTAAAATATTTTAATTAAATTTATTAGCTATGTAAAAAGTATTAATAATACCATGCTTATTATTTTATAATACTTTATTAACCTTAACTAATTTTACTACTTTAGCTACATAGTGTTTTTTTTTATATTATTTTAACTAAGTAATTTATTAACAGCATAGGTATTATTTAAAATTTTTTAAATTATAAGGTTTTTATAAAGTAACTAGTTGCGGGCTATTTTTTTTTTTTAATTAAATAAACTTATACTTTAGTGTTTTAGCCTTATTTTCCTTTTTTATATTAATAGGCTTTAATTTTAAAGCGCGTGTATTTATATAAATATATACTAATTTTTTTATTTTTATTACTTAAAGGCAAGATTACTACTTATTTTTTATAAAATTTATAGCAGAGAACAAGCACTTAATAAAAATAAAATTAATAATTATATAAAAAAGTTATATAGCTAGGGAAAAGAGGCCTAAAGTAATTTTAACTTAAAAAAAAGTAATAATTAGTTTTAAAGCTATTTAAAAATAAAAAACTTATAAATTATGCCTAAAAAAGTAAGAAATTATTATTTAGGTATTTTTTTTATAGGGTAAAAATATACTTTTTTTACTTAATATAAGGTAAAGTTAGCATGGACATTTTTATTAATATATTAAAAAATAATATTTTTAATTTTAAAGGCTATTACTTTAGGTAGTATTACTAAAATATTTTAGGGATTAAAATAATAAGCAGCCTAGTAAAAATTAATTAATTAAGTATTAAATTATTTATTAAAGCTAGTATAATTTAACTTTATAAGGTATTTTTAAAAATTATTTTTAAATATAGTTTTAATAGCTTAATAAAAAAAAATTAATTATAACTATACCTAGTGCTTTATAATCTAAAAAGTTAAAAAATAAGTTAATTTTTAAAGCTATTTAAAAAAAAGAATATAACATGTACTATTATAATATTAGCCTTTTAATTTTTTAATTATAGCTAAAAATAGTAAATAAGCTTTATAATAAAAAAAAGGTTTTTTAAATTAAATTAAAAGCTAGATATTATAAGGAGTTTTACAACTAACTTTATTATTATTAGCTTTTTAAATTTTAAAGTTATAATAACCTTTAAAAGTAAGGTTTACTAGTAAAAAAAATACCTAACTTTTATACTAAGTATAAAAAATTAAACTAGGTTCCCTAGCAAGTAATTACTAGCATAATAAGCACTTTTATATTATTTTTTTTTTACTTAGTAATTATAAATAATAGCTAGTTATTTTAAAGCGCTATAAAAAAATTAATAATATTTATAATACTTTTAAAAATCTTATAAGGCCTATAAAGAGTAAAAATATTTTTTATTAAAAGTTAAAAGTTATAAAAATTATAAAAAATAAAAAATATATAAAAAAACTTAGCTTTATTTTAAAAAATTTTTTACGTGTTTTTTATAGTATTACAGGTATTTATAAAAATTAAATTATTTTTTTTTTAATTAATATTATTAAGGCGTGTTAAATACCCTTTTTTATTAATAAAATACTTTTAAATTTAATTTTAAATTTATTTTATAGTTTTCTTGCCTTTAAACTTTTTTACTAAAATTTTTTTAAAAGTATAAAAAAAGCTATAAATAAATATATTAAATAACAAGGTAATAACATGTTTAAAAAACTAATTTATAAACTTATTAATAATAATATTAAAATACTTAAAATTTTTAAATTTTTTATTTACTACAAGGCGTGTTTTATTATAATACTTATTTAATAAATTACCTTTAAAAGTTTAATAATTTATAGGGGCCTTAATTTTTTGCTTTAAAAATAATACTTAAAAGTATAAATTTTTATAAATTAAGAATAAAAGTTTACTAGTATAAATAGCTATAAAAAAGTTTTTTATTTTTTACTTTTAATATATAATTTTAAAAAAGTTATTATTAGCCGTGTTACTTAGTAAAAGGCTAATTTAAATATTTTTTAAAAAAATAAGTTTATTACTAAGTTATTTAAGGGTTTTATGCCTTGCTATAATATTAATACCTAACTTATATTTTTAAAAATTAATATAAAATTAAAAAAAATAAAAATTAAAAAAATACTTTACTAGTTTTATTATAAAATACCTTATAAAGGTTTTTAACCTATAAATTATTATTAATTTAAAGTATTATAATAATTATAATTAAAAAATCTTAAATATTAAAGCTCTAGAAAAAATATATATATTTATTATTAAAAAGTATAAAAGTACTAGTATTTAATATTATTTATTTTTTTACTTAAGTAAAATATTTAGCACCTTAATTAGCTATAATTTAGGCTTGGCGTATTTTAATTAATTAATTAAAATCCACTTTTTATCACGTGAATATTAGATTTAATTATTAGAGAAAACTCTAACATTTTGCTGTGTTAGTTATATTCCATTTTATGACGACATTTTACCATCCCTAACTTCGGCGCTCGGAAGTTTTCCTTGCAATTAACGTGGCAAATAATCGGCAACAATAATGGATGAATTTTTTATCAGATAACAGGATGAAGACTTGTCTTGATGATAGACTTCCCGAGGTAAACATTTCTGACTGTTGCGTACCTGACGGTACCCCTAGTATGTGAGAGACCGCATGTTGCATGGTCGGACCTTATAAGTAAACTAAAGGGCGCAGTTAGCCAACGCTTCCAGTACCATAGTAGGAGGCGATGAGATGGAGGGAAAGCCTTAGCCCTTTCGGTTACAATCCGTGCCTTGAAGGGATGTTGGCACATACCATAGTACGCAGCCGCCGTAGTAGGCTGAGCAGGCCGGGCTATTCACGTTACATACCTACGAAGAAGCTCCCACTAGTACCTACCATAGGCTTGAGCCTTAGTATGGTAGAACTGGCATGAAAGCAACATGGCTGGGGTCATTGTCACCGGTAGCCATTGTTTATTAGAATTATTGTTCCTGGTTTTATCTCGGCTCAAATGTCTTACTTTTGCACGAATATATCGGAGCAATAATTCTTGCGAAAGCATCGATATAGGGCACTGTTTGCTGTTCGCAGAGCTCATTCAAGGGCCTGAAGATAGGGAGCCGTGAAAGAAAGTACCTTATTGACATTCTGGCCTCAATGTATTCATTGACTCCAATACCAGCCTTTGGCTCTTTGACTGAAAGAAAAGACAATGGAAGCCAAATACCTTAGAAGACTTGCAATAAAAAGAACCTCTGCTTTGAAAGACTTCTTGCAATACAGCACCATTCTACCGCATCCATGAAAGGGTATGAAAGAAGACCACATAGTAAATAGGCATTGTCGTTCCACCATGAAAGCAAACCACAATGATAGCGACAATGAATTTCATCGCCATGAAAGACTTAGAACAAAGCAGCTTTGAAGCCCTCCATTCAATGCATTTCATACAGATACCATAGGCATCATCTCATGGCTATATTAATGTCCACGGACCCTGTCCTACCTTACCATGAGCACCACAATCAAATCAACACCTCTCAATCCAACTAACCTTCGAGAGAACCATCTCATCTCTCAAATCCACAGAAACAACCCAAAAACACTCCCCAATCGACCCCAGCAGATCCACCAAAATGTGCAAGCACAACACCAAAAAGCCCACATCGGGCCAAATCCTAACCGCAACCCTAAACCTCGAATCCCTCAAGACCTCCGCCCAAAAAAGCACCGAGCTCGCCGAATGGGCCCGCCTCGTCGACAACAACCTGATCCCCGAGCCAACGGCAGAAAAAGCCGCGCTCCTGCGTGAGCGCGGGCGCCAGCAGATCGCGCACGAGCTGCTCGTCGAGCTGGCGCACTATCTGAAACAGAAGAGGATGACCCACTACTACATCTACACGGGGTACCGGGCCTCCACGCCGGCGGATAGCTGGGAAGTCTATGTGGCGTTTGGCAAGGAAGGACTGACTGATGCAGACCGGATTGAAGTCCGCCGCGAGATCGAAGAGGACTTCTTTGCGCCGGCGCCGCTGGACGACGATATCGTTGTTAAGAGGGCTGTTGATGCGTGTGCGGGTGTGGAGCTCCACTGGGGCGTGCAGCAGCAGTGGTGTAATATGACGAGGCTGGTTGTGTGGAAGGACAGGGCGTTTCTTGTTGAACACAATGGGGAACGGGATAGTGAGGTGCTGGCGCAGTTAGACAGTGCGGTTGCGGGTTGTCCAAATGCCATCCAGCAGATTCTAATGGGGTTTAGGCCGGGCATGATTCAGCTGTCAAAGCTGGAGAGTCGGAAGGGGCAGATGGGCGTGAGTCTGGAGCAGGCGCTGGGCGGGCTGCAGTTACCCAGTGCGCGTGAGCTGCTGGAGCAGACGCTCGGTGCTGGGGGTCAGAACCCGTTGTTGCTCTCCACGCTTAGATATTGTCCCCCGGACGAGATTGCCTTGGAAATTGGTCACGGCACATCCAGACTTCCATTCCGCCTTTTGGCGTATGTGTTTTCGAGTGTTTTATGGGTCAGCTCCGCAGCTTAGATGTTCTCTATTTTACCAATCTATAATATATACATCACATTTTACAATATTTTACTGCCATGTATTCAACGTACTTACCCTTCCTAATAGCTGTATTCTCTTCCCAATGACAGTAAGTAACCTCTCTTAACTTGGTTTCTCTAAATAAAGCCTACCACGAGTGGGAGGGACATTATGAGTCGGCTCTTGTGTGCAAAGCCCTCGGCGTACTCCGTAGAGCGGGTCCTCTCCATTCCGAGATTCTGCGCATTTGAGGAGAGAATTGGATGCTTGAAGATAGGCTGCGTCTTGTAATGTCCTTAGGTACCTAGCTCACTCACGGCCCTGCGCTCATACCAGAAACGACCCTAGGTACTCGTAGGTAAGGTTCACCTGCCGAGCAAGGGACTACGAGCGCTACCTCAACACCACTTCCTTTCTGATTATAGTAGGTAAGAAGTCCAATCGGTGCGACCTACAGTCGTGCTATTTTGGTAAATACGCTGTTAGTCTTCGGCTACATGATGATTGGAGTCGCCATGTTGTTGGACTGGCCAAGATCGATCCAGTAACAGAGAGAGCTGAATATCATGGCGAATATCTAGTCGAAACATAGCTTTAGGATCCTCGCTGCCCAGCTCTCGAACATGGTTGGCTCAGGTAACCTAGGTGTGTGTGAAGATGGCTGGGGTGGCTGTTCGAGGAAGGAGCTCGCATTCGGGCACCTTCTTTCGATCGTGGCTTCCAGATTCGCCATTGGACAGCCTTTTCCAAGGCTACGAGGTTGATAGTACCTAACCGTCCATGGATGGTTCAGTATGCATCGAGGCAGTTTGAATTGCAGAATTTATGGGCCTCCATGCCAATTTTCTAAGGTGCATCTTATGACCTGTTACCATAGACTTCATTGTACGTGGGAGGACTTGCTAAGGGTATAGGGTATCAATAACCACATCAGCAAGAACTTGCGAAGATGCGTCTGGTCCTAGGTAGGTAGACATGACGCAGCATCCAAGTTGCGTTAGCTGGAGGAAGAGGCGGGCGCTGATCCTACCTAGACAAGCAATTCTTTGTCTCTTATCACTACTTAAGACCCCTGATTCCCTTCCAGCTTCACCCCCTCTCAATCTCCCTCTCCACCCCCAAAATGCAGACGCAGACGCCCAATCCAGACCCCATCGGCGTCCTCCTAATCGGAAGCATCCCCCTCCCCTCACCAGACGCCGTCTTCGCAAAGCTCGCAACAACCCTCCCAAACCGCCTGCACACCCTCCCGGACGGCGAAACAAGCACACGCTATAACTGGATCGAATGGCAACTCCCCTGCTTCCCACTCGAAACCCTCCGCCCCCAACACGGGGGCATCGATCTCCCCGCTACGCCGGGAGTCTACAGCCAAGACTCCATAGGCCGCACGCGCTACGACGAGGTCGCTATAGAGTCATACACCCGCTTCGTCGCGCTCCGCGAGAATGGAATAATTCCTGCAGGCGTCCGGTTTCAAGTAAGCCTGCCGACGCCGTACGCCGTCATCCAAAGCCACCTGCGGCCTGAATTCCACGCACAGTTCGAGCCGTGGTATGAAGCGCGCTTGCTTGAGGCCTTGGCTGCCATTATCGCACATGTTCCCGCCTCCGCCCTCGCGATCCAGTGGGATGTAGCCGTTGAAGTGCTCGCTTTGGAACACGAGCGCGGGCGGCTATGTAACGAGTTCTTCAGACCGCATTTCATCAACGAGCCTGGTGGTGTGAGGGCTGGTGTCCTCTCGCGCATCGGCCGGATCTGCGCGGGGATTCCGGCGGATGTTGAGCTGGGGTTTCACTTTTGCTATGGCGATGCTGGACATAGGCATTTTGTCGAGCCGGAGGATTTGGGGCTTGTTGTTGATCTTGCGAATGGGGTTGTGGAAATGCTGGGTAAAATGCGTGATATTGGCTGGGTGCATGTTCCTGTTCCGAAGGGGCGTGATGATGAGGCGTATTTTGAGCCGTTGAGGGGTCTGAGGATTGCGGAAGAGACGAGGTTGTATCTGGGTCTTGTTCATGCGTATGATCTTGATGGGACGAGGTGGAGGATTAGGGCTGCGCAGAGGGTCCTGCAGAGGGGCTTTGGCGTTGCGACGGAGTGTGGGATTGGGCGGACGCCGGGGGAAGAGCTGGAGAGTATACTGGACATCTCGATGGAGGTGACCGCACCGATACGAAATCAGTGATAAGTTTATATGGGGCATTGGAGATGGGCATAGGTTCATAGATTGATAATAGACGATATCGAATAATAGCATGGTATCTTTTGATCGGAATTCATTGGCTGATACTGGACGAGCACATCAACTCAGTATTCATAGATCCATGGACCTTCGATATGCCCATGCCCCTCAAATTTGATACCGAGCCCTAACACCACCCTCCCCATCACTCCCAGCAGTAGCCCTCGCAATATGATAAACATGATCCTTCGCCTTAATCCCATCCTCACCCCCATCATCCACGAGACTCTCCTCCACAGACTTCAACCGCCTATTCTCCCTCGCCAACAAAACCCTCAAGAGCCCCGTACTCGTCATGCAAACCGCCATAAGCGCTAGATTGACCGACCAAGCAACAACATACCGCGGCCCCGCGTTCTCGGGATAAAGATACGGCGTCCAAACCAGTGCTGACTTACCAAGCGAGTTATTCATGGCTAGCCCGATAGCACGCACCTTTTGCGGCCTCGCGGCAATATTCGCCATCCCTGCGTTCGAAATCATCATGCACCCGTATGTCCCGGGGAGCATCATGAAGATGGCGACGTAGCGGGCGGCGCTGATGGTTGTTGCGACGGTGATGATTATTCCCGTCACTGCGATGGCGTTGGGGATGAGGATTGAGGGGGATCGCGTGGAATAGCGGTCGGAGAGATAGGAGTTTGTTAGGCAGACAAGAGCTGCGAGGACATAAGGGGGTGCGGTGAGGAGCAGGGTTTCAATAGTGCCGAAGCCGAAGTTCTGCACGAGGGTCGGGAGGAAGTTTGTTAATGATGCGACAGCCTGTAGGCAGACTTGGCTGACGATGCACACCCAGATGCGGTGGTTGGAAACCGCGAGTTTGGTGGCGTCCCAGGTTGAGAAGCCCTCGTCTTCTGTGCCGGCGTCTTCCGTTATGCGGATTATGTCCAGGGCGCGTTCTTCGGGGGACAGCCATTTCGTGGTTGCGGGCCAGTCGGGGATGATGAAGCCTGTTAGGATGGCGAAGAGGACAGTAGCCGCGCCCTCGATGATGAAGAGCCAGCGCCATGAGCGGAGAGTGTGATTCTTGAAGCCTGCTTCGATGCCGGCGGCGAAGAGGCCGCCAAAGGCGCCTGCTAGCATGGCGGCGCAGTAGAAGATGGCCAGACGGAACCCGATCTCTTTGCGGGTGTACCAGCCACTGAAGAGGAATGCACAACCGGCGAAGAAGGGGGCCTGTCAATGTCGGGATTGTGCATGGGATCCGGGATAGACTTGTTTACCTTCGTTATGTCGAGAATGAATCGACAGGCCGCAAGACCTGAGAAGTTCTGCACCGCCCCGTAGCTCCACTGGCTATTCCCCAAGCGACCATGCAGACCGAGAGATGGATGCTGGGACGGGTCAAAGAAAGTAGCATGTTACTGGGCACTGTGAAGGGTTAGAAACAGAAAACTTGAACTGGCGGCGTAACATACCTTGCATCAGAATGTACCCGATGAATGTGACGCTGAGGACGATGTTATATTGATAGCCCGAGAGGTTGAGATCTTCCTCCAACCCTTGGACACGGGCTTGAGGGAGCCTTTCATCTCTAGAATCTCCCGACGCATTGCATCGATTTTCTGCGACCTAGAACCTAGTCAGTCGAGTAATCACTACTATGGTAGGATCGAAGATGGGCAAAGGGAACTCACTCCTCGCTGGGCTCGCCATCATGAAGTTGAGTGACGACGGTGTGGTTCATCACGCAATGCAGATTGCGTTTGAGGCAGTAGCGGCACTTGCGACTGCCTGCCGAGAGTTCGCATCGTATATTCAGTTTCCTGCACTCGTGGCCTGAAAGGGAAACCGCGTTGGTGACCAGTTGACCCTGGACTTTCCTCGTTTGTTGCTCTCAAGACACAGTGCTCTTCATACAAGCCTTGACTTTCCTCCCCTGCCCAGGTCTCGTTCGAACGGGCCCTCCCTGTCCAGTGGCGGCCAAGTTGGTAGATTCCACCACGGAATCGACCTCTGCTTGTGGCGGAGCCGCAACGGTACCCTCAGCGTTTGAATCCATGAATACGATATGCGGTGGTTGGAACAGTCCGGGTGGGAAATCGGAGATGGAGAATCGGGAAAAGAAGTGACAAAGCTGGAGCGTCGCCAGTGCGGCTTTTGAGCCGACTTGCCGTCGGCCTTTGTCCGATTTCCCGGGGTTCCAAGCTACACCGACTTTGGATGTATCGGACAAGGCTCATATATTACCGTGGCTGAGTCTGGTCACGAGCAAAGCAAGCATCCCACCAGTCACAATGGGTAGCCTCGAGGACCCCAGCAACATTGGATTCATTGGCCTTGGGGCCATGGGCCTGGGGATGGCCCCCGACCTCCAACGCAGACCCCAGTACACCGTGACGGGGTTCGACATCTGGCAATCCAGTCTCGACAGATTCGTTGCGCAGGGTGGGCGTGCCGGAAAGTCCCCCAGTGATGTTGCTAAGAGCAGTCACATCCTCATCTGCATGGCGGCAACCGCCCAACAGCTGGACTCTATCCTGTTCGACTGCTCAGCTATCGACGGTACGTCCAACTCATACCTATAACAACACGTCTAACCCTAGCTACAGCATTGCCCAGAGACGCGACCGTGGTCTTGTGCTCAACTGTCCCACCCACCTATTATGACTCCCTCCCTTCACGCATCGCAAGCATCGGCCGCCCGGATGTCGCTGTTGTTGATGCGCCCGTGTCCGGCGGCACCCTTCGCGCGGCCAACGGGACTCTGAGTATCTTCGCCGCAGGATTATCCGATGCACTTGCTCGGGCGGCGAGCCTACTCAACGATATGTCGGGGCGACTATACATAAATTCCGGTGGCCTTGGAGCGGCCAGCAAGATCAAGATGGTTAACCAGCTGCTGGTGGGTACACACATTGCAGCAGCGTCAGAAGCCATAGCCTTTGCCACAAGGGCTGGTCTCGATACAAGAGAAGTATTCGACATTATCCAGCACACTTAAGGGAGTTCTTGGGCTTGGGGGAACCGCGTGCCACATATGCTGGAGCAGGACTGGACCCCTTTGTCCGCTTTAAACATTTTTGTCAAGGACATGGTATGCAAAACACTCCATAACAGTCTTCCGCAAATCTATTAACCTCGCTGGTAGGGCATTGTCGTCTCGACAGCACGAGCTACTCAGTTTCCGTTACCAGTTGCATCTGTCGCAGAGCAGTTGTATATCTCAGCTTCGGCCAAGGGGTATGGCAAGGAGGACGACGCTGGACTGGTAAGACTGTTTCTGCAGGAACCTGAAAACTCAACAATCACCGGACCAACGTCTTCCCTCGAGGTGTCAAAGTCACTGGATAAAACACCTACAAAAGTCGCCGTGTTTAATCTCGATGACCTGGGATGTGATCTAGCAGTGTCATTTGCCAATAGTGGTTTCAACGTCCACGTCTTCGACGTCGATGGCACGAAGGCCGCAGGTTTCCTTTAGAAAAATAACAAAGTTATCGCACACAAGACACCCATTGCCGCTGCAGAGGGCGCCGACGCTCTGATACTAAGACCTAAACATATAAATGAGGCGACGGATCTTCTCCTCGGAACCAGCAAAACTGCCGAAGCTCCTGCAGACAACGCATTCATATTATTGCTCTCAACAGCCTCTCCGTCACAGGCAAAAATCTCGCAAAGCAGCTGGCTGATTTGGGAACCGGCATTTCCCTGATCGATGCCCCGGTTTGCCACGGCGGCTCCTCCAAGGAGAGTCCGACCACAACCGTAAGTGAATATAGTCCATTCCAAAGCGTCTTTGACAGCTGATTATTACAGTAGATGCTGTACTCAGGCACCGATACCGCGATTGGCAGGGCCAGCGGCATCATTGCTGCTGCCCACGGTGCATTCGACAGAGTCCGACAAGTAAGCGGAGGGCTGGGCTCGGCATCGACAGTCAAACTGATTGACCAGATGTTATCCGGTATCCAGCTCCTCGCGGCGGCCGAAGCGATGGCGTTTGCATCACATCTAAGTCTCAGCACCTCTCAAATCTTCCACTTTGTCCGTAGTGCGGCGGCGTGGAGTTGGATGTTGGAGACTCGGGTCCCGATGATGCTGGAGGGTGCTTGGGCTCCTCCTTCTCAGTCTCGCTTTGAGGCCCCGTTATCGACTCTTGCGAGGGACCTCGGATGGTTCTTGGAGAGACAAAGGAGTTGATGTTCTGGGCTCCGATAACCTCGGCTGCGCATAATGTCTTCCTGGCGGCGCGGATGAAGGGCTGGGGCGAGGATGCTGATGCTGGTGTAGTGAGGTTGTATGAGACGGATTCCAAGTGTCCGACCTGATCCGCGGCGGCTCTTGGAAGTGATGATTGCAAGTATATAATCTGGGTAGGGATATGAAGACCTCACCCTTTTTAGTAGCTCAGATAGTTATATTAGAAATAGCTTTGTTCCTAATACCTCGCTAAATATAATGTGCAAGATCTTCTCTTCAAGAAAATGAACATGCAGGATCTTGAGCTAGAATCGATAATATATCCTCATCCTCTGATATCATGAATATACGCAGCGAGCATTTTGGGGAAGTTAATTGCCGTGCCTAACCTTGGGCCTGTACCTATCCATAGTGTCATGTTCCTGATGTCATGGCTTGCCTCGATTCTCGAGTCGCCGAGCTCGGGGATGGATTAGGGTGTGAAATCTGTGAATTCACCAGGCTGGTAATCTCAAGATCTAGGGTAAGGTAAGGCTTTGAATCATTGGGTAGACACTTGATTTTAATAGAATCAGTACCCTGGAGTAGTATCAATACCAGAAGGGCTATATCAATCTAGAAACCAATACTAAAAAAAAAAAAACTTGCAAACGACTTCTTGAGTCCTACAATTGTGTGTTTATGCTCTTCTTGTGAGCCACTAAGTAGGAGTAGCATGGCCATCACATTACTTCGGGCTTAACTGCTAAGAAAAAGTTGAAAGATTTAAGCTTTCTTATCAAGAGTAGGGACTCTTTGCTTCTGAAGCATATTTGATTAACCCCACAGGCTACAGCGGATCACCCAGTCGGATCCAGATCCCCCTGTCAAAGTCCGTGTCTTATGAAAAAACCATTGTTAGCGTCACACAATGTGCAAGTCCAACCCAGCGGCTCCGGGGTGACCGACCATATGGATGACGTCCTCGACTTGCGCCATTGCTGATATAAGGCCAGCTTTAGCTCCCCCTTCAGATTGTGTCTTATACTACCTTTTTATTACCCCTTATCCCCGTGTTCATGATGAGCGCATATCCCCTTAATTACCGAATTGCACAGGCTGTCGGCCTAAGTGGCGCCGCATGGCTCTCAGGTACGGTAGCTAGCCAGCTCACCGGTATGTTCTGACTCAATTAACTGCTCATCGCACCGCGCTCGCCAGGTAATATCGCCGCCCTAAGCTTGATCGCCGTGCCAGCGTTGACGCAAAGTCGAGAGGAGAAGTCAGTCTCACAGTCTACGGTTGTCAAGCTATGGAATAAAGTATACGATGCTGGCAAGGCGCAGAATCCGCCGGTTGCGGCCACCACCGCCGCTGCATTCCTCTACCTCGCCTGGTCGGTCCGCCACCTGCATGGCGCCCTTCTCTTTCGCCCCACGACGGACAATCGTGTTGCGCTCTATATCACAGCGGCTACTCTGACTGTAAGCATCGTGCCGTATACCATCGTCACGATGCGGCCGACGAACAATGCGCTCATCCAACTCGCGCGATCCCGTGATCTGACTACCGCGGAAGAGACTCAAAGCAACGACCTTCTTGGCCGGTGGATTCTTTTTAATGGGATTCGGAGCATCCTGCCTCTGGTGGGTGGGCTGGTAGGCATCACGGCGGCTTTTCTGTAGGCTGACGGCCACATGAAACCCTGTGGGTTGTCTGCTTCTTCTTATAGTTTTGACTCTTCATACTTACCTGGTCAATGCTCTGCGACGGCAGGCAGATGTGTAGATTGCGGTATGCGGACTGGAGACATTCAGCACGGCAAGAAGGTGGATGCAAGTGCAGGTGGCATATTCAACTTCTACTGCACAATAGTATCTCTTGATTTACACTCTAGTAGTTTTTTGGCCTTTCCCCTTGAGATTATACCCTGTAGTACGGGAGCTGTTTGCAGACGATCACGATTGAAGGGTACAAAAGCTGATGGAGGAAGTATCGAAGGGAATATGGATCTAGTTACTTGACATGAGAGAGATTCAAAGAGCATCTGGGCTGCGATTGCTGACCAATTTCTAGCACCAACTGATAGGCCGCTCCATCCGATTGGTTTCGCGCTCAGGGGCAGCGGATGTCTGATGAGATCATGGGCAATTGATTTGCGCTCCCTGGAGATCTTCAAGCACTCAGGGGTTGTAGCCATCTGCACCCCAAAACTGTCAAATCCGTGGAAAAGGGGCATTTAGAAAATGCAAAAGCCAGAGTCAAAGTGCGTATGGTGTTCTTCTCACTCCATGTCCTGTTTAGTGAGATATTACAAGTATACCTACAGATGCCTGTCCATGATCGAGGCTTAGGGCTTAGGGCTTGATGGTCGGAGGTCGGAGGTCGGAGGTCCGATTGCCCGACCACCGACTGTGGAGAACACTGCCCACCTGTTGCAATAGTAATCGAGCACAGACCTTGCCCGATGACTGGTTAGCAGCACAGGGTCCCGCTCTCCCACTGCAACCCTGGAATACATGGTGTTTCAAGCAAGCCATATATTGATATCACAATCTTGAGGCGATAATGCCGGTATAAGGTCCCAAAACTCCGCTCTGAAGGCAACATTGCAGATTGTATCTACACGAACCTTTCTTGCGTGCGCATATTTTGTCTTCTTGCGTGTCTTCTATCATCTCTCATCTACACCCAAACCTCTTCTGGCACAACATATCAAGGATTGCTTGATCACTAGCAATGAGTGACTCAGAACCCCCAGAGAGATTGGGTGAAGCTACTGAGGAAAATGAACACAACACAAATGAACAAGTTTCGCAGCATGGGAAGGCTGGTCAGCCCAGCTTGTGGAAAAGACTTGCACCCAACATCCCGTTGGTCATCATGATGTTCAAGTAAGTGAAGCGTGTGAGAATTTGACAATAAAGCTAACTTTTATTTTGCCTCTTTTCAGAGGCTCGCTGCCTATGACCATATCCCTCGCCATCTACCAATCCGGCCTTATCGCCAACCGCTATACCACGGTTGGATACATCATGGCAATGATCGCGTTCTTCAGCATGGCCCTGCTCCCCCGCGCCAAATACCTCGAAGGGCTCGTCCTGAACATTCTAGCAACCTGCCTCGGGTCGGCCCTGTCTCTTCTCACCATGTACTGTGGCGTCAAAGCCCGCGAACACACAACCGCGCCTGGGTCAACGGCCTCATACAACTCCTCGCAATCGGCCGTCTGCGCGATCTGGTTCTTCTGCACGCAATGGGCCGCGGGGACAGTCCGGGCCAGGATCCCCCTCCTGCAGAACTGCGTCTACATGTTTAGCGTTATGACGATGATCACCATGACCTACGCCCCCCGCTTCCACACCATGGATCAAGCCATCTCGCTGGTCGTGGAGTTGCTCGAGATTTTCTTCATCGCATTTGCAATTGCCACCGGGGTCTCCTTGTTCGTTTTCCCCATGACTACCAGAACGATCTTGTTCAGGAGGCAAACCGCCTATTTTGGGGCGTTGCGGGATTTCATGACGAAGCAGACCGCATACTATCGAGCCTTGGGGGCGTCTGCGCCGCCGGGGAGTGGGCAGATGTTCGGTAGGACAGATGCAGACAGGAAAAAATCATTCCGTGAGCGAGAGGCTTTGTACGGGAGTCTGAATCGCCTCATCGCCCTCCACATGGAAATGTACACGGACACGATCAGTGCTAAGCGCGAGATAGCCTTTGGCAAGTTGGATGCCGATGACCTGCACCAACTGTTCCGAGTCTTTCGATCTATCCTCACCCCAATGGCTGGCATTAAAACCATTCTTCAGGCCTTGGATGGAATGGACCCGGGGTATCCAACAGATCAGCCAGGAGTACGTGAGAAAGCAGTTCAGGACCAGGCGTTGCGAGACCTTTGGAGCCAAGTCATGGCGGAAGTTGGCGAGCTGTCCACGGATATCGCCCAGGTCATCGACGAAGGCTGGCAGCACGCGGCCATCGTGCTCGAATACATGCCCAAGCCGAGCAAAGATTCCGACTTGGAGTGCCAGAGGCTCGGTTCTCCCACCTTCGCAGACTACATGGATCGCAAGATTCAGGCATTCCGCGGCCGCCGCAGCGAGTTTCTCAGTACCTGGGCCAAGGATCAAGAGAGGATGTCGGAAGGGGAGCATGGACTGATATACCTCGTCCTTCAAGTCGAGAATCTCATCTCCAGCATCGCCGTGGCAGTCCACCAACTCGTTCTCTTCGCGGACTCGAAAGTGAGAGACGGCACAATGGCCAGAAAGAGATTTGTGTTTCCTCGCCTCCGTCACTTCACAACCCATCTACGCCATCCTACCATCCCACTGGACGAGACCTCGACTCCAGATGCAGACCTCACAGAGAGCGGGATCTTGGGCATGGTGGCTCGGAGCAAGGCAAACGACTACCACCATCTGCCTCCCAGCAACGCATGGCAGCGCTGGACGAACCATCTCCGTGCCGTACCCAGGCTGCTCCGATCAAAGGAATCTGCTTTCGGCCTTCGAATTGCTCTCGCCGCATTCTCGGTGGGAATCCTGGCGTACCTCGAGCAAACCTGGACGTTCTACTACCAACAGAGACTCATCTGGCCCTTGATCGTGATCCTGGTTGCCATGAATGTCGCCTCCGGAGAAAGTACCTTCAAACTCGCCGCACAGGTGATAGGCGCAACAGCAGCGATGATTATATGCTTTCTCTGTTGGTACATCGTTGACGGCAAGCCTGCGTGAGTCGACTGCTCTTCCCATATACTACCAAGCTAACTGTCAGCAGAGGGGTCCTAGTCCTAACATGGCTGGCCTTCTTCGCCCTCTCATACGGCTTCATCCGGGTCCCCAAATTCTTCGCCGTCTGGCTATGTGTCTTAGTCCCGATTGTCGCCGTCATCGGAATCGCCCTGCAGTCACAGAAGCTAGGTCACGAAACAGTGGTAGCCTCCGGACAAGCCGACTACCCCGTTTACTTGAGCGCGCCCTACCGGCTTCTCAACGTGCTCGCGGGCAGTTTCATCGCGTACGTCTGGACCGTATTCCCGTACCCCATTACCGACCGCGGGCTGCTGGGCGAGAAACTTGGCGATGTCCTTTGCTTGCTTGCCCAATACCAGGATTGCGCGCATTCCATCACGAGCCTGAAACTGCGGGGCGGAAGGGGAAAGGGCGACGATGCGGCATTGGCATTCAGGTCCAGCCCTGGGGGAACACTCGACGGTGCTCAGCAGCGCCTGTTCCAGCGGATCATGACGCTCATTCCACCGTTGCGCATGCACGCCCTCTTCCAGAAGTTCGACCTGCCCATTGGGGGGGAATACCCTGTCTCGAAATATACGGCTATCATGCAAGAAGCAACCAGGTATTTTCTCTCCTAACACTGCTGATAGACTTTGTTCCAACTGCTCCATCCTTGTTTCCAATAGCTATGATCGCTAACCTGTGGAACTCCGCCAAAAAGCATCATGAACTCCATCAACCTCCTCATCCACTCCTCGACGTCCTGGCCACCGCTCCCTCAATCTCCCGCCACGTCCACCGTCCTCGACTCCGTTTCCACCCACTCTCACCAGATGACCTCCGCGCTACTGATCCTCTCCGCCTCCGTCAAACACGGCACCCCACTACCACCGTATTTCCAAGCGCCGCCCGCAGTTGACTTCTCCCCTCTGTGGCAAGAGCTACCCGTGAGTCTGGACGCCCTGTCCGGGGAGAAGGAGAAGAGCGAGGCCGCGGCGGTGCATCGCGCTTGTGCGATGATGCAGATGGTTAGTGATATGTCGAACGCCGCGTTGGCCAGGATGGTCGTGCAGGTGCGGGACTTGGTTGGGGAGGTCAACTTTGCTGTGGGTGTGAAGGAATAATAGATGGGCTGTAAATGGAATAGAAGGCAGGCTGCAGATGACTGCGACGGAAAAGACCAACCTAGGTATTTACCATCCCTTACCTTTACTCCCACACACGGTGGTCCTGATCCCTTTTGTCGCACAACTTAGGAGCTAAAACAGGGTGTACTGTCTTCAGTCTGATATATCCATTGCTTAACGAATGCTCCCTCTGCCAGCATGGTATGAAGAAGAGGTCTCTAAGTGAATTCAACAGCAACCAGGGGGTGATGAACGTACCGCATCCCAGCCAATACAGAGATGGAATGACAATAATGTAGCACTGCACACAGTGTGAGATCCATAAGCATCCGGACCACTCTTCCTCGCATTGATTGGGTTCGGTGACACATTTCGACTGGCGCGTCCATTCAAAGGAGTCCTGGAACAAAGCGGCCTTTCAAAGGGCTGCGGCTTTGGTAGTAAACTTCAAATAATCACCGCGACAAAGATGGGACCATCAATAACCTGCCTAATGTCAAAAGATCAAAGGCGCTTCAATGGCATTCTGCCTGATGTAGGAAGACAATGCGGAGACAGTCACCGTACGCTGCTTGCCTCCCCAACGGCCATGTTCATCACTTCGGTATTTTAGTTCACTCAGGTACCTAATGGCTGACCTGAGAAGAAGGCTAGACAGCACGCGCCGCCTGATTGTACTAAAGAGCTCATAGGTAGATAGAGGCCGTTTCGCGGTGCCTGTCGCAATTTGTTTGTGGGCTGGGTTATCCAAGGACAAAAAGAGCGCGGGCATTGTTTAATAGCAACAAAGCGTTTGATTGAGCCAAGGCCCTGCAAGGCCGAGGGATCGAGTGCAAATCAAGGTATATAAGGAACCACGGTGAGACCAGAACAGAGAGATCTTCAACTGCTCAAGGCCTCTGTCCGAGTCTATCAAGCAGACCACTTTTCTTCCCGTCAAAACACACGCCTGTCCCCCACAAGATGCCGCGCCGTTTTTGTCTCGGGGCGCACCCAGCTGCCGAAGCAGCGGATATCCTGGATACAGCCTGCATCGACAATGTTTCATTCGGTTGGCTCACCGTCGCCCTTCTTGCGCGCGACTGGGGATTCGGAGTAAGTACCACCCCCCTTACCTACCATAGGTAAGCATATACATGGATCCGCTAACAACCCCCCAGGAAGTCGAGATAATCGTCCGCGATCGAGATCTCATCGCAGCCCGGGACACTCTAGCCAGCGCAGGCTTCCGCCTCTGCAACGACCAGTTCTGCGACCAACTGACCGACAGGCGCCGCCCTTTCCTAGGAGGCGGAGACAGCGCAGCCCCATTCATGAGCCCAGAAGAGTTATACTCTTCAAACCGGCCCAACAAAAACCATCAGCCCCCCGCAGCCCACTTCCACCTCGACGTCCACTACGAATTCTGCTACGTGCTCAAGCTCTACAAGAAAAGCAGCATCCTCCGCTGCATCCCCGTCCTGGAGGACGACCCGCGCAACGACGATCCCAGCTGCGTCTGGTTCTCGAATGACCGGCGTTTACCTGCGCCTGCACCGCCGGACGAACATGGGCCCTCCGGCCCCTGGAATGCTCTGGGCCCCGTGCGGATCCTGAGCCCGGCTACGTTCGTTGAGGTCCTGACCATGCTTAGGTGTCGGGACTGCGGTCTCCCCCGCGAGCTCGGCTGGCGTCAGATGTGGACACAGTTAGCTTTGGCCCAGGTGCAGCTGGACAGGCCGCTCAGGCCTGATTTCAAGGATGTTTGGGAGGCTGCGGGCGACTTCTTTGTGCGAGGCGTTGGGGCGCAGGATCCGTTGCCGAAGCTGAGTGACCTTCGTCGGCGGCTTATTGCTGATGGCGAGATCCTTGCCGAGGAGCTCCCGATTGTGATGACCTTCGGGTGCATTGGGGGACCTCAATCTGCCAGGGGGTTTGATTTGGAATTCAAGCGTGCGTAAGAGACATTTGGTTTTGCTGTGATGTTGTGATTCTCTCCTTAAGCTTCCGCAACTGTTTGCTTTGGTTTTCTGTTTCCTTGTTTTGTTTAGTGGTCCGTTATACCTAAACTGTTTATGTGTCAAAATCACTGCCTTATATGGTTGCTCATGCCCACCGGTAGTTTGTCCTTATTCCATATCAACCATGTAGCCTTCCTGCGTCTTTGCGGGGAAAATCTGTCCCTGAAGGTGTCTTGTGGGTACCCACTTTGAAGGATGAATAATAACTTGCCATTTGTAGCACAGTATAATTAGGTGACGGTAGCGCAGCTATTTATCGTACTATCGTTTGATGCCCTCCTGTCTGTACCCAGACTCGAAAAACAGTCAGCGCAGTGATTTGCCATGTTGTATCATCTTCTGTCTGCGTGAGGGAGCATGACTGGTAATAATTAGAATTTTGTTTAACATACCGCCAGGCCGTAAAAACTACTGGCTATAGGCCCGTCCTTTTACTGCAACAAATTTCGTCCTCGCCAAGTTTGTAGCTGACACCGAACGAAACTTGTTAATATGTATGTGCTATCAAGGCGGCATTGAAGGACAATCCCCTCCTTTCCCCCTTCTTCCTTGATGTAATGAGGTTTCTTCTCTTCGCCGAGGCTCCCGACCCCCAGACGGCACAATATACACACGCAAAAATGATCAACGTATAACAATTTGTACTCTTTAACAACATACAGTGGAATGGTCATGGCAAGGAACATCATGTCGTGGCTTGGAGATGGACGAAGAGAAGAAGAATGAGGGAGGAAACGATGAGAGAGGGAGGAGTCAGCGGTCTACGATGTGATCTAGATGAGCAAATGCGGATAATCCATTTTATAGGAAGGATTTGGGCCCGTTCAAATGATATTGTACGCAGATGGGTTTCAGAATCCAAACTTTTGCTTCAGTCGATGTCCTTGGATTGATAAGGGCTAACGGAGCTGCGGCGGTGTCACCATCTTCACTGCATAACATGCGTAGCTGATTCCTTCTCATCTTCAAATCGACGCTCCACCAAGATAATACGACGGGAGCCCTCTCAACACAATGGTTATTTCTTTTCGGCGCCGGGAGCAGCAGGAGGAGTGTACGTCGCGTTGCCGTTTCCGTCTTTGTGATAGGTACTACCGTCAGGGTTCCGGTAGTAGTAGGATCCGTCGCTGGAAACAGAGTGTTAGTGGAATGGATGGATTAACGCGGGATGACAAACCGATTGGAGTAGTGAAATGAGGTGGAACCGTCCCCGAAATCGCGCGAGCACCAGTGGTTACCCTGAGAATTTGTTACCTTGTGCTCGAATGAAGCAAAGTGTTCCAGGGAGATGAGTGAGAGGTGTCTGGGAAAGTGCTACCCTGCTGTTGGTGCCGGAACCCGTGATGGAGTAGCCTTTTCCGTTGTCGGGCATCTTGGATCTTGGTTTGGGTTTTGATTTTAGTGTAAGGACTTGCGTTGAAGAGATGGATGTGCGGATCGAGAAGTATTGATGGTCCGAGATGTATTGATAGACTGAGCAGAGTGATGGATGGAGAAGTATTGATGACTGGAAGAGGAAAGGAAGATGAATAGAAGGACCTCAGAAGCGGAAAGAGCTACCGATGGAGGGCGCAGGCCACCTTGACGGCTCTTTAGACTTTCTCAGCCAACCTTATTGCAACACGGCCAGTTTGACCGGAACATCCTACGCAGCAATCAGCCCAACCCGTACGTGATGAACCATTGGCGTCAGCCCACTCCAGAGCAACTCTAACACCAGGGTCCTTGATTCGCCGAAATGCACCGTTTTCGATCAGCAATTTGACCGAATCAAGCAAGCCTCTTGCCGCAGCATAATGAAGGGGCGTTCCTATACCACTGTACATCTTGAAATAGTACCCATCGCCGCAGTTTTGGTACATGATATCATTGACCGAGAGACACTTTCGGGGAAGGTGATCGAAAACTTCAGGATGGTCATCCAGTTCACGCATTGCCGCGTAGTGCAAAACTTGGCCTTGTGGTAGAGAGGCACCACGTTCGAGGAGAAGTTTGACGATCAAAAGGTTAGCCTCTCTAAACGCCACTGATAACGGGGTGCAATCTCTGTATCTATCACATCGCTGGTTAGGGTTTGCCCCGTGGTCCAGAAACCACGCTGTTAGGTCCCTGTCGTGGAAAGTTGCACTGGGCGAGAGATGTGAGCATTTTATGGCAAAACAGATACCCTTGCCCAGAGAGTGGTACCTCGAAATGCCCTGGCCGGAAGGTGAATCCATTGGCCTCGAGTAGAGTGAAAGGAAAATGTGGCAGGCATGATTGCAGAAACCCGTGATTCAGTCGCTGATGGGACGAAACAAGGATGCTTGGTCATGTAGTATCTCTTCCACCCGCTTGTACTGGCCTTCCCAACATTGCTGTATCACATAGCCGCCGACCAAGTCATCCGTCGAGGGAAACTGGTTTAAAGAAAACAACTCGTCAACCTTGCTTGCATACAACTCCTTCTCCTGCACCGATGTGAATGGACCTGGTAATCGATATGGCCAATGATCAGTCATGATTGTATACAGAACCGACCCCAGACTGAAAATATCTGTTTCCTTAGTAGACACCCAAGGCTTGTTGGGATTGAAGAACCCGGAGTCGGGCAGATGACCACCATCAATACTGCCACTTGTAGTTGAAGAGCCACCAAAATCGCACAGTAAGAGGTTGTTGCATTGTAGTAAAAAGCAGTCAAGTCGGAGATCTGAGTGGATAACTCCTTTTTGGTGGATAAAGGCAATAGCTTCTGCACTTTGAGAACACCACTTCAACCGTAACGCGAGGCTAGTCATGCCAGCATGCTGATCAAGATAGGTCTGAAGGTTACCACCGCAGGCTTCAGCTAATAAGAGGCCTTGGGGTTCGTGGGAGACACCGAGGAACCTGGGGCTGTTAGAACCTGGCGAGAGAAGAAGTAGAGTGCTTCCATACTGGACAATCCTAGGATGTGTACCCAAGATCTGAAAAATCTCCTCCTCAACTTTGAAGCCCTTTTTTGATCTCTTCGAGAGTCTCCCTCGACAACTGACTCCGTGCATAATGAGGCGACTTAAGGACAATCCCGTTGCCGACTCTAATAATAGAGGCAGTCGACCCTACACCTAGGACTTCACCTGAGAGCAGCCGGTTTGTATGATTTTCGGGCCGTTCAACGTCTGTGTCTGAGCGCTCGCGGGGAAAAGGGAGCACAAGTACTCTTTGGATGAAAGAAAGTAGAGCATAGATTGGAGATGCACACCACCGGATGATTTGATTGAGAGCATACATGATCGGCAGGTCTTTTGACTTGGACAAGAGCGAGGACAGGGCTCCATGATCTTGCCCCTGGCAGTGTCTGTTTGCAGCTGTGGCTTATGTCACGTGCTCTCCGCCTCCGTTTTATCAGCCAATTATGGATAGCGCTTTAACAGCGCTTAGGTGTCTTAGGTAGTTAACATTAGAATACTATACTAGCAAAGGCCGCGGCGCGCAGCGCCGCGGTTGGAGCTAGTAAATTATTTCCCTTAGTAATTTAATATTAATAAACTATTAAAAGGTAAGCTAGTTTCTATTAGTACTATAGCTTATTTTTTTATAATACTAAAAAAAATTAATTTATATAATAATTTATTTTTACATGGGGGAATATTAAACTTAATTATATATTAAAATATTTTTATCCCGCGTGGTTAATAGCGTGTAAAATAATTAAAGTATAATATTATTTTTTAATTAAAAAAACCTTTTAGTTAGTTTTAGTGCTATAATCCCTAGTAATATATTAAGTAAAAAAGCTTTAAAAAATAATAACCTTTTTTAGCAAGAGTTAAAAAGCTTATTAATAATACTAGTAATTAGATTTTAAAACTAGCATAGTTTTTTAATAAATATTTAAAAAAAATATTTTTTAAGCCCCCGCTAAAATTTACATGTGGGCTTTTAAGGGTTTAAAGGGTTTTAGGGGTTTAAGGGTTTTAAAAGTTTAAAAATTTTAGGGGTTTAAAAGTTTTAGGGGTTTAAGAATTTTAGGGGCTTAAGGGCTTTAAAAATAATTTATAAATTATTAATTATAAGCCTATTTATTATAAGTATAATAAAATCTTTTTTTAAATTTTTAATAATAGTAAAAAACATACCTATACTAAATAAAAAGTTTTATTAATTTCTTGGTATACCAGGGGCTTAAAAAAAATTTTTACTAAATAAAATTATAATTAAATAATTTAGGGGTATAGCTATTTTTATAGGGAATATTAAACTTTTAGGGGTTATATAATATTATACCAGGCATGGTTTAAATATCTTAATATATTATAATATAAAAAAATAACTATAAAATTTAGTTAAGCTATAGCTACTAATTTTTAGGTTAAAATTATTTAAGCAGGCTAACTAAATATAAAATATAATATTAAAAAGGCTATTTATAGCCCGGGGTACCACGGGTGGTATTTATTTATATTATATTTTTTAAATATATTATTAAAAAAGCAATAACTATGCAAAGTTATAATTCCTATTACTTTAGTATATAAAAAAAGCAATAAGCCGGGTATATTTATAAAAAGTATTAATTTATTAAACTTTAGGGGGCCGGCCCCTGGGCTAAAAGTATTTATTTAATAATAATATAAATTTAGGGGCCGGCTTTATTTTTTAATAATAATAATTAAAATAATACTTATTATAAAAAAAAGCAAGGCCCTAACCAAAGGTTATAAATAGCTATTTTTTAATAAAAAGTATATATTAAAACTAGCTTAATAAAGCCCTAAAAAATAGTTATATAGACACCTGGTAAAAATACTTTATAAGTTAAAAATTATATAGTAAAGCAAACTAAGATAAGCCCGTGTAAGTTTTTTAATATTAAAGTTTATAAAATATTAATAGCTTATACTTAGTTACTTATTTAATTTACTTACTTAATTTACCTACTTATAGCCCTCCGGCCTTTAACTTATAGGTTATAT